TTCAATGGATTCAAATGCATTACATCAGAAGGGACTCAGCCATACAATCCCCCAGTCTGCTGCGGCCCAGGCACGACCAACTGTGGGGGCGAGTGCTGCGACTCCGTGTTACCAGAGAGTTCCCAGATCTGTGTATTTGACCCAGCCCAGCCAGCAAATGAACCCCCAAGATGCTGTCAATATGGACAGAGCAATTGTGGTGGCCAATGCTGTGACGCAGGCACTACTTGTACCATTGACAATTCCCAGGGATACCCACTCCCGTATTCTGTCCTCAAGGGGCAAGCATTTGTGGGGGCGAGTGTTGTGACGTGGCCAACGGGTACCACTGTTTAAGCACTGGCACACCTGGGGACGCCTCAGTGTGTTGTTTTGGACAGCTAGGGGATCCACCTCCACCTCCGATTCTATGTGGGGGGAAATGCTGCTATCCCGCATTTGGTTATACGTGTTCTGGTGATGCCATCTCAGGAACCTGCTGTGAGCCGGATACTTCTCTTACAAACGAAGGCGTGTGCTGCCCAAGTGGGGCTACAGCTTGTGGGCAGAGAGCGTGCTGCAGTGCCGAGTATGGGGAGGTTCGCAATGAGGCCGGCGGTTTTTGCTGTCCGTCATTTGCTATAGTGTGTGGGAAAACTTGCTGCGACTTAGCATTTGGTACAAGTCAAGAAAGGACCTGCTTAGGGGACCCCTTGTCGCCTTCGGCACAATGCTGCAAAAGCGGCGTGAGTCTGTGTGGGGGCCGCTGCTGTGATGCCGCTCTTGGCTTCAGCTGCTTGGCGGTTGGGTCCACCGAGCTTTGTTGTTATGGGGACACTGCGCCCATCTGTGGAGGCATGTGCTGCACCGGAACCTGTATGGGGGATGCTGAGGAAGGGAGGTGCTGCTACGGGGCCACTGGCAGTAATCAGCTCTGTTTGAGTAAGTGCTACTTCCTTCTCCCTTTCGGTCGGTGTTTTGAGTTACCATATCCGGAGCCTCGACTTTGAGCTTAACTTGACTAGACATCTTGGTGCTTTTGATAAGATTGACATGTTGGGATGCAGCTCTTGCCTATTCGTCGTCCTTGGCTAGCTGAATCATAGAGTCAGCGTTTTGGCGTTCTTTGATTTACAGTGACACGATCTCATTTCGTCATGAGCCAGTAGTATGTGGATACAGAAGGGAATGCTCGTGCCTCCTCGCAGCGGGAGCTGATATCGATGCATGCCGTATTCTTGGCAGACCTGAGTGCTGGACATAACTTTCAGCTCTTGCCCTGAAGAGTAAAGATTAAAGGCAAGACTCGAGCAGAAAGCATGTCTGGCGTGCATCGAGGAGCTGACTTCGGCTTCTGGATGGAGTACTGTACGTGGATGCAATCAAGGTGCTAGTCGTGTATGTCCAGTACAAATAAGCCCAAACTGAACCTTCGAGAATGATGAGACACCTTGGCGCGCTCTTGCAATGTCTCCTAGAGCACGCTGGCACTCCTCTAGGTCAAAGACACTTATGATCATGGGTCTTGCGTTGCAGACTGCTTGGGAACTTGAGCTGACGCCGTTTTTGAGTACCTCTGCAGGTGGCTCTGGCCATGGAGACCCACATTTTGAGCTAAGAGGATTCCCAGATGGCAAAGTCCTGGAGTGGGACTTCCATGGTAGACATAATCTATGCTACTGCATGCTCTCCGATACAAGACTGGCGGTGAGCAGCTATCATATGAATCTTCCCATTACTCCTTGTTCAAGCTTTTGAAGACGAGTATCTTCCGAGCAAGTGTCTAACCCTACACAACTTCAGCGATCTGTTGGCACATTTGTCCTGTTACGGTATACGTAACCCCGTCTTGTATTCGCCGCATGCAATTATGTCTTAGGTGACCTTATCAAGTACAAAAGGCACTGGCTGCATTTTGACGAGTTCATGTGTCTGCCACAAAAGCCATCTGTTGGGAACCTTAAGGTCCGTTAGCTTGACTTAGATTACTGGTAGTCTGGCTGGAAAAGATCTTAGCGTCAGCTAAAAAAATCAGCGTCAGCTGGCCTAAAAAGATCATGAGCTGCGCACCAGCTTGTAAGTTCTTGCCCTCTTCTTGAAGGCTTCCGACCAGTCTTGCCGTCTCTTTCGAAGAGGCCTGGAGGGCTCGGTCTTTTCTGATGTAACCAAGCTCGATGCGTCTCGAAGTCGTTTGTTATCCTGGATGGTCGCTTGAAAATTTCCTCTGCCTTTGTTAGCGAGGAGTCTTCCAATGAACGCTATCTCAACCAGGACCGCGGCAACGGATCGAACCACGTAGGTAAATGCCTTTCTGAAGCTGGCACAATCCCACTCTAGCGACGATCAATCTTGTGATGACCATCGACTCTTTTTCCGCAGCTGACGGTCCACATGTTCTCCTTGGCACCGGACGCCCGCATCTTGGAGCGTCCGGAAGACGACGGGCTCAACTTCTTCGAACGCACGTGGATGGACAGACTAGGGATAATGTACATCAACGAGAGGGGAGAGGAAAAGAGCATTGCTGTCGTCCTCAACACCGATCTGGACCGCGCTGGAAAGCCGCCCTTTGACGTCACCTTCCAGGGGGAGAACATCACTGCCGCTATCAACGTGAGTAAAGTGGCGACATAATGCTCTAGATCAGCGCGGCATAATGCGCAGCTTGGAGGCATAACTTAATGCGACGGCGTTGTGTAGTTGGACCGTTTTCGGAGCGGAGAAACTTGTGGATTCACATCCTCGTGGATTGACTACAAACACCTATTGTTTTTTAAATCTTCGAACGAGCTAGTGCAGTGGTTCCAGTGGCACTAGATTCCACCAAACGGCTCTGGAAGCTGCAATTTGGATAATCAAACTGCCATGAAGCAGTTAATGACGTTATCTGTGAGTCTCTTCTAATAGGCCTCTATCCCAAAAGTCGAGCGAGCTTTCCCTCCCGCTTCTTTTATAATATTCGTTCCTATATCCGTCTTCGACTTGGTCCAGCTTAATTCCGCCATGATCATCTGCTCACCGTCCACCCGCGAATGACGTTAGCAAGCGCACAGCCAAGCAAATTAAAAGAAATAGTACTCTTCCAATCCGGACAGCCTTTGAGAACAGAGCGGATTTCCAACTAAAGCAAACCTCCTGCAGGGCCTCGGTTCTAACTGGACAAGCCCCGACGGAACTTCCTGGATCCGCTGTTCCGCTGACCGCGTCAACGCCTTGTCCGTTTCCGTGGCCGGACTCTTGGAGATGGAGATCGTGAGCGACGTGGAGAAGGACCTGATCGCGGATCCGCCCGTCCACTTCCTCAACTTCGAAATCAAGGCCATCGCCAATACTGCAAACGTGCACGGGGTAATTTGAACTCCGCTCTATATCCTGAGAAAAAGATGCTCCCTGCTTACAATCTGCTTACTTCGCCTCTAGCTAAGAATGATCGGCATGCCTCGAGGAGCGCGACTGACGGCAGAGCATTCCGTCAAGCTTTTTCTATGCTCATCAGTGGTTGACTCAGCAGACTGTGTGAGGCCGGACGGCTCAGAGGCAGCTGATCCTTCTTGTTAAACACGCGGCTTTGACGCACCTCCCTCGAAGTCTACCAGGCAGCGTGCAGGTCCCTTTGACGTTTATTGGGCAGCGCGCCACGTGACTAAGCTCTTCAGTCAGCCGCAATCAATTGGCCATTCGAAACTGTACCGGGAGCTGATCAAAGCCGCCTAATTTGCCACCGCGCAGAAACATTAGTAACCAGAAAGTTGCGTCCCACATGATCAGGTCGACTAAGGGACGACCACACGTGGCGGAGGTGAACCGTGGTGGAATTGCTCACTCGTACATTTATCCCCCTCCCTAGTTTTTGAGCCAGATGTACGCCCCCGGCCCGGTCGAGGAGCGGCTAGCGATGGGCACGCTTGAGGGGCTCCGCCACCGCGAGTACGTTGAGGGCACCGATGACGACTACCTCACCTCGGGCCTGACGTCAGCGGACTGCGGCTTCAGCCGCTTTGGCCAGGTGCGGACACGTGTCGCCATGCGCTCCGTTCCGGAACGGAGGACAGGCCTGCAGACGGAGAGGCCTCGCTTTGCTTCTGAGCGAAGCACTTTGCTTGTCGCTCTGTTGAGCCCGTTATATGCAGGGTCGAATTTTGCGCCAGTCAGCAATACTTTTCAACGATACACTAGACGCACTGCCTGCCTTTTTGGGACGCGTAAAAATTAAACACCGTCCCGTCAAACAGCTTTTCGTCCCTGAGTCTAAGGCCCCAAGCTGCACTACCAGGTCGTTTCCTTCTCGCTCCCACAGGCGTTCCATACTGACGTCATTTTCCGACGTAATGGTTGATTCTGTGATTCTGCGACTGATTCTGTACATCTCTCATGCAGATGCTGGAGAACTTGGTGGTCGATGCTCTTGGTTCCAGCCGCCGTCTCTTCTCTGCGAGCGGACAAGAGCTTACGGTCACAGAGTCGACGGTTTGCCGCCTCGTTGGAAAAGGTAGAAACTCGTTTGTGTGTATGTAAAGCTTGGCCGTAAGGAAGTTTTAACCAGGCAGCAGGAGTCTTGACCAGCTTTCTAGATTCTATTTCTCTGCGTTGATTTGTGTGTTTCTAGTAATAATTGCATCTCTTCAGCGAGGCCGTTGGCGGTGAACGAGAGGGTTTCAAGCAGATTAGGCTTCACTCAACAACGGCCAGGACCGCGGACACATTAGAATTTGAAAACGAATCCTCGCTTAGATTTGAACGGGCCAGGTCTAGTCGATATTTGTACAGAAGAGGCAGCTTCCACTTCCGAAGTTCAGGCACTTGGTGTGAAGTCAAGGACAACTAAAGGAGTCGTTTTATTTTGAGAGGGTTATATGCGTTCTGCTGCCAGCTCCACTAGAATGTAGCAAGATTACTGTGATCTTCTACTTAGTTTACACAGTTCTATCAAAGTCGTCGCCTCCAAGAGCCCTCATAATGCTAAAACGTCGTGCCTGCTTTACTGGTGCATGTTCAGGCACGACCGTTGAGGAGCCTGGATGTTTGTCGAATTGAATGAGCAATGAGAAGGACGCCGTGATTGCGCCACTATGCCAGTGCTTGCAGCTCGCATGATGAGATCATGTGGCTGATGGAATTCCGAGGGATTCCAACTTTTCAAACGTGCTGTCAGATGATATGTCATCAAACGCCCGTTAATTTTTGGTTTAAGACAAGCTTTGCCATCCTGTATATGGTAACCCCAGATGGACTCTGCCAGTGCGGATATCGTCAAAGACCTTCGCTAGGACTTTAGTTCAAGTTTACTACGGAATCATTGAATCAAGTCCACTGTACGGAACAATCTCGAATTCACCAACTTGAAAGGCCTTGAAGGACTCTATTTCATCATACAAAGATCTACAGCGGATCGTTCTATGTGTCACTAGCTGTCGGAGCGTGACGTGGACTCGAGTCTAGGACCACTCTTCTCATCCATGCAATTGGGCACAGCCGCAGGTCAGTAAGATTGGACCCTTTTAATTACGTGTCGCGCTGCCATTCCCTGTCCGGTCAGACTGGGCTCATCATGGCATTCAGCGGCCGGGCGCAGTTCTAGCCGCGTTCCCACTTGGCTGCATGGCGCAACTGTTGCGATCAACTGTATGAAGTTGTACGTAAGTCTGTCGGAGGCGCGTAGTGAGATTCGAGCTCATTGGGCGGCGCGGCTGGAACTCTGGAATAAGCAGCCACGAATCAGCGAGAGCGTTACGGCCCCGATATGTGCGTCAACCAGTCATTTCTCAAGCTAGTATTTTGCCCGCAACTCAGTGACTCGCATCAGCTATGGGCAACTCGGCGCGCGGCGGCCGCGCCAATTTTCGTGACACGTACTAACAACTTGAACGCTGAGTTTGCTTCAAGATGCTGCGCCAGGCCGCCGCCGGCCCGCTCTTTGCATGCCATGCTGAGAAAACATATTGACACAGAACGGCGCACAGTAGCTAGCGCCTGATGCACTGGTGTGCGCGCGGGTCCATGCCAGCACGCACACTCAGCCGGTGCAGTAGTACTTTGACTTCGAGTCTGATTATGATAGGACAAAAATGCTGCGACTTATATCGTATGCAAACCGTAGACGTAAAGGGACTCCGGGACGACAGCTCTAGTGACTCCTCCGAGTCAGGCTAGCTTATTTGATGACTCCGAATCGTCCCCGACATTCCGCATGATCAGTGCGCATGCATGATGCATTTTGGAGACTGCCAGAGATGCCATGATGCGTCGCCCAGTACATTAGTATATACCATTTTCCAGTGCCTCCGCTTTTGGCTACAGCCGCGAATGATCATCCGATTTCTGGGAAATTAGGGTCCGCGGGATCCCTTCCCCGCAGCCGGCTCGGCTATATAACCGAGACTGAGAATCTAATTCAGTCACGGTGACCTGTAACAATATGATGCACCTTAATTAATGCACGGCCCAAACGAACATTTAAATAGAGATGTATGTGTGGCAACCGGTGAACCACTAGAGTACTTCACAATCTATCTAGTGACAGGAGATACGAACGTCCATCACGGAGGGCCGCCTGAATCACAATCGCTGCCAAAAACGCGAGTCCCTAACAACAGCTGTACGTAAAAATTCCTCCAGATTGCCTGTTTGTGCTCGAAAAGCAACACCAGCGTATGGTAACGTGTGGTGTTGATTATACAGAGAATGCCAACAAAACTATCTCGAACCGACCAAGAGATGCTCAGAAGAGGCTACAGCCGCGGAGACACGGTCCAATTGTTTGCAGCCCCGTTCGTAGAGCAGCTTTGCTAGACGCCGAACGTATGGCGAACTCGATGAGCCCAGCGCCCACAACTAATCAGAAGAGCAGACCTAGCAGGCGACGACAATAAGGGGTCAGTGTTCCGTTCGTCAGCCAACGCGCTACGAACCGGTTCAATTTAAAAATATACTTGGGTTATGTTGCAGGAGACACTCTCAAGTCATCCAGTGACCTGGTTCTCGACCATCTTCTGCACCCGATATGGCCGCCGTTGTGGCGCACAATTTTGAGCCAGCCAGGTAGCGAAGACAGAAACACGGAAAAGTCGCTAGATCACATGACCGTGCGGTGAGGCCCGGCCCAGATATAAGTACAAAAACAGTTTCATCTTTCTTGGAGGTTAGGAATGAGCGCATGGCTGCAGCGCCGGAAGAAGCAAGTGCAAAAAATGGCAGGATCGAAAGAGAGCTATGCTACGATGCATCCACGGGGAGGGAAGCGGAAGAAAAACCAGAAGTCAGAAGCGTGGCGACTTGCCTGCAAGACGAACGATCGAGCGGCTGGCGACCTGAAGTTCCCCTACAGGTACCGCTAAAGGTACCCCTCCCGGACAGCGACTCGGACAGCTGGGACAACCCGGACCGCTCGAAACAGGCCCAGCTGATAGCGGACGCTTTCCGTGTTGCTGCCAAGTACCTTCAAATTGGCATAGCCGTCAAAACCTGGACTGACCGAGGATTTATTGATACGGTCGTCTCGAGTTTCACTTGCATGATACGACTCGCTTTTGACATCCGATCCGAAGTCATTCGTAATTGGTTAGAAGTCTATCTTGGGCTCCCCTTTCAATGGTATCCCGCGGAATTTTCGAACCCATCTCTCGTTTCGCTCTGGCGGCGACAAACCAACCGACATAAAAATCCACCAGGTTAAGGGGTTCGAACCGGTCTCGATCCGACAATCACATCACGGCTGACAAAGCAGCCCACTGCCCTCAGAGCTACGGCTTTGCTAGCGCACTCTGAAGGGATCACGCTGCTTCGTTCCGCTCCGATAGAGTGTGTGATTGATCCAGAGCCCGATTCGATTTATGGAAGATGTGATTCTTGGGCTTCCAGACTCAAATGGGCACTTCAGCAAATGTAGAAAAGGGTCAAAAACACCACAGCTTGTCTGCCTGCTTCATCACCCTTAAAAAAGAGTCTTAATCTGGTGCTTGAGTGCTTTGAACCAAATACTATCTGGAAACAGATATCGAGCCCAGCTTGAGGGCCAAGCAAGCCAGATAGCGAACGTAAAGAAAAAATGGCGTAAAAGGCTCTCCTCCAAGAACTCTCGCTTCACCAAAGTGCGTCCGTGCCTGGTGTACAGGGAAACGAGCAAAGCAGAGGGTCTCCTTCAAAAGCATTACAAGCGAAGAAACCTCCAGCATCCGAACTACAGTGGCAGAGGAAGGTCCTCACAGTAGGGAAAGCGTATTTGAACCTTGAGCAAAACAGACCCGTCAGACAAACCTCTCGACGGGCGACTCGTGACGTCAGCGTGACGTCGGGGGCGCTTACCCGCACGAGCTCGGCCTTCGCTCCATAAAGGCCTGCGCAGCGTGCGCGCGCGCTGGGCCGCTTGGAGCTTTGGGAAGGTGGCGAAGGGTTCGGACGGCCGGACGTCCTTGCACAACGCGCGAAGACACGTGGCGAGCAGCGTAAACTCCTCGATCAACCGGTTCAGAACCTTTTGCACTCGGGGCACCTGCACATCGAGGGCCTCAAGATGTCCAACTCGCTCAACATCTTCATCGCCGCTTACAGCGACTCGTAGACCGCCACGTCGTCCGGATTTCCGGCCGCGTCTAGTCTGAACACCACTTTCGTGCTGTCCAGCCGGAGCGCGCCCGGTACATGTCGCGCGTGCGTGCGTGCGAGGTAGTTCAGCAGGATGACGTCGATATTGATATTGACGTCATCCCACGCATGGTTCCCGTGTAGCGCAGACGGTTTGGAAACACGGGACAGGCGGGGCGGTTGGCTCCACCTGGCCGGACAGGCTTCCAAGAAACCGGGTTAAGAATCTCAGTTGCCCTCCTAAAAGCCTTACGACTTGGTTCTAGATTCCTAAGTTTGAATCCAAATTTCTAAAGTCGTTTACCAGCCCTCCTGGAAGGAGACCGACTCCTTTAAGACCTATAAGAGCATTTAAAACAATAACGTTCACCAAAACAAACAAGCTTCGATAACGACTGCAAGAAGCGGAACCTGAAGACGCCCGAGCTTTCTGCGGGGTAGGCCTTCGGCAGGTCGAAGTGACAGATATCTAGACCAGGGTTAGAAAGTGAAGACAACACGAAGACGGGATTCGAGATAATGTAGAATCGACTTCAGCGGCCAGACCGACACTTTAATTTTGACAGTTAGACAAAACACCAGCTAGAGTTGGCGAGTCCCTATTACATAAGCTTCAACCCAGACCAAAGGGTTTGGTTATCATGTGGTCCCCAAAATTTGCACAATTAATTTAGCCCAGCTCAAGCAGAGCCCGGGCTTGCCCCTTTTGATCGCTTAGCCGTCATGCAGATTCACTCGCTCTAAGCAAGCACTTCACCGTATCAGAGAATCAGGTCTACTTCAGAAGAGTCTGACCGCGCCCGCAATTCGATATTGACCGCACGCAACCCAGATCCAAAATCGGGAAGTAGCCACCATCCCCTACCTGCTCCAAAGCCGTCGTCCGCACGAGCGCCGCCTCTGCGAAGTCCACGCGCGACATGACGTCAGGGCGACGCCAGCGGCTAATGCGGCGAGAAGCTCGCGCACCCCTGTGAAGGCTCCGTTTCGTGCGGGCGCGAGCGAGGGGTTTCAAAGGTTTCGCCAAGACCTCAAGGATGCAGTAGGGGGCGAGACACGTGTCGATGCGTTTGAGGAGTTCAACGGCGAAGCCCTTGCCGCCTTCCTCCTGAAGGAGGGTAAGTGAAAGAAGTTAAGGACGGGTTTGAGGTGAAATTGGCAGAGAGGAGATTAAGCACGTATTCGCATCCTGCACCTCAACGGCGAAGGGAGGGATGCAAGTGAGCGAGGAGTTGCTGATGGATGTGCAGAAAAGTAATCTCTGTAATTGAAGGATAAGAAGACAAAACAAGAAAATAGTGCTGAGAGGGTGGGTCAGCTCGAGTTGGGTTGGGTCACGCAAGTGCGGGGCGTAATCAGTGGTCGAAGGCCTTGGGTCTGTCGAGGGAGAGGGGTATTGTCACTCAGCGTTTCGTTCAACGGAATGGAGGAGAAATGATGAAGGCGGCTGAAACGGGGTTGAGAATTCTAGTTTCGCCACGACGAGATGAGAATAGTACTTTTGGTCGTTAAGATGGTGTCAAGGCTTTTCTGAAGGACGGCGCTCGCTGCCCCTGCTGGTCCGTCCGCTACCTTGTCCGGTGACCCACACAGCAGAAAGCGGAAGCCAATTCGCAAGAGCAGACTCCTTGAACGAGCAGACCTCCAATATCGAGGCCTTTCGAGAAGAAGCGAGAGTTGGATTTTTGAGGAGGATGAAGACTCGATGGCGGAAACCTTGACGCTCGGGCGAGAGAAGACTAAAGTATCCGGGTCAGAAAAGCCAACGGATGCGCTGGACTTCCGGAGTGACCCTCGAGAAAGTTGGGCGCGGAAACGGATACGGGTATGTCCGGGAAAGTAACGGCACGCAAGAACGTTTTACTAGAGCGGGTGAATCTTTGATCAAGCCAAAGGAAACCTAGGCGGCTGCCAGTCCGCGCTTCATCTGTTTGAATCTGCCATGGGGAAACGTAGAGAGGCAGACTGGCTGCTCCGAAAGGTGCAGACACTGGTAGCGGAAAACGAAGTGAACTCGGCAAAGCGACAGGAGGCCCTTCTCTTGCGGCATCGCTTTGCATAGGTTTCCCTCTGCTGACATGCCGTTTGAATTCGCTCCGGACAAGGGTAGGGACGTTCTCGCAGAAGCGAGCGGAGACAGAGCGGAAAACGGAACGATCAAGTGAGGAAAGCGGGAGGGAAATATACATTCCGCAACTGTGACCTTTGGTGGGAGTTCAACGGCGGAGCCGGAACGAGTCAGGGAGCTTGTTAGTGACCCAGACGGAAAGACAACCGGATTCAGCCATGGAAGAAAATGAGCGGAAGGTCGTCACAGAAGCACAGAGCGGAACCGAAACACCAGCAATGGTGCACGATGAGCCGAAGCGCAGATAGACAGCGAGCAGAAGACACCCCGACCCAAAGGCAGCTAACAGGACCGAAGAGAGTCTCACGGCTCGCTGTAGAATACAATATTTTGTTGGTATTGAGGACCCGTATGTTTTACACTTTGAGGGGAGACCCAATTAAGCAAATCTTTACCCCGAAACTCATGAGCGGTAACAGGGTTTCTCTTGATGTTATTCAGTAAGTATTCTAGGTGCATGGGATTCTTAAGACAGCCTTGACAGACGGTAATCTAAAGCTTCAACGCTCAAGCAGTAATAAGTAAGAAATGAATGTCGGCGAAAGTGATTGAGGGCGCAGAGTCCGGCTGTACACTATTGCGTACATCAATCCAATAAATAGTGGTCGAGTCACAGGCTAGAAGGTCTTCTTTCACCTTTGCAGGTTCTGCAGATCTCAAATCTTATGCCTCAAAGCAGGAGGCCCCGCAGACGTTCATTTCCTCCCATGGCAACGGCGCAAGAATGGTCGACAAAACTCGAATGTGAAAGCGAAAAACTTATTTCAATCTGGACTTCATGGTCAATACTCCAACGTCGTATCCTGACATAGACTTACCTCTGTGCGCCTCTGCAGTCTGTGGTCTGCCCCTTCCGATCCTTTCCGCTGCGCTGCTTTTGCCTCCATGCATATTAGCATACTGAGTGAATGTCTCCAATTGAGAAGCCAGATGTGTGTAATAGAATGGGAACTAGAATGGGACGCACCTCTGCGTGCTTTCTGCCAGCTGCCCCCCCGCTCCTTCCAGCGACGCGACAGGCAGCTCAGGTTACCCTTCTTGCCACTGGAGCTTGTCAACACACCAACACCCAATACTCTCATTACCTCAAACCCATGAGAACCTGGACTCGATGCAACTAGAACGGGCCCAACCTGCGTGTGCCTTCACGCGCCGCCGCTTGCACTCCCCTTAACGGTCCAGCAAACGCTGCTTTCCACTCCGTGCGCGCCTTGTGAATCCAATGCCAAATCCCTCAAGATACGAAACCTCAAACAGCTCAAACATGAGAAGAACGAGGATGGACCCAACCTTCCGACGCTCTTAGCAGGTGGCGCAGCTCCCCTTCTCCGCGTGCCGGAACTGCCGGCTGCTGCTTCAATGAACGGTGCACCCCATACAGCTGGCGCTCTAGCGAGCGGCAGCTGCAGCTGGTTGTGGGTATGGGCGCCCTGGCAATGAAACAAAGGGCGATAATCAGAGACGGATCTCCAGTGGGAAACTTCGACCCTGATTGACCAGGTAGGCACGTAAGCTCACGTTTTTGCGGAAAAACCGCACAGATTGCACGGCAGACCTCCAAAATGCTGATGCCTCATGATGTGAATGAATAGGGAGTGGGCAGTCCTGGTCAATATGCGCACACATAGGGTATATATAACTTGCACAGAAGTTGCAAATAGCGCAGATGCTCTTCTCCGCCGAAGAATTTCACACAAGAAGATTGCAGGCAGCCAGCTAGTATGTGCCCACAAGACTTGAAAGGGTCCAGGCGCAAGATCACCTCTCATTGAATCTTATGGACTTGAGGGTAATGAGAACGTCCAACATCCTGTGACAGCTCGCTTTTCTCCACCAGAGAGACCACATAACTTTTGGGGCCGACCTTTACGGCACAGGACACACCGAGCCCCGAGCAGGCTCCATGAAGGACCGGGCGTTCCACGGCGAATCTTGAGATCAGAATGAGCTTCAAGATGTGAAGCTGGATTAATCAAGGCTAATTCTTGGAGCAAGAACCTTTCCCAGAAGTCTGCAATTAAACCAGGCAGAAAAGTTGAATATCGAACACATGGATGCCCGGGAGAGTCTCCATGAACAAGAAGGCAGAAGAGGGAAGAAATAGATAGAGAAGAGTCTGTAGGATCGAGCAGAAAACGGATTTTTTCCAAACCCAGGGCGGCGTGCAAGTTCCAGTCAATCACCACTTAGCTTGCAGTGCTGCAGAGCATAAGAGGGCTGGCGCATGATACAGAGTGCAAGAAGAAGAACGCAGACTCAGTCTTGCACGTAGTACAGCATTCCAAGCTAATTGAGTGATTTTTGACTACAAAAGATTCCATTCAAATGTGGATCAAGCTAGGATGAACCTTCTGACAATGAAAGCCTTCAAAGAAGTAACGCAAACTGCGATCAGACGCTCACTCCGACAAGCATTTGCTCATTTCCACAGCGTGCAGCCTGGGGTGCATTTTACAGCGCCCATTCTCCCACTTTCGTTATTGGAAGATTCTGGCACTAGAACTCTGGGGGGGGCAGCTGGATAACTGGAGCTGAAATCTATGTCAACCCTTGACATTGTGCCGTGACCGGCAGATCAGTCCGTGAAAACAAACATCCAGCGTGCTTTTGACAGCCTGCTGCCTGCTGTCGCTGCATGCGCCCTCCTCGCATGCATTCCCATCTGTCTACCTAGAAGAGCGCGATCTTGATGTCTGGACAGCGCTTGCGCTGCCTTGCCATCATTCTGTGATCCGATCATTCTCTGGCAGCCGTCGCCGTGCGTGAGATGCGCGGCAGGCGCCGGCGGCCGCCCCCACCGTGACACTGTTAAACTTACAGGCCTGGCAGCCGGCCGGGCCCGGCCGGGCTGCTGAGGCAACAAGCCTGCCACTTCAAGCGGCCGCCGGGTTCCGCGCCGCGGGCATCACGGCGCCGCGACATCACCAGACAGCTTGCCACGCGGCAAAAGCCATTAATGCTGCATAATACACATGCACCCTTGGGCCTTACCTACTACCTAGCTGCATTTAATCCAGTTCTTCCCCGAGTTCTTCTCTTCTTCGAACACATCCATGATCCAGCTGCATATGCATTATGCAGTTTTTCGAGTCTTGAGTCCTCCAACTCCCGAGGCTCCGAGTCGTCGCAGACAGACTCCTGATCGACTCCTGACTCCTGACTCCTGAGTCCTGGCCCCTGGGGCCCCGGCCTGGGGCCCGGATAGGCGGGTGTGGCCTGATATGGCCGGGCGCTCTGGCTGAGGACCGGGGTGCCTCGGGGTATCAAGACGACTCACGAGTCTCCGCCCTGGCCCGGGCGCCCCGGCCCGGTGCTCGGCGGGAGCAATTGAAATTTGTTAGTTGGCCAACTTGGCCCTACTATAGGGTAGGCATCATGCAGGCAGCAGGATTTCCAGACTTGGGTTGTTTGGTGCCCGGGGCCCCGATCGGAGTGGATCGGCGTCAGAAGCAGCCTAACTCCCGAGGAGTCGAGGACCGTCGACGGTACCGAGAGGCCCTTGTCAACTACCTAGTATGGCAAGTACCGGTACTGCAAATTTGTGTGGCGTGCGCCTGTCACGGGCCCCGGGGAAAGTTGGAACCTCCCGGGCCTCTAGGGGTCGTAAATATGGCGCGGCGTGGATTATGGTTCATCCAAACGCCTCACTGAGGATAGTAAATGCAAGCAAGGAAGCGGTAGATCGATCCGGAGCTCGGGCGCTGCCAGCCCCCTCCACTCTGGTCGAGCATTCCAGTCTTCCAGACCGGTTCTGGGTTGCACCGAGCAGTACCTACCAAGCATGTTATAGTCCTCTGGCGACACCTATTATCAGCTAACAACTCAACGAGGGAAGTTTGATCCTGCCACATGCATCATTGAGTCAGCAAGCTTCAACGGTGTACGTGGTCTAGAGAACTTGAAAAGATGTATAATTAAAGGAACAGCAGCTTCCTGGATTTTCACGCTGTCTAGAGTTTCACCAGCTAGTCATGTCCGATCAGCGCCCAGCTTGATTCTCTTCTTCTCTTGCATTCTCTTGCATAATTGATCACTCAACCTCGCACTCACCTTTTCCTCCTGACCGGGTTGATCGAGTCCTTCATAGCTCCCCATGTTTTGGGAGTGACTCTCATAACATCCAAGACGTACCAGGGAACTCGATCGGGGCTGCCGCTGTAGTATTGCTGCAGCGAAATGGCGCCCTCGAGACTGCAGAGCACATCAGCTGGCAAGTATGCCGTCACGGGTATCAACGCCGTTTTTGGCGTGTGCCTCTTCTTCAGCCTCATGCGCAGCTGCGCGGGCGAATCAGCGGGCCTTCCTAAAGTGGTGAATATCCAATGCGCTGCAAGCGAATGTGCCGCAGGTGTATGCTCGTTTGAGGGTGCTTGCTGCGATTCTGGTGAAAATCCAACTCTGTGCGGGGGGGAGTGCTGCTATCTTGGCAATTCTGCCAATCAGCATTATGGTTATGGCAAAAAGTGCTTTGGGGATGCTGAGGCAGGATTGTGCTGCGATGTCAATTCCAATTCAGTGGATTACCCAACTGTCATCTGCGGAGGACAATGTTGTAGCTCTGGCAAGTGTTTTGGCGATGCATCTGTAGGCGTCTGCTGCTTTGATGGTGCCACGGAGATTTGTGGAAATGGGAATTGCTGTGGTTTTCCCTATTTTGAAGTGACTGCCAGCTGTGTTGACGACGCCGCCCAGCCAAATAAGCCCTCAGTATGTTGTCTACCGGGCGGGACCATGTGTGGCAGCGGGTGCTGTAACACTTCTGATGGAGACGGTTGCGAATCAGACGGAATGCAGCCAAATGATCCCCCAATCTGCTGTTCGCAATACCAGACCAACTGTGGGGGCCAGTGCTGTGACAGGACGTACTCTTGTGTCATTGACACTGCCCATCCAAATCAAACCCCGGTTTGCTGTCCTCAAGCTGGCGCGAGCATATGTGGCGGCGAGTGTTGTGACACAGCCAATGGGTTCTCCTGTGTAAGCACACCTGGGGACGCCTCAGCTGCTTCTGGTGTATGTTGTTATGGAGAGCTGGGCGATTCCACACCTCCGATTCTTTGTGGGGGTCGATGCTGCTCCCCTGCATATGGTCAAGTGTGTTTTGGTGATGCTATCACAGGAACCTGCTGTCCGCAAGATTCTTATCTTACAATCGAAGGCGAGTGCTGCCCAATTGGGACGGTTCTGTGTGGAGGTCGTTGCTGCGATGAGAGCACTGACTCACAATTCCAATGCCTTGGCAATGCAACCTTTGGGAGCTGCTGCTATAAGTCTCCCGCAGAAGAGTCATCTCAAATCCTATGCGGGGGGCAATGTTGCCACACTGGTCCATATGAAGGTGGATATGCAGCCGACCTCTGCATTGGAGATGCACTTGAGGGGGTATGCTGCCGAAGCGCAGCCGGGAGAACTGATATAGTCAATTGTGGGGGTACCTGCTGCGGAAAAGATGCTTGCGCTGGCAATGCAACAGTGGGACTCTGCTGCTACTGGGACCCATCCAGCGTATGTGGGGCAGACTGCTGTGACACCGTGAATGGCTACAATTGCGTGCAAGGTTCATCCAGCGTTGAACTGTGCTGTTACGGGAGCCAGAGCACCGTGTGCAGTGGCAGGTGCTGTGATGCTGCTCTTGGCTTCAACTGCTTGACGGACGGGTCTGCAGAGCTTTGCTGTTATGGGGACACTGCGACCATCTGTGGAGGCCTGTGCTGCACCGGAATCTGTATGGGAGATGCTGAGAAAGGAAAGTGCTGCTACGGGGCCTCTGACATCAACCAGCACTGTTTGAGTAAGTGCTTCTTTCTGCCTTTCAGTTGCTGCTTTGAGTCAATGTATCCGGCATGTCCACTTTAAGCTGAACTTGACTAGACACTTTTGTCTCCTTCAATAAGATTCAATCTAGTGAGATTCATGATCAGCTCTTGCCTGCTTAGAACATGCTTCTTTCGCTGAATAATAGAGTCACCTTTTCATGACTTTCTTTGAGAAACAATGATACAATCTCATTCGTCATGAGCCAAAAGTCTGTGGAAAGAGGAGGGGATGCTCGAGCCCCCTCGCTGTGGGAGCTGATGCATGCCGTATCCTTGGCAAACACAAGGGTTGCACATGTTCGTTCAGCTCTTGCCCTTTTCAAATTAATGACAAGACTTGAGAAGAAATCCTGTCTGCTTTGCTTTAAGGAGCTCAGGTTTTGGATCGATTACTATACATAGATGCAATCAAAGTGCTAGTCCTGTTTGTCGGGCACAATGAAGCCCATGCTGAAGCTTTGAGGATAATGATACACCTTGGCGCACTCTTGCAAAGCAGGAGAACTCCTTTTCAAAGACCTTTTCAAAGACACAAACAGACATGGCTCGCGTGTGGGGACTGCTTGGGAAGTTGAGCTGACGTCGTTTCTGACAACCTCTGCAGGTGCTTCTGGACGTGAAGACCCACACTTTCAGCTCAAGGGATTCCCGGATGGCAAAGTCCTGGAGTGGGACTTCCACGGTAGACATGATCTGTGCTACTGCATGCTCTCCGATACAAAACTTGCGGTGAGCAGCTATCATAATTAGTCAGAAGGTTTCCAGTTCAGCTTGTTCAAGCTTTTTGGCCGAGCAAGTGTCTAGCCGTACACAACGTCAGCAAGCCGTCGGCAGGTCTGTCCAATACTGTAACTCTGTCTGGTATTCACCGACAGCGAAGATTAACGCATCAGTGACCCTAATAAATCAAAGAAGGCACTAGCTAGGCTACTGCCAATGGAACGTGGAGGAAAGCGTCGTCAACTGGAAGAAGATGAAGTGCGCTTTAGTATGTAAGTTCCTGCCCTTTCCTCGAGGGCTTTGTATATCATTGGAGTGCATCCCTTAAGTTCTACGCTTCTTATACTTGAAGCAAGCCTGGAGCCCGCCTGGAGGGCTCTTGTCTGACGTCATCAATCTCGATGCTTGTCGAAGTCTTCTGTTGCTCTAGATGGTCGCTTCGAAAATTCCTCTGAAGCTTTTGTAGCGACGAGTGTTCAACTATTTAACATCACATCAGTCAGGACTGCGGAAAATGGATCGAACCTTGTAGGTGAATGCCTTTTTGAAGCTGGCAGAAACGCACGTTAGCGACGATCGATCTTGCGCTGAACATCGACTTTTTCTCCGCAGCTAACGGTCCACATGTTTTCCCTGGCACCGGACGCCCGCATCCTGGAGCGTCCGGAAGACGACGGGCTCAACTTCTTCGAGGGCACGTGGATGGACAGACTAGGGATTATGTACATCGACGAAAGGGGAGAGGAAAAGAGCATTGCTGTCGTTCTCAACTCCGATCTGGACCGCGCTGGAAAGCCGCCCTTTGACGTCACCTTCCAGGGGGATGACATCACTGCTGCTGTCAGCGTAAGTGAAGTGGCGACATAAGCGGCCAAAGTGGCAGTATCAAGGCTAGAAAAAGGAACCTTAGCCGGTCTTGCGTTCAGATATCCGGCCATCCCACTGGCATGACTTCGTGCATATGCGATTCTGAAACTGGGAACTGACGTCGGTTCAATCAACTTTAAACGTTTGGAATGCCTTTGCCTGTGATGGCAGCTCAACTTGTCGGTTGCTCTTGAAGCTTTTCGGGGAGCCCGGTGAGTTTCTTTTCTATCACACGCGTTTTGCTCAGGGTTTCCTTTTGCTTTTTACGTTCCATTCCGTACATCCATTATTCTGGTTCCGTTCGGATTTGTCTCAACTAGACCTGACTTCCTTCAGCAACTGGCAGAACGACGTCAGCAAAATAAGAGATTATTCAATTCAAAGAGCAAAAGTCACTCCAAAACTTGAGCCTCAAAACGGCCTTCTGAATCTGCAAACCTCTGATTTTGCAGGCCCTCGGATCTGATTGGACAAGCCCCGACGGCACGTCCCGGATCCGCTGTTCCGCCGACCGCGTCAACGCCCTTTCCGTTTCCGTTGCCGGACTCCTGGAGATGGAGATCGTGAGCGACGTGGAGAAGGAACTGATCGCGAATCCGCCCGTCCACTTCCTCAACTTTGAAATCAAGGCCATCGCCAACACGGCAAATGTGCACGGGGTAAGGGACTAAATGACCGCTTCAGTTCCTCATTTTGATGACGACGTCTCTGCACGCATGATGACGCGGATCCCACTTTTGGTTGTTTGAGCTGAATCAACTGGTTACTACCTGAGTATGTCCTTCCTTCTTGCTTGACGCTCATGCCGTTAGTCACTTCCCTTGAGTAGCTTGACCGACAGCTGACGATGAAGCAGCGCCGTCAGGTCTCGAACGACGCAATATGTTGAGTTGCTTTACTTTACTCTTGAATTTGCTGCGCTCTCAAGATAGCGGTTCGTGTGCACTTCGACGGCCCCGCCTTAGCTGAATCTTCCCAAAGAAACTCGGTGGCCTTCGGCCCACGTCTTTGATTGCAGCCAACATGACAGTCAGCCTATTTGCGATCATCTTGACGTGATCGCCGCGGCTGAGCCGACGACCCGAGTCTGCTAGAAATTCTGATGGCCACAGATGCTAATCACTTTACTTTTAGCAAAATCGATCTCCCGTGGCAAAGGGTGAATCTCTGCCGGCAGGATCCCCTTGTAACCCCTCTAAACTCGGATGTTTCTCTCCCTCTCCTAGTTCCTGCCTAGGCTGGGCCAGATGTACGCCTTATGACCCCGGAGAGAAATCTCTCTCTTTGTAGTTTCTTGATGGCGACGACAAAGTCTTTTCTCCCTTTCCTCGTTCCTGGGCCAGATGTACGCCCCCGGAGACAAACTTCTCGAGTCTCGTAATCCCTTGTTCACTAAAATAACTTCTTTTCCTCCCCTAGTTCCTGGGCCAAATGTACGCCCCTGGAGCGCTCGAGGAGCGGCTGGCGATGGGCACCCTGGAGGGGCTCCGCCACCGCGAGTACGTTGAGGGCACCGATGACGACTACCTCACCTCGGGCCTGACGTCAGCGGACTGCGGCTTCAGCCGCTTCGGCCAGGTGCGGACACATGTCGCCATGCGCTCCCCTATATCTCGGACGGAGCTCTACAGAAATATTGCACACGCGGGCTCGCCTTGCTTGTCCCGGCTTCATGAGCGAACCCCTTTTGCTTGACGCTGCCTCATTCTTGCACGACCGTACTCCCGTTAATATAACGTGGGACGTTTTTCCCCGTGCCCGAGAACCGGGGGTCAAAACCGCGGCACCCATCGTACGTGAGGAATGTGCCTCCCCAAAAGAGCATGCAGTAGGACTTTGCTTCTCGCAGCTCCCCCTCTCCCCAACCAGAGCGTTCTCCATACCGTCCTCGACTCCGTTTAGTATAATGTTAGTCGTGTCTCATTCGCGCTCAAAAGAGAAGTCTTCTCTCGACTAAACAGCACTTTTCTTTTCATCTTTCAGGTGCCGGAAAACCTGGTGGTCGATACAGTTGGATCCCCCCGCCGTCTCTTCTCGATGGGCGACCACGACATTCCCGCCACAAAGTCGACGCTTTGCCGCCTCGTTGGAAAGGGTAGAAACTCGTTCGTGTGTATGTAGATTTCGGCGGAATTTCCAGGCAGAAGGGACCAGCTTTCTGTAGATTTACTTGTATTCCGTGGTTTTTGTTTATTCTGTTCTAATTGCGTCCTGCAAAGGTAGCCAGGCCTTTAATGCCAGTGAAACGGAGGCTTTCTAGCAACTAATTAAATCGACGACTAGCCCGGACAGATCAGATTTCAGTCACGATTCTTGCTTGGATTTGAACGGGCCAGCAGATTTAGCCGGTCTTTGTACCGAACAGGCTTCCGCTTCATGGATTAATTCGGGGTCACTAGGTTCAAAGACAACTAGCTGGACAGTCGTCTTTATTTTGAGCGGGTATGCGTTATGCTGCCAGCTCCACTAGAAAGTAGCAAGTCTACTGCGATCTTCTACTTCATTCATACTGTCCTTTCATTGTCGCGTCCAGATCCCCTCAAATAATGATCATTAGAACGTCGTGCCTGCTTTTCCGGTACTATTCGGGCACGTTGGGGAGCCTGAATGTTTGACGAATCCACTAAGGCGGCCGTCGTGATTGTGCTCCATTTCTTGCTCGCATTATGAGCGTCATGTGGCTGATCGTGTTCTGAAAAATCCTCGCAAGATCCTTGCACGCTCATACGTGTAACGTGCGATCAAATCGGATAACATTACGCGCGCCGCAAAAATATAACCGGGGCCCGGTTACATTTTGATTAAGAAGCTCTGCAAGCTTGTATATGGTAACCTCAGATGGGCCTGCGAGTACGGATCAATTCAAAGTTCCTCGGACTCTATTTCGATCTACGATATCTATTCCACTGTACGGATCGATCCTCGAATTAGGTTTGAACGTAGGACTCTGTTCCGGTCTACAGAGATAAAGAGCGGATCGTTTTATAAGTAGCCTAGTGATCTACTTGACGTGGCACGTCAGCATTTCAGATCACTTTCTGTCAATACTGCAAGTCGAATCTGGTCAGGTACGTGGCCTGGTTTGACAGGTTGAGCACATACCGAGGCTGCATATGAAGTCTTTGCTCTATAGCAAGCTGTTTGGTCTTATGTATAGCGGCGGCCATTTTCGAAGTTCTAGCTCTGTCTGGTCGGACTGAGTTCAAAGCTAGCGGCCTGGCACCTGGCTGGCGCAGCTTTAGCTATGACGATTCCGTCTCAGCACCATACTAATAAAGTTATAAATACATAAGCGGCCCGGCCTGTCGGAGGCCCGTTGCGCGAGACACGAGCTCGTTGGCTCGAAGTAATTAAAGCTTCATGCCTATTCGAGCCCGTGTGCGTGCAATTAGACAACTTGAAACCCCTCGACGGAACCTTTCAAATCCGCTGTTCCGCTGATCGCGTCAACGCCCCGTCCGTTTCCATTGCCGGACTCCTGGAGGTGGAGGTCGTGAGCGACGTGGAAAAGGCCGGAGCTGATCGCGGATCCGCCCGTCCATTTCCTCAACTTCGAGATTAAGGCCATCGCTACCACAGCGAACTTGCACGGGGTATTTAATTAGGTTTAAGTTAGGGACTCTGCTCAGGAACCAACAAAGGAAGTTTTCGCAGCTAACCAGGCTGGAATCCATACTTAAGTCTCAGCTTGCTTATTGGACAAATAGCCGGTAATTAAACTTGGCTCCAAGGCTGGTTACCGGCCAAGCCTGCCTAGTGGGAGGATGAATATACACTTTTCAAACAGCCCATAGCATCCAAGGTAAACGGCGCCGAGGATTTCTATGCAAAGGGGCCATCCCTACTCGAAAGCTCAGAACCCTTCCAAACCCTCCCGGTTTTGGCTTGGCGACCGATTCGTGCGCGATCCGAAGCTGCTGCCGGAGATCCTTGCGGGCAAAACCGTCTCTGCATAACTCCATGATGCTACTCGTCACGTGGATACAACTCGTGCGTGTTCGAACCGCAAACCGGTTGCGACGTTATACCCGTAATCTGCTCCGCTCGTTTTCTTGCCGCGATCGACCTCCCTCCCACTTCTTCGGCGGAGCGTGAGAAGTGGTGAAGCATTTCCTTCAGGATTTTGTCGTGTTCTAGCCTACAGCAGATGGGGCACCCCGCGGCCAGCCGTGGCGCCTGTTCATTTCTAAGAAATCCAAGCCTAAAACCTTCATGAATGTGGGACGTAGCTGAGCTTAGACCGTTTGATAAGCAGCGGACCAGATCTGGCAGTCTAAAGAAAGATTAGCCTCAGGTTGATTGCAATCAATTTGGCGGGCCAGACTCTAATCTTTGAGTTGATCCAAACTGCCACGGTTCTCGCTGCTCAAACTGGTCAATCAACCGTTTGTATGTTAGATCAAACCACGAAAGGCCGAGGGAAAACCACCGACGAGGCGGTTGACAGTGGACTCACCCAAAAACCCGCTCTACACTCCAATGCTTTTGAGTTCCTGTTCAATCAAACAAATTCCTTACCGAACAGGTTCCGTTCTCTTCTAGTTCCTGGGCCAGATGTACGCCCCCGGAGCGATTGAGAGCGGCTGGCGATGGGCACATGGAGGGTCTCCGCCACCGCGAGTACGTACGGCGAAGGCACCGATGACTACTACCTTACCCCGGCCTGACGCCCTCCTGACGTCAGCGGATTGCGGCTTCAACCCCTTCCGAGGCCAGGTGCGGCCGAACGACTGTCACCAAACACCGAGCTTTACTGTCATCAGATTTTGGTTTCATAAAGCACAAAGATGCGAACGGATCAGGGGCCTTACTTGTCCGGGCTTTATGAGAAAACCCTTTCGTTTGACGCGCTGCCTCATTCTAGCACGGCCGTGAAAGGAAAAGTGAACGGCTTGCATGTCAAGACCGTAAACGCATTGAACGTTGAACGGCCCGGTCCTTTTTTGATTCGGACTCGTTCAATGTCCGGTATCATCCGACCGTCTTTACGCATGTCAAATTACGAATCTAAGTTTTTGATATAGCTCCACGCTCTACGCGAGCACCGTGCTAGCAATCCTTAGCTTGACAGAGCACGATCCCAGCACGATCAACAAGCTTAAATACCAGTCGATCGATCTGGGCAATTTACCGCATGCTATATATACGTTATACGGTTCACATATAATCGCGATCCTCTGCATTCAATTCATGCAATTAAAGCTACAGCCTGCAAACCCGTGGCTGTTCAATCGATCCGATGATCTAAAATGTCCGGAAGGTCGATCAGCAGACTCAGCCCGGCCTATACGGTTGCATGAGTGCCTCAAAAAATGGCATAGCCGCGGCCCGGCCCGGCCATGCAGGCTTCACTGAGGTTCATGCATGAAATTCCACCTTCTAGCAATGACTAGCTATAGCTATCTAAGTCTGTAACTCTCGATCAAGGCCGGCGCGGCTGGCATGCAAGTCGTGTTGGTATGACTAGGTGCCGGTGCAGTGATATTGGTCACACTTCCAGGGCGGCTCCGGGCCCTTTTGAGTGTCCGTATACTATTGTAATGGTGTTTTGAGGGGCTACTTGCCATGCGGCCGGGGGCCCGCTCATCGCGGAAGCCATAATGATGCAATAACTGACCATGCGGTTCAAAAGAATTGCAGAACGCCGCCCGACCTGCATGTAGCTTCCACGTGACCAGATAAGTGCCTATAGCCTAGTGGCTGCACGTACTGACTACACGGTGTGCGTGGCTTGTTAACAAAATATCTGGAAGCTACACCAATCTCGTCCGACTGCAGTACGGTCGACAAGCCTGCAATTGGTGTCAGCTTCTGAGCTATTTGTCGGGCACGGCTGCTGACGCATGATGCACCAGGCCATGCCACACGTGCCCGGCCTCGGATGGTCGCCCGGCCAGGCGTGGCCGGGCCATACGCCAGGGCCAAAGTTGAAACACAAGACTTCGCAACCGTCGAGCCTAGCGGTGCACATGCATAATAGTATGTGTAAACAAGAGAAACCATTTCGTTTTGCCTGCTCGACCTCGAGTCACAAATCCCTCAGCTTGATCTAGAATGCTGCCAAGCATTCCGCCCCTTGTTTTAGACAAAACCTAACTTGCAGAATTTTTCGATTGAATCGGCCAAACACAACACGAGGACAAAATTGAGGCCGCAACGTGGCTTACGTTCCTAGTCCTTGTCCCGCACCTCGGCTTCAATATCTACTATTGGACCACTGCTCTTCCCTGCAAGAAGTCGTCCGGAATTTAGTTAGCTGCTCTGAAAACATCAGTTGGGAATGATCGGTCAAAGAACGCTCAACGAGTGACCAACCTGCATAAATAGCTTCAATCTGATAGTAAGGCAAATTCCAACCTCCCAGATGACCAGAGTGATGTGAAGACGGGCGCAAGCTCTTGAAACGTACGACGACCGAGGGCAGAGAATGAAGATCTTCTTGGAGCCTTGATAGGAAGTGCAGTTCATGTAAAATGATTTTGTCGTTGCCTCGGCGTCCGTTTCCTGGTCTCAACGGACACACACTGGCAATCAGAGGTAGATACGACCCCTTTTCTGTTTGTCTGATCTGGTAGCTTGAACTTCAGGAGGGGGACACCGCAACGTGTCTTCGCAAGCACTCTTCCAATGACGAGCGAACGGCGCTCACCACTGGCTTGCGTATTTTGGCGGCCGAACATTTGGGAGAACACGCTTGTGTCAACCCCGGACTCGAAAGAGGGGCGGCCTCGGACGATCTTCTTGTTCTCAACTGCAGGCAGCAACCGACGAAAGAATAACCGTCAAACTTACGACACCCCTTCCTTGCTTCGGCTCGTCACCTATAACTTGGAGAATGGAACCTCAAATTGCGGGCTTTCTCCAACTAACCGATTTTGGCTAGCCTGGTTACGAACACTGACCTACGATCTAGGTAGCATAGGGCAAGGTAGGATAATTGAGGGGAACGGGTGGGGTTAAGTTCGGGGTTTCAGGCGGGTCGAAGTTCGGAGTGCATGAATCTGCCGGTTCTGAATTTTCGTGTCGTTTCACCCCCGGGAACGATGCTATCCTACCTAGACGTTATCTTACTTTCATTCTAGAAGTAGGTTCAGAAGTGAAGTTCACATTGCTTCAACGAGCTGAGGTTCCGGCGCAGCTATGGCAGGAACCGAGCTGTCGAAGAGAGTAAACAGGCAATGTAGGATAGAGCGCCAAACAAAGTTCGACGGATAGGAGACAAGTACTTGTCAAATGGAGGCAAAAAGAATTCGGAGTCAGAGAGAGCGAGCGAGAGAGGGTCTCCATTTGCTTGTCATTCAGAAGATTGAAAGAAGAAGCAAACGGGGCTGCGACGCTTCTGGGGCACGCTTGGGAGAAGATTCGTCTCGAAGACTTTGAGTCGCGTCCCTTTTGTCACCAGGTGGGGAGAAGCGTTATAACTTCGACCGCCTTATCTTTGCGGGTAAATCTGCCTTGGCTTTCGGCTCTCAAATCCGTTACTTTAGGTGGCACCGCTTTTGCCGACGCGCCACAAGCCATGCTGTCTCTTCCGAACTTACTCTGCACGTGTCTGTGAACACAATCAGTCACGAGGATTGATCAAGCGACTGAAAATAGTCTTGTACAAGCTCGAAAGAAGTTACTGGGAGCATAAGGCTATTGGCGGAGAGTATGAGCAAGGAGCGTGTCAGGTGTTCGTGAAACAACTTCTGACTTAGCCCGATTGTCTAGCAGGAACGGTAAGCTATCGCGACATGGGCATGCCTCACCTTTCAAGGAAGCTCTGCAGGTAGGGCAGTCGAAGGACAGGTCGTCGTTCTTTGGAATCTGAATGCTGCATTAAAATCGTTACTAGATTTAGTTTGTAAAACTGCATAAGATGCGCGTTCGTAACATTCTTCGCAGAGCCCCGTTTCTTGTGGGAGTCAGAGGACTGGGCCTGCGCAACAACGGACTCCAATTGCTTCAAAGATAGAGGCCTGAGGCGGTCAACTAATTCGACAATCACAGTGGCCAGTGTCGCCACACTGCTAAATTGTGTAATTACTCTCTTCCAGCAAAGTTCAAGACGGAAAGTGAGACTACGTTCGTTCCTGGTGCTGCGGACCGCATAGCAATGCCTTGATCCGCACTCTACACTTGACAGCGGAACCGGGGGTGACAAATAAACACTACAAATCGTTTCGCTGTAATCAAGTTGCCCCCCCAGCTGCTGCCAATCCCAGAAAGGAGTCCAAATGGCAAAATCCTCACGGCATCGGATTGGCTGAGTCCACAATCACCATGTTGTCAGCCATCTGCACAAAAGACAGGTCCGCTCCGCAAGTAGGGCACTGCAATGCAGAATATGCTCGGGCTTGGTCAGTGTCAATGGATTGAACGCGCGTTTCAACCTGTGGCTACATGCGAACAGGTTCACCCTTGACTGCATCTCTGAGCGTTGCTACAGAATGCGCCGGCGAAGATGGTATTTCACTGGCATCGGGCCAACAGTTTCAACTACTCACAGTTGTGCTTTCTTTCGTTCTAGTGCCGTTCTGGAAGACACCAAGCTGTGCAGTGTTGCTGTCCTCAGGCTGAAGAACAGCAGTCACAGAATTCACGAGGTTATCACTAGAAATAGATTGACCTCGAACTGATCATGGCAAATCAGGGTGGTTTACTGGTTCCTTTTCCTCAAGCGACCGGCTTGCCACATTGCACCCGACAACCAATACACTGCGGCTTCACTAGACGTTCTTCAATGTTGAGTACTGAGGTTTCAAACGCCGACAAACCACATGCGAAGCCTGGTAGTACAAAGGGCCGCGTGTTATTAGTCTCATACTGACAATGGCTGTCCGAAAACCTTCTGGACCTGCTTAGAATTCTTGTATTGAGAAGCAAGAGGCCGGTTAACAATGAGGTTGACCGAGAAACTGGCTCCACACTTTCGAAGACAACGTAAAATCACCTCAAAGCGCCCTCTTTGATGCAGGGCGATCGATGTTGCAATGAGAACACAGGTTTCTAGAAACTTTTGATAACCCAACCATCTATCTTGCTTCCAAGGTTCAAGGTTGAGGGAGAAGGGCAGACAAGTTAAGTGGGATTAGGTGCTTACCGGGCCTTGTATCTGCCTAGAATTTGCGTATGCCAGGAAGGCCAAGAACGCCAGGAAAAGAAAGACCGGAATCGCGAAGATGGCCAACTGCAGATGAAAAGTGGCAAGGTTTTGGTGAAAGTAAAAGTGAGGGCTGAAAGCTGTAGTTAATTTGTAAGAGGGATGTATGCTTGAGCGCCTTGTTCAACGAGCAAAAGGACGGCTTCTCTGCACCCTTTGCTTCAGCATTTCCCCTCAGAAAGGCCAAACCTGCTACGAGTGCCATTCCAACCGACTCTACGAGCACACACAGAGAGTTTTTTGTGCTATAAGTAGCGTGCTCACCGTGATTGCGGTCAGCCCCTCAAAGAACCAGTTAAGCTGCCCGGTCAGCGCTGACCAGATAACCAGACCCCACGTAGCCCACCCCAGAACCTTCCCCAGTTGCTTCCCTGAATCATTGTCAGACCCCCCACCTCCTAGGACACTTACAGCTACAGAGCCTCGTTGTCTCCTTCTCGAGTTTCCACCTGGCCGTGTTTCAAGGGTTTTCCGGGGGGACAGGGAAAGGCGTTGTCTGAGGAAAGTGTTTGAGGGGCTATCAGCATTGGCAAAGGCCATCAGAGCGTTTTTGCGGCCAGCTTTGCTTTGCCTTTGACATACTGCAGCTTCGCTGCCAGACGAGAGACTTTCTGAGCTGTGCTTTGGAGAGAGAGAGGAGCGACGCAGGGTGCTTCTGTCAGTAAGGTTCAACCTACTTACGCAGGGATTTGAAACTGTGTTCTGTATCAATGGCCCCTTCTGCACTAGCTGGCGTCCAGTGAGGTGGGGTGCGCAAGTTGCTTGGGACGTGACTGCAGCCATCTTGCAAGCCCAAGCAACTCCAAATCAGCACCTCTTTCTAAAATGTCAACAGCTCTAATTTCGTGAGGTGACTCCCTCAATCGCTGCGCCTCTTGAAATGCTTGACCACAGGCAACTCAAGCAGTGTTAAAATGGCCAAAGGCGCCAGCGCGGAACGCAATGCAGACGTAGAGGAAGTTCCGCAACTTTGCTCGCTTTCACTTAATTGAAAATAGTCCACCAATGGCCAGACATTCTGGGGCTATGCCTTTATCTTGCAAAGGAAGCCACTTAGAACTCGGAGCCCTTCCAAAGACCAGCAGTACCTGTACTTGGTACTTTGTTATGCCCGGTTCACATGCGTCCAGTTTTGCTCAGTTTTGCTTGGTTTTGCCAAATATGTCCGACGTGGCAGCTCCGGAATCAGCGGGACGCATATGAACACCACTTTCGAAAACCGAGCAAAACCGAGCTCGGTATTTGCCGAGTATCCGGAAAACTGGCCAAAACTCGCTGAAACTCGACCGCATTTCAAAGCTGCGTATTTGTCAAAACCGAACGCGGTCGACGGAGGCCGCGTTTTGAAAGATGAAAACGCGGCCCATGTTGCCGAGTTTTCGCCGGTTTCGGCAAACTTTGAAAACGCATGTGAACCGGGCATTAGAGATGCGAACTTTGCACAGAGTTCGTGAGGAGGATACTGCAGCAGAGTGAGACAGCAGTGCAGGGACGATGGGCACGTACTGAACCTGCTTGCTGCAACTTGCAAGCTTGCAAGCTAGGAAAAGTGGAGATCTTGCTCCAAAGGTAGACCATAAATTGGGGCTAATCCATGAGATAAGGCGTGAGGAATGCTTGCATATGATTCCAGCCGGCCTTTCATACTTAGGCGCATGAAGCAGTATACGATACTGTTAATACCATTCCTATTCCTTGAGCCATGGGCAAAATTGAAAATAGGTAGTGTGTGACTGTTTGTCAGAACGCAGGACCCAGGGATTTTGTTCTTGCCGATTCATGTTGGCAGATTGCCTAGATATTAAAATCCTGCGACACCTGGTTATACGCGGCTCTTGAGCTCTGAGCATACGCTCATGCATGTCCAAAAAACGCACACGGCTACACGTCAAACTTTGTGATATCAGGCACACATTCAATAATTCATAGAGGCACAATGAAAAGCAGTCTCCCTTCTAAGTTTGAGACAATGAGAGGGCAGATTGATCATTGAAGCAATGAAGGGCCAAGGCAATGCGCACACACGAGAGAGGACCAACCCTCTGATGCCAATGGTGTGAGGAGCGAAGTAGAGCGGTCGGTAGCTGCAAAATCCAGGTTGCGTGACTCTTGTCAGCCAGTATGGACAAGGAACCTGAATTGCCGGAAGCTGCATCCGGCAAACTTGCCGAAGGTTCTCTACCCAAAGAAGGCAATGAACCTGAGGTCAAAGCTGATGCAAGCGGGGTTGCAGAAGATCCATCATGGAATGCATTCAGCAATGCGGAAGCAGGAGCAGAAGCAGAGGGTGGTGTTGAAACAAGAGCTCCGACTATGGTCCTGGAGTCCAAAATTGTGGAAGAAGAGGGCTCTTTTGAGCAGCCAAAGGGAGGAGAACCTACTGACTTTGGTCCCGAAGCAGCGAAAGTGGAAGAATTGTCAGGGAAAGAGGACCTTGTAAATGCTCCTCAGCTAGCAGTTGATGTGGAGCATTCAACACCAGACTCTGGAGTCAGTGCCTCCCCTGCCCCCATACCCTCCCATCATGTCGCAGTTCCTCTGCTGAATAATGCGACTCCCGAGCTTCTCCGGTTGATAGATTCTGTGATCCAGGGCTCGGAGATGGGCGCAGCAAATAGGTTGCACAAGCTACTGGCTGAGGATGGAGGCCCTCCTTATGCGGTGGCGAATGAGGCTGTCGACATTCTGCTTGCGAAGATGGGGTGGGAAGACCGCTCGACCGCGTCTCATGCAGACGGGGCAGTGCCGCAGGTAGGAAGGTTCCTCTGACATTTTGGCATTGCGAATTGTTTGCGTATGTCCAGATTGCAATGCGACCTTCAAAGGTGAATCATTCTTTGAAGTGAACCCAGGGCTGGTGGTGTTCTCCATTTTGTGAGAAAAGATCGTACTGAGAGTGCAGATCCTTCAGACCTGAATAAGATAGACATCAGAAGTTTGTTTACAGGTCTTGTAAACGAGTCTGCTGTTGGTCCTCTAGGATTGGCGCTTTTCAACAAGACCATACTGGTTGACTAGCCACTCCCTTCAAAGAGCCGTGCTTGCAAGTTTGCAGTCTTGGAAAGGAAGAGTTGTGCAGACATAATGCTTGATGTGTGAATTCTCCTTAGTACACATTTAATATCGCCAATGTCACTGATGCTGGACCATAACATGATTACGACCCACATATCTTCGGAGGCAGATATCTGCATCTGCTAGTCAAACATGTTGCTTTCTTTCGGTCCTTCTGTTGAGCCCCTTTGAACACCCACGAGATGAAACCAAGGATTATTCATCGAACCAATTGCCACCGTGCGCAGGGTGTGTCATAAGTAAGAAACTTTTGGCAACTCCTGGCCCCCATTCCTAGATCCTGCAAACGATCGTTTCTCATTTTTGACATTATGCAGCTGATCTGCAGACATTTTCAGATTTAAAGATTCTCTATCTGCAACTGCTCCAGGTGATGATGAGCGCTGGAGCTGCGCACGCCGCCGCAGAGCTCCTGCCATGGCTGCCTTTCTCCACTGACGAGGCGACATCTGGCGCCTCTCCCAGGCAAGTGCCTATTGGTCTGTTAGTTGATGGCAAGTCTTACGGCTGTAGGCTTGATACTTGGAAAGGATTGGAAGCAAGTTTCTGTGGAGTGACTTTGTTGTGCAGCTTCAGGGGATACGGGTCCCCTTATTCATGGGGCATGCTCGTTGGCGGTTTTGAGGTTCGCTGGGGCTCTTGGCGTCAGCCTTGAACCCACCTCTCGTTTGTTCTTGTATCTCTGCAATCTCATTGTGGATCACCAATGAATCTTCTTTCTATTATTCGCAACATAACCACTATGCCCTGAGGATTTTCCTGGTTGATGTTGGGCCCCAAGTGCAGCAAAAATGAACGTCGAACCCAGACCATCCCAGCTCAATGTAATTCAATTTTCTCTTGTCCTGGTTACATGCTAACCCATCAATCAAGCATCCTAACCCTCTCTTGCCGCAGAACCATGCTCGCAATGGGCCTGGAGGACATCCTCAAAGCGTGCACCCGCAACCGGGCCATGTGCTCCGCGGCGGGGTTACTCAAACCCCTCATCAACGCGGCGCACCTTATTTTCACCGGAGGCGGCTGGGGGGGTGGCCCGGACCATGGAAAGTGGCCCCCTGGGCCCTTGCTGAGTTGCATTGAGCTTTTGGGGGGCCATAGTCTGAGCGTGGGGGATCTGCGGGAACTCCTGGGGGCGGTTCAGGGTGCGACGAAGTCGGGGGACGGCGCAAGCTTGCTGATGTCACTGGAGAAAGCGCTTGATGGGGAGGAGGGGAGGGGCCCTGCGCACACCTTTGAGTTTGACGGTGAGCTTGCGGTTGGAGCAACTTGTAGAATCAAAGGTCTGAGCAAGAAGGCTACGGACTCCATTGTCTCTCCTGCAAAGCATCACATCTGTGCGCTGGGCAATCCGAGAATCACAGACGGCTTTTGGTCGCTTATTTTGTTGAAAAGGACACGAAGGATCTTCTTGCATGGGACCTGGAGTCTCGGACCGGGTTTGTGATTTGAAAACCTCAAAAAGCGGAGTGGCCAGCCTGCTGCTAGCCGTTTTGAGTCCTGTAGAACACCAGCGAAAGCTGAGCAGAAGTGGAGAGTCGTTTCTTTTCAGTTTGGAAGCCAGAAGATACAGTGGTCGCTTTCGTGGAATTGGAGACGATTCATTTTTCAGACTAAGACAAAGTGCCTTGCAGCTTGTCAAGTTGTAGGGAATCGAGCCGGATGTGATGGAACGCCGCCGACAAAAGAATCAACTTTGACGAGGTTGGCCTGTTGCCGTAAGATGCTCCTTTGGGCCAAGTTCCTAAGTCGTTTACACCGTGTTGTCCAGGAGAGAGCTCGGGCCTCCTCGGCGCCGGCGAGAGCAAGTGGCCCTTTGCCAACGGCTACACCTTTGCCACGTGGCTCTATGTGGAGAGCTTCCAGGAGCTTGCGACCACCGCAGCGGCAGCGGCGGCGGCAGCTGCGGCCGCTTCCGCTGCGACCCGCTCCGCCAACAAGGCCTCTCCAGGTAGGGCGATTATCTTGCTGAGTGCCAATCCGTCCAGTCCGCAGAATGAGTGGTGAAGAAAGTTTGACAGGCCGTCTACGAACGGAAGCAAACCCGCGAGGTGGAAAGAAAGATGAGAGGTACGGTCGCCTCGGAGAAGGGGCCAAAGCTGTGGGAGTACCGCTAAAATTGGACGCAAGTTGAATGATTTGGATGGCTAGCTCGTTGAAAGGGATTGACAGCACTGCGGCAGCTGAATTTGAGGGGAAAAGAGATGCGGCGTGTGATTCAGCTTGAACGACAAAGACAAGGATTGGAAGAGACTGGAAAGATTGGAAGAAGGAATAGGGGGGAGTCGCCCGGATTAGTGGCCTCCAAGATTCGCAGAGCATGGCACTCGCTTTTTGTGGTTCCGATAACGCGGCTAGAAACAAGGATTGCTGCATGTCGATTTAGTTCGAAATCTCGATACGATGAGTTGTAGGCTTACGAACATACCTGATGATCCTAAATCTGACAAGTTACTGCGACGAGCAAGTGTAAAGCTGCAGGGCGTTGCAGCCTGCCCTACCTTCCTGAAAAGTACAATCCCCCTATTTGCAGCCGCAGCGGCGGCGGCGGCGAGCGCTGCGGCGGGGGACGGGACCGAGCACATGCCGCGACTGTTCAGTTTCTTGACGACGGACAACTACGGGGTAGAGACGTACTTTCACGGTCAATTTCTGGTGGTCGAGACGGTGGCTGGAAAAGGAAAGCGGGCGTCGTTCCACTTTCAGGTGAGCGTTCTGAAGACTGGTGGAGGAGATGTGAAAAGGTATTCCTATGCGTTAAAGTATTTTGCCGACTTGGAGTAGCGGTTGGGAGGAAGGAAGCAAGCTACTTTGTATGGCTAGCTAGCAATGTCAAAAATGGTTGACGGCTTCAGTCGCCGTCTTTAGGGTGGAGATTGCGAGGCGAACTTGTTAAGTGCAGATCTCATATACCAAAGCGACTGCTGAAGAGAAGCGTACACAACAAGCTAAAGCACTGGAAATTGGTTTTGAAGGCTTTGTTCGGGTGCACTCGTAAGACGGCCGACGCCATTCCGTTGATCTTTGTGTCTTCATGATGATTCGGAGAACTGCTCTGCGAACCTCTAATTTCAACCCGCTTATCAGGTTGGATCTCTGTAGTCGTGGAAACTCAGGCTAGGAGAACCCGTAACGGAACAGAAAACGAAGACTTTATAAAAGTTCGAAACAGGCTCTCCATTCCTGCAGTACACGTTCCGGCCCCAGAAGTGGTACTTCATCGCCATCGAGCACGCCAGCGCCGGGGGATCCCTCTTCTCCCGCACCGACAGCGAGGCACGCCTTTACGTGGACGGGCGGCTGAGCGAGAGCCACGCCCTGGAGCTACCACGTGTCGCCAAGCCACTGGCATTCTGCTGTATCGGGACCAACCCGCCCGCCGCAATGGCCGGCCTGCAGCGGAAGCGACGGCAGTGCCCGCTGTTTGCGGAGATGGGGCCGATTTACATTTTCAAGGAGCCCGTGGGGCCGGAGAAGATGGCGCGGCTGGCCAGGAGGGGAGGTGAGAGCCCTCGAAGATCTCGGGGTTTCGAAGCTCAATTCTCTTGAGCTTGATACTATATGTGCGAACTTTTCAGGAGGGCCATAGATTGAAGAGATGGCTCGTATAATTGCAGTAGCAAATGTCTCGGGCTGGTCTCCTTTAGGACACGTTCATCGTTAGCACGGGGATCGATACCTAATTTTAAGCCTGACAAGCGCTTGTAATACATGTAGGATGTCGTATTCCCCAAATCATGCTTTTTCGCCTCTCGTTCCTTCTCAACATCTTGCCCGACTAAGGACCTTGGATCCGCTTGCTCTTGGGTTCTGAATTGCCTCTTGATTCTGGCGGATCTTTGATACGTCAATCCGAAAATTACGTTTTCCTTTCACCAGATCTGTCTGTCCAAGGAAGGAACTCAAGCGAAAGCCATCCGCTCCGCACACCAACCGCCGATTTCTTTATTTTACGACTCAGGTGACTACCTTCCGGCTTTCGGATCCGGTGCCGGGGCCCCCTGGAATGCAACCAACGAGCAGCTGCTGGCGTTTGCAGACGACGCAATCTCATTGGACGCAGACCTCAGCCAGAAGATCCATCTCCTTTATCACCCACGACTGCTGGTAAGATTGGCCCGTCACTTCTTTCATCCTCTTCTTCCAGGACGCAGCTGTGACATGCACCCTTTTGCCGTAGTCCTTTGCTTTACGGATACAGTGATCCGTCGGGAACGCAAAATGGGATTTCTGTGATCCCCATTGTCCTCGGTTATGAAACAGCAAAATCTCAGGTTTGCTCTAAGAACGAAAGCAAGTAGAAACTTCGAGATATCTGAAATCGCCCGCTCACTGGGGTCTTGCCAAGTCACGCTTTTACCACGAGACTGTTTCGAAGCTATGTTCACTTCCGCTGCCAGGTTGGACGATCTTGCCCGGACGCCTCTATTCTCGGCACGTCTGGAGCAGCTCGGCGGCCAGCCGAGGTCTTGGGCCACGTGCACATTGCGGGGCGTTCCAGACCCGCCGATGCAATCTGGGCCATGGCGGAGGGCGGGCCTGCGGCCTTGCTGCCTCTGACGGTGAGTGCTCCGAGCCTTAGGACGGTTCATTGCATTTGACTGACTCTGCTTCTTGATTTTTGTGCCCCCTCAACTCTTGTCGACTTTGGATCTGGCAACGAGACGTGCGGAGAATGTTGTATCATTCAGCTGAGAACTGGTGTGCTTTGACGTCAAAAGAATCGTCTTTCGCTACTGGCGGCGTGAAGGTTCGTTGGTTGCAGCTTCAATTGTGGCTAGTATCTACGTCTCTGCGTATGCACATCCGCTGTCTCTACTCAAAGCATGCAGTTTTGATATACCTTTCGACGTCTGCTTCATGCCCGCTGCATTGAATTTATCAACGTTCCGCATCTTTCCTGTATATTGCTTCGATCTTTCGGAAGGTCGCCTCATGTCTTGCGTATCCCCTCCTTTTTCCTCAGGCCAGCGAGTGAACCTTCCTCCATTGATTCCGTTCGGTTGAGAACCAGATTCGCGGCTCTGGCTCATCGCTCCGTACGTTCATGCCCGGAAATTGTGCGACTGTTTGCAATTCGCATCGGGGCCTTCGGCCCTCCACTTCCAGGGAGGCAGTCCTTCGAGGTTTTGCTTTCTTGCGAGTCAGAAAACAGGTGCATCATCTCAAATGCATCACCACTTCCAGATTGGCGCCATCGACAAAGACACGCTCCAGCCCGCCGTCGGCGACCCCAAGACCGCAGCCTGCGCCGCCGCCGGTTGCGCGCCCCTCCTCCGCTCCATCGAACGGTCCCTCCTTCGTCATCCGGGAAACGTCGAGGAACTCGCCCGGGGGGACGCCCCGCGCTTGCTTGCGCACCTTCTGAGGTACATCATGTCGCTCCCGACCCCAAGCGCGGCTGCAATCGATCCCACTGAGGGGGGGCTGGTTGTGGGGCGGAGCGGGAGGGGGGACGAGGAGCTGGTGCTGTCCGTGATTGGGCTTGCGACAGCGACCAAGGTGAGAAAACTTTAGGATTTCTACTTGTCCACATTCTTTATCTGGCTACTTTTGGGTCTAACGTCCTGCACCACCCCGCAGTCTAAAATTCAGGAGATCAAGATAAAGATTCTGACGAGCCAGATGTATCGCCTCCGAATAGATCCAGAGATGTCTCCTGTTTGATGCATGCGCTTCACGTCCAAACGTAGTCTCTTCTTCCTCAAGCCTTCATGCTATTACGGCCGTACAAAAGTCGACAAGACCCGAGCTGTACGAAAGTCGACGTTTGTACGAACTCGAAACCAGGTGTGGAAAAGGATTGCATGTGCACTTATGAAAGCAAAGCGAAGTAAATGTAGAAGAAGACTGCAATTTCCGAGACGGACTATGAAACAAACATAAATCAGGTGTGGAAGAGGCTCCGCTTATCGAGACAAATTATGAACGGATAACGTACTTCATGTGCAGGCCAACCCCACGCTCAAGGTCCAAATGTACTCGTCTCTGCTCCTCGACCTCACGCTGTGGTCCAGCTGCTCGTACGACCTCCAGAAGCGCCTCCTCTCCAGCCTCGCCGACATGGTCTTCACCGAGGCGGCCGCGCTGCGGGCGGCAAATGCGGTGCAGTTGCTGCTCGACGGCTGCCGCAAGTGCTACTGGCTCGTGCCGGAGGCGGAGAGCGCAACAGGGCCTGTGCTGGGGAAAGCTCCAGGGTAGGTCGATTCATCTCGTGTCGTGGTCTCTGACAACGGTCCCGAAAGAGCGGATTCACTAGCTTGCGAGCGATTTAGCACTCGGCAAGCGTGGCCAACAAGTTTACCAGACAAGATTATCTCTGCTCAGAATTGACACCGCCCTACTCTTCTTCCTCTCCTTTGCTTCAGTACTTCCTTCTTATTACCCGTTCCGCCTTCCTCGTCTCGCCCCCTTATCCTCGTGTTACCTCTTGTGAGACACGCCTCCCTTTCCGCTTTCTCATGAGACTTCTGCTCTCATTTGTCGGTCATATGCCTCTCTGTCAACCGACTGCCTTTTCGTTGCAGGAGGGCATGGCCCGTCAGAAAGCTCTTGGTTTTGGTTCCCTCTTTCTCACCTTTGTCTTCGTCAGTGTAGATTGCCCTTCCTTCGTGAGTTCATCGGCTTTTCATGGTATTTATATACTTTTTATGTAAAGATATTTCGACGCTCAAACTCGAGCAATTTCTGCCTTTGTTGCAGGAGCCCACGGCCCGTCGGCGAGCTCAACACCCTCATCGACGAACTGCTGGTCGTTGTCGAGCTGTTAGTCGGATCTGGTCAAGGAGCGGTTGCGGAGGCCGACGTCAAGACGCTCATCCACTTCGTGGTGGACTGCCCGCAGCCTAACCAGGTGGGTTGACTTGCTCATCCGTATCAGTTGTTCAGCTGGCCGGTTCTGACTGTCAGCTTTGTGACAAAAGGCTTGGCTTGAGGAGAGGCTGTTAACGTGGTCCTGTGGCTGCTTTCAGCGTTTGGGGACGCTGGTCTCGTGTGGAAATGGTGTGGGGGTTCTTGATACTTTTTGGAGGACGTCAGGCGCTTAGTCCCAATCTGTCGGCGCTAGTCATCCGCCTTTACCACCTTCGTTTTCCCGTTTGCCCGGTAAATACTTCCTATCGCTTGCGAGGGTTGTGAATCTCGTTCGAGCGTTTCTTTAGGACTTACTTAGATTGGTATCGGGCGTTTCAGATTTTGGGTCCTCATGGCAGCCCAAGTTTCGGATTGCTTCCCAGACCGGGCTTTGTTCCATGTTCATCCACGGGAAGCTGTAGAGGTGCTCTTCATGCCGTTTCTCGGTTTTCAATACTTCTGTTCCTGATCTTCTGCACCATTGTGACAGTGCTTCGTGCTTTCCGTCAGGAAGATACTTACAGCTTGGAATCAAGAAGGACATCAAGAATCAAAGTTTCACATGACATTCCGCTTACCTCGGTGCAAAATCTGGAACCATCTTCTCAACAGGTCGCCCGCGTTCTCCACCTGTTGTACAACCTCATCGTCCAGCCCAACTCCGACCGCGCCTCCGCCTTCGCTGAGATGTTCCTCGACAACGGCGGGGCCGAGATGCTCATCCTCCTTCTGCGGAGAGAGGCGGAATTGGGCGAAACTGGGCACTTCGAGGGGCCTGTCCCCGAGGCGAAGTCAGCCCCCCGTAACGAGAATTCCAGGGGCCTGAATGGGGAAACCGGCGGAGAAGGTGATAGTGCAGACAAGACTGCACAGCGGAGCTTTTCGGACGGAGCCATGTACGATTCGGACAGTCACAAGGAGAGCCCGGGGGAAGCGGGCAGCCCCCAGAGAGCGAACGGACTGCAGAAGACGTTCTCCAGCCAGTCGCTGCACCGCTCGATTGGATCGTCCAGCTCGATTGCAAAGTCCGCCGTGATCACGTCCATTCTCAAGCAGGGGATCCTGTCCCCGACAGGCCGGCTCGTCCACGGAACCCTCCCTCCCTCCCTTAACCTGAACAGCATAACCCTCTCAGTAACCGGCGGAACAGCCAACACATTCCGGAACGTGGACCACGGCGATGGGATCGTGATCGGTGTCGTGAATGTCCTGGGGGGGCTCCTGCACGGTGGCCACTTGACTCTGAACCCCCCCGAATCGGTGCACCCCCCGCCGTCGAGGCTAGACTTCAACTCCCCAGTGGGCGACAACTCAGGCGGCAAGGGCGACGGAAGGCAGGAGGTGGGGGTGTGGCTGGTCTACGCGCTCCAGAAAGCGCTCGAAGCGGCCCCCAGTAGGTTGATCACCGACACCGTGTACAGCGCGCTCTTGCTCGCGGTGTTAAGGTACGAGGCGTCCAACAAGGTGCCCGGAAGTCACGGCGGCGAGGAGCGGTTGACACTATACGGCGGGGGACACCGCTTTGAGAACCCTGAGCTGCTCGCGGCTTTGCTGAGAGATCTACCGGTCGCTGCCCGGGGGATGCAACTGAGGGCTCTGCAAGACATGCTCCTGCTGTGCTGTACCCACGTCGAGAACCGGTTCTGCGTCACCGGGAGCCCCGACTGGCCGGAGTGGGTCCTGGAAATGCTGCTAGCCAACGACGAGGTGACAGCTGTCACCCGGGCGCGGGGGGAACCGTTGCCAGAGGCGCTGGAGACCGTTAACGAGATGTGCCTAAGCTTCCTGTCGCTGATGCTGGAGCACTCGCTGCGGATAAAGGACGGGTGGCGGGACCTTGAAGCGGTTCTCCACTGTTTGGAGTGGGTCGCGGCGCAGCCGCCGAAGCTGGAATGCACGGGAGTTCTCGCGGTTTTAACACCAAGCGAAAGCGTCCGGAGGGAGAAGCGGGAAGCGGCGGTGCCGGGGATCAAGCGCCAGCTGTTCTCGAACCTGCTCGACTTCTGTGCGGAGGAGTTGAACGACCAGACGGGCGTTGTGGCGGCGGCAGCTGCGGGCGTGGCGGCGGGGAACATGTCGCCGAAAAACGCAAAAGCGGAGGCGGACGCAGCAGCGCAGCTGTCGATCTGCCTCGCGGAAAACGCGCTCGTGGTGTTGATGTTTTTGGAGGACTTTCTGCGGAGTCAGAACGTGAAGATGACGGCGCTCTTGACGGCAGCGAAAAAGGAGATGCAGTCGGAGGGTGGAGGGGAGAACGAGTCGGTGGGGAGTGCGGAGGAGGAGGGGTTACCACTTGATGTGAGCTCGTGTGCCTCGCCTAAGGTCCAGAAAATAAGATTAGCTACTCTCTGAATCGTGATTCCTATGCGTTTCTTGCAAGGGAAGAGATCTGCCTGCTTGGTGTTACAGCTCCGCTTTTGGATGAACCTTGATATGCTTCGTAAGTGGTGCGTTTTGTTCAGCATTTGTCGTCGAAGTCGCAGTACTGTTTCAGGTACGTCCTCCGATTGCTAACCGGATTTGTCACTTGGAACCTCAAGTAAAAGGGCTTGAAAGATTTTCTGAGCAATTCTTTCAAACACCTTATTGCTATGGGCGTCGATCACTTCAGAATCGAAAACCGAGAAGAGGGTGATTAATCTTACGTCTTCGACCAGCCTCAAATGCTGATGATGTACTTTTGACACAAAAGCACCAAATACGTTGGACCAGCAATCTTAATCATCCCGACAGACATCACGAGCCCAAGAGTTGTGTAGGCCCCCAAATGAGCTTTTCGCTTCCCAGGTCTCCCCCACGTCAGGGGCATCAAAAAGCATCTCTTGCGCAATTCTGAGCCAGAGTTTGTGTTCCCAACTTGGAGATTTGTTTCTTCTTCCTAGGTGCTGGCCGAAATGGCCGACGCCCAAGGCCACCTCTCCGCCGCAGCCATGGAGCGCATCTCCGCGTCCGCCGCCGCAGAACCGTACGAGTCCGTCCGGGCCGCATTCGCGGCGTACGGCAGTGTCGGGCAGGAGTACGGTGAGGGTTGGCGGCGGCGCAGCCGTTTATGGTACGGAGTTGGGCTGCCCAAGAAGGGCAAAGTTGTTGGAGGGGGGGCGGGGTGGGACGCTTGGCGGCGGGGGGTAGAGTTGAACCCAGACGGAGAGTGGGTTGATCTCCCGCTGATCCGAAAGTCGGTGCGGATGCTCCAGGCGTTGCTCTTGGACGACCAGCTCGGCGGGGGCGCCGCGCTAGGGGGGGAGAAGTTGGGCGGAATTGGGGGGGGAATCGGGGGCGGCGTTGGGGGGGGGATCTTGCAGATCATGGACAGCGATCAAATCTTCTTCTCGATGCTTCGAACCGTCTTAGCGGCCCTCAGAGAGGAAGACTACGGCTCGACTCCGGGGTCTCCAGAGCGGGCCGTTTCTCCAAACCGGGGGGTGAAAAGGCAGGCGGAGGAGGGGGAGGGGGACGAACCGCTTCCCCCCAGTCCGAAAGCGTACAGAGTGGACGCAAAGGCGAGCGAAAACGCTGCCCTCGTGGCGCGGCGACAGCTGTCGTCGCTCTTGTGGGGGATCCTACACCCGCTGCTGACCATGTCGTTGTCAGAGTCGCGGAGGCAGCGGGTGCTCGTGGCCGTCTGTATATTATACACCGAGGTGAGAGCTAGTACCTACCGTATTTGTCGTTGGCTGCGCCCTTCTCTCTGGTATGCATTTTGTCCCTCAAAACGGCGTTCACATTGTCTATCTCGCTGCATGTCGGCTCGGTGGACTGCAGGCTACTGGTACACCGTCTTGAATCGTTCACTTCACCAAAGAGGCCTTGCTTTAGAAGCGTCCTCAATCGTCGGGTCTACGAAGCACCATATGAGCTTGGTCCCAAACAACAGTATCAAGACTCTTTGCTGCCCCATCTTTGTCTATAGACAACTCCTTCAGGATTCTGATCTACTTCAGGAGCTATGCTTAACAAACCTCTGATCATGGTGTACGCAACAACTCAGGGCCGGAGTGGATTTGTGAAGGCCCTGACGCCTATCTTCTTCTTCAGGTATGGCACGCCAATGGCTCCGACGGCAAGCCCCTCCGGCGCCACTTCCTGGAGGCCATCATGCCCCCCTTCACGGCGCTGCTCCGCCGTTGGCGCCCCCTCCTCAGCGGAATCCACGGCCTCACCGACTGGGACAGCCGCAGCCCCCTCTCTTTCGAGGACCGCGCTCTCGCCAACGACGCCATGCCGCTCGAAGCTGCCGTCGCGCTTTTGGCCCCCACGTGGGCTGCCACGTTCGCGTCCCCCCCTGCGTCAATGTCGCTTGCAGTTGCTGCGGCGGGGGCGTCGGAGCCGAAGAGCGCAGTGTCGAGGTCACGGTCGTCGTTTGCGGGGGGGGGTGCGTATGAGGGCTCGCCAGGGGGCGAGCCGCAGCTGAGCCGGGCGGGGGGGGTTTCGACCAAGTCCGTCGGGGGGGGTGATTCGGCAGGGAGGGAGAGGGCAGCAGCGAGGGCGGCAGCGGCGGCAGCGGCAAGGGAGAAGGAAAGAGCAGCCAAGGTACTGATTTCAAGGCCTGGTTTTCCCTTGCTCTTATCTCCTCCCTTCTGTCTGCTTGCAGTTTGTTGACCTGCGAACGGATGTGAGCAAATTGTAAGTTACTCGGGCGTCATCGGTCAATAAGACATGTAGTTCTTACTAGCCTGCTTCAGAGATTGCTGAACGGATGCTCTACAGCACTCGTTGCTTCAGATACTCTGTGTGGTGGAAGTCGATACTGTTGACAAGTTCGCCCAAGTATCCTCCCGTCAATCCATTGACCTCATAATGATAATGGTTCCCTGACAAACCGTAGGTGGGCAGGGAGACGGGCCTGGGCACAGTTGCGATTGTTTGCAGTTCTTCCATTCGTGAGAAACGGGTCCTGCCTCAAACATGTGGTTGCAAAGAGCGATGTCAAAAAGTCGTTTCCATTTACTCCGCCATTCCGCTCATCCCGCTCGTTCTCTTGCTTATTCAGGTGGGTGCCGGAAGGGGGCTGGGCGCAGTGGCCCTCGCCACGGCGGGGGTACGGCGGTCGCAGGCGGACGAACTGCGAAATGCGCGCGCCTCGGTGCTGGATTCCATGCGGAACGCCTGGAGTTCCGAAGCCAGCGCACCCAGCTGGGCGACGGTGGCGGGGTCTCTGGTGGCGTTGATCGACGGCGCCAGGAAGATCAAGTACACGGAGGTGGGCAGCTTTTGATGACACTTCCGCAATCCCGCATGATGTAGCTTCGTATCATCTGAGCTTTGCTAGTGTGCAATCGTCTCTGCTCTGGAGGGTGAATGGCCATTTTCGGTGATGTTCGCACCATGTAAAGTGGCTGATCGCTTGACTCTGAATTAGGGAGACACTTGGTCTCAATTCTGGCAAACGCAGAGGCTCTAAAGCCGGTCTAGAGGATGTGGCTGGCTCGGCCCGCTCCTTGCCATTGTTTTCAATGGCTTCGACCCCCTGATTCGGTACCGTTCCGTTCCGCTTTCAGGTTAATCGGCGAGCCCTCTCCGCTGCCCTAACCGAGGCCTCCTCGGCGACCGGCACACGCAGCTGGCGCTCGCTCATTCGCCGGCTCCTCGAAATCGACTCCCTCTTTGGCGCCCCCGCGCGCCAACCCCAGCCGTCCAAGGTCTACTGGAAGCTCGACCCGACAGAAAACTCCTCCCGTCAGCGCAAGCGTCTCGTCCGCAATTACAAGGGGTCGGATCACCGGGGCGCGGCCGCCGACTACCAAGACCCGCAGAGCCTCGCGGCAGTCGCAGCTGCCGCAGCGTTAGCGGCGAAAAAAGCGGAGAAGGAGGAGATCGTGAAGGAGCTCGACACCCCCCTCGCGCTGGAAGCGGCGAAACTGGCCCCCCTGGAAGGGTTTGAGGACACGCGGACGGAGGAAGAGCGGCTTGAGGGGGGGGACGAGGGGCGGGAACGAGCGGATACAACCTTTGGGGGGGCCGACACGGCATCAATTACGAGCGACGGGCCCCATCCTATGCCGTCTGGTGCCGCGATAGGGTATGGTCCGGCGGGAGCGGCGGCGCCGGCGGTGGGAACAGGGCCTGCCCCGCAGGTGGGGGCGCTAGAGGGGCCGATGGGGATGGCAGCCGCTGCGCCGTCGTCAAACGAGAAGGTGAGGGGCGCTTAGCAGAATACTTCGCTTGTGGATGTGTGGAACGTCTTTGGTGGGGCCAGATCACAAACAATTGAGCCATTGAACCTTTCAAATCGACTTCGCCACCTATGTCGTGTATGATTTCCATATATTTAGAGTCCCCGAAACATTTTACTTGCTGTTGACTTCCATAAGCCAACCGTTTGTTGGTGAGCGGTTTTTCCGCAAGCATCTAATGAGAGTGCATGTGCACCTTGCTTCGACGAGGAGCCCCGTAAGAGGCCTCGTTACCTTAGCTGATCATCCAGATCTCGTCTTGTCTCCTCTCAGATTACTCTTTTAGGTTTTTCTAACAAGCGTCGCCCTATTGAAGCTGCTGATTGTCCACTGCGGCCATCCATGACGTCGACGTGTCCAAGAGCAACTCATACAAGCCTCAAGCTCGGTAACCCGATTTGCTAGTGCTCAAGACTCCCTGTCGCTTCCCACCGAGTTTTCAAAACGCTTCGGTTCGGATCTTGCTCAAGACGAGCGCTGCCCTGGCGCAGTTGTTGCTCATCCTTTGCAGTCAAACCAACGACTACACGCACGAGGTTCACAAGATGGTCTCAACCTCCAGTCTCAATGCAGGCGCCGAACCTTCACTGTTGACCTTAACACATAACCGGAACCTCTCTTTCTAGGTCTTGCTCGAGACGGGCGTCGCCTTAGTCCAGCCCCTGCGCGTCCTGCGCGGCCGCTTCCAAATCACCACCCGCCGAATCTGCTTCCTGGTCGACGATCACGTGGCAGTCGAGGGCAGCGAGGACGCGCCACCTGGCACGTCTGGGACCGTTGATGACCAGGAGTGGGAGGTGGTGGATACGAACATGGGGGCCCCTCGGGGGGAACATATGCACGACCGAGCATGGTCGCTGGCTTCGCTGGTGGAGGTGCACAGCCGAAGGTAATTTTCGGTTTACGAAGTGAGATCTTCGAAGTCAAATGTTCAGTAACGTCGTTTCCATCAGAGCCGGCAGGTCAGATATTCTCCTGAGGCTCTTGCCTAACAGTAAAAATTGATCTCACCTCGAGCTTTGCCCTATCTCCGAAGTGAAGGTGAAGTCGCTTGGTGTTATTGTGTAACATACATGGAGACTCGGTGGCAAGCATGAGAGCTACATCTGTCGAGGCTAGGAAGTGCGAGCTTTCCAACTCAGGGCACGCCGGGGTTCCAGAAGCGGATTGGTTTGGAACCCAGGGAAAGATGTCTAGTTGACAAACGTCACAGGGAACTGAGTTTCTTGCCTTTCCTTATCATTGGCCTTATCTTACTATCACTTTTAGTAACCTCCTGGTCGCAGGTACTCGCTCCGGAAGTCTGTCCTCGAGCTCTCATGCTCAACCGCTCCAAGTTTTTGCTATTTTAGGTAACTCCTGACGGGAAAAGTTTTGGCTGAGTAGGTTGCTTCAAAACTTCCTCGCAGGTACCTGCTCCGGAAGTCCGCCCTCGAGCTCTTCATGGTCGACCGCTCCAACTTCTTCTTCAACTTCGGCAACACCGAGGAGCGCCGCCGCGTCTACAAAGCCCTCCTTGCAGCGCGCCCCGCCCACCTCGGTAACATATTCTCCCTCACGCAACGCCCCGACCGTCTCCTGCGCCGCTCGGGGCTCATGGAAAAGTGGGCCCGGCGTGAGATCTCCAATTTCGACTACCTGATGCACCTCAACACGCTCGCGGGCCGGTCGTTCAACGACTTGACACAATACCCGGTGTTCCCCTGGGTGCTGGCGGACTATACTTCGAAAGTGTTAGACCTGGACGACCCGAAAGTGTACCGGGACCTGTCGAAGCCGGTCGGGGCGCTGAACCCGGCGCGGCTTGAGCGGTACTTGGAGCGGTACAAGTACTTTGACGATCCCGTGATTCCGAAGTTCCACTACGGGTCGCACTACTCGAGCGCAGGCACGGTGGGTTTGCGAAGACTGTCTCCAGCTGCTTCCCTTGGCGTGTATTTCGTAGATTTGGTTCGACTTCAAAGGCCCTCTGCATATCTCCCTGTTTGCTCTTGCAGCATCTCTATCTTGAAAGGAAGGAAGGCAGTTGTAGTTGACCGCCATCCTTGCGCGTGGATCTGCCTGGACTTAATTTAGCGGCATGAAAAAGCCAGAATCATTTTTGGAACTTTTCCGCCCACATCCAGGGCAACTGTAAGCTCCAAGTTCTTGGTCTTGATCTCCTAAATATTACGGATAATCCGCAATCTCAAACCCAGATTCGCAGATTAAAACCTCACCCGAACCCCCGCAGGTGCTGTCTTACCTGGTGCGGGTAGAGCCCATGTCAACCCTCGTTATTAAACTCCCGGGCAGACAATCAGCTCCGAATTCTGTGCCTTGATCTCTTACAGTTCAGAGACAAACCGCAAGTCAAAACCCAAAATTGCATTTTCAAACCCAACCCGCAAACTGCGCAGGTGCTTTTCTACCTGGTGCGGGTAGAGCCCATGTCCACCCTCGCCATCTAACTCCAGGGCGGCTTACAAGTTCCAAACGTTTTTTCTCGATTGCCTAGGTTTCGACGCTTAACCGCATTCTAAAATCGTTATCCCGGAATTCTCGCAGGTGCTTTTCTACCTGGTGCGGGTGGAGCCGATGTCCACCCTCGCCATCCAACTCCAGGGCGGCCGCTTCGACCACGCGGACCGCATGTTCTCCTCTATCCCCGAGACCTGGCATTGCGTCACTGAGGACATGAGTGACGTCAAGGAACTAGTACCGGAGCTTTTCTACCTCCCGGAGTGCCTCACGAACGACAACGACCTGGACCTGGGGCGTACGCAAAAGGGGGAGAGGTTGAGCGGGGTAAAGCTGCCCCCCTGGGCGGAGAACCCCGTGGATTTTGTGCATAAGCACCGGCAGGCGCTCGAGAGCGAGCACGTGTCGCAGCACCTGCACGAGTGGATCGACCTCATCTTTGGGTAAGGCGCTACAAACGGAAGAGAATGTTTTCAGCGGAGCTGCCGTTTGATTTTGACCTTTTTGTTGCAGCAGTCTCATCCCTATTTCCTTCAATCCTTCTCTCCTGTATTGAGTCTCCTCCATTGCCTTGCCTGCTTCGATCACTTTAAACACAATCTCCTCACCGATGTTGAGAGGAGCGCAAAAAGACTATACCGCTGGCACAGCAGAAGCTTGTGCCCGTATAAGCAAAGTTGGAAAGAGAGCAGTACAGCCCACGACGTGTTCCCCAGTGTGACGTATGGAAAGAAAGGTCGTGTGAAAAGAGCGCTCACAAGCTGAACCTGTTCTCTTCTTGCACTTAGATTTCCAACAGCGTACGTGCGTGGGAAGTGGTCCAGCTTTTAACATTCTAAGAGGACCTTTCTGGACACTCATCCGCCCAGCCAGCAATCCATCGACTAATTTAATAATTGTCCTTGTCGTGATTGGATACCAGGTTCATAAGCCTTGACTCTACGAATCGAAGCTGCATGAGTAACAACGTCACCCTAAAAACTAAAAGTCCTCGTTGGAATATTCCGCGCTCAGCACTCCAACCCAGCCTTACCCCCAAGCTAAACTTACCCGCTCCCCGGTCATGACGACTACGGCGTCAGAAGATCGACACCTGTACCCAAACTTAGTCGGAACGATCTTGTTTTTTGGGTCAGGTATAAGCAACGGGGCAAAGAGAGCGTTGCCGCGCACAACGTGTTCTTCTACATGACGCACGAGGGCCCGTGACGTCACTTTCCAACGGATGTACAAACAAGAAAGCTGTGGAAAGTCGGCTCGAAACGCGAGAGTATGTGCAGGTACAAGCAGAGAAGAGCGTCTAGAGGTCACTTCGACAGAGCAGAAACCCTGTCAGAACAAGCGGGGTTAAGGGAGAGCGTTCTGTGTTCTCTTTAGAGAAGAAAGCTGAGCTCAAAGGCCAAACCTTTGTGCAGGTACAAGCACCGGGGCAAAGAGAGCGTTGCCGTGCACAACGTGTTCTTCTACATGACGCACGAACGGCCGTGACGTCACTTTCCAACGGATGTACAAACAAGAAAGCTGTAGAAAGGGAGCTCAAAAACATGTATCCTGTGCAGGTACAAGCAGCGGGGCAAGGAGAGCGTTGCCGCGCACAACGTGTTCTTCTACATGACGTACGAGGGCGCGGTGGACATCGACAACATTGCGGACCCGAAGCAGCGGAAGGCGACGCAGGACCAGATCGCGTACTTCGGGCAGACGCCCAGTCAGCTGCTGACGGTGCCGCACATCAAACGGAAGCCCGCAGAGGAGCTGCTGCACCTACAGGTGAGTGGACGCTGAAAGTGGGCAGATTTTGAAGAGCTGAAGACCTCGTTGGAGTCTGCTGCGTTGTTGGTTCGTATCCTCTCAGACGGAAGCTCGCAGAAAAAGTGCTGCACCAACAGGGTGAATGGAAGCCGAGAACAGGACAAGCTTTGGAGAGCCGAAAGCGTCTTCTCCTTCTGATGTTGCCTGTTCGGATCTGCCGCGCTTCTGAGTTCGGACATATCCTCCGACAACTCTTGGAAACGAACAATTCTCTTAGTATCAGATTGACTAGAGCAGTGGTTGCTATCGTTGTCGTCCTTTAGTGCGCCCGCATAAAGCTGCAAAAGCTGCTATTCATGAGAACTACTTCTTTCCAGCCGAAAGGAGGTCATTCTTGAGCTCAGCAACTCCGCTCGGTTTTTTTTGGCGGGAAAGCGTAGTCAACCAGTCTGGTTTAAAAGCATCAAATGGACGGGCCTCGACGAAGTCTGGCGCGGCTTCAATCATCATTGTCTTTCCGTGCACGTTCATTCCTTCGTTCTCATCTAGGCGTTTTACAGGGCCCAATGCTGACACTCCCATCGCTGCGCAGGGTCCTTTGAAAGATTTCTTGCTTGTATAGGTGCTCAAATGGATCTGGTCTACTCAAATCACATCTCATATTTACCTTCTGAAGTGGCGGCAAGCCTGACACGATAATTACTTCCTGTCGTTTTGCAGACCGTCTTCACAAATTCGGCCAAGATCGAAGCCCACCCCTTCGCCGCCCCCGCCCCAGTCCTCAACATCCCCGCTTCCCTCCTCCGCGTCACCCCCGCCGGGCTCGTGATCGTCGATCAACGGCCGCCCGCCTGCCACGTGGCACTCCACCGCGCCCAGTTCAACGCCCCCGATGGCAAGGGCTACCCGTTCACGCTCTCCCCCGCGCGGTCCATCGCGACCGCGAGCAATAACGCGCTTATGCGGATGATTCGCAAGACGCCCGGACTGGAAGATATCGGACCGCTCTACCCGAGAGCGGTGGCGTTGCCTGCGCACGGGTTGAAGCACCGGCAGGTTGCGGCGATCAGTCCCAACGGGAGCGTTCTGATAACCGGGGGACACGCGGACAACAGCGTCAAAGTAGTGTCAATCGAGTCAGCCCGGGTGCTGGAGTCGGCGCAAGTACACTGTGCGCCCGTCACGGCCCTCGCGCTGTCCCCCGACGGGAGCACTCTTATCACGGGCTCCCGAGACGCCACGGCGATGGTCTGGCGGGTCCAGGGCGCATCTGCCTCGCTTCAGGGGAGTACTTCCTCAGCCGGAAGCGACCCCTCGCTGGTCGCCACGGCAGCCGCGCAGGGCTCGGCCGCGGCGCTCCCTCAGCCGTCCGTTTCGAACTCAACCGACGGCTCAGCGCCGGGGATCATCTCGCGGGGCAGCGTGTACGACGGGGGGGTGCCGGCGGCCAGCGATTCGGGGAGGGGGAAGAAGCGGCTGGAGGGGCCGTTGCACGTGTTGAGGGGCCACGTGGACGAGATCGTGTGCTGCGCAGTAAATGCGGATCTGGACCTGGTGGTCACGTGCTCGAAGATAAGGGGCTGTTTGTTGCATACGATCATGAGGGGGCGGTTCATAAGGGCGCTGCCGGTCGAGCGGGGGGATGCGGTGGCGATATCGCCAGACGGGACTGTGGTAAGTGTGATGGTGACATGCAAGGACGCAATTAGTAGGCTTGTCAGCCGCTGTGGTCTTTCCACAACTTGATGGCTGCAAAGAAGAATTGCTGACGCCAAGTCACTACTAGAAATGAGTATGGTTTGTGTGGCGATCCGAACAATCATAGGTATGCGAGTCTGAGCTTCAATTGCTTCTGTCGAATGTGGCGGGCTAATAACAGGCTTGTCTCATCGCGTGTTCGTCCAAATGGGGGAAGTGATCGAGTCTTATCTTTCATGTTCAAGAGGTGCACAAAGACATCTTCTCACTTTTCTGCCTCCTCAGATTATCTGGGATCGCGCCAAGCGCGTCCTCCGCACCTTCACCGTCAACGGGCTGCCCATCCAGACCTCCGCGCTCGACCCCGAGGATGGCGACATCGGCGCGCTGGCCGTCTCATCCGACGGCCAGTATCTCATCCTGGGCACCGACACGTCCAAAGTTTCTGCGAGCCTTTCCCGCCGTCCAAGCGTTGCCGAATCGACGGACGGGAGCGGTCGTCGTGAGTCGGAGATTGAGGAAGAACTGGCGGAAACGCCGGAGGGTTCAGGAACTAGGGGCGGGGAGCAAGGAGTGAAGTGGGAGCGGGGGACTGGGGTCGGGGGATTAGAGGACGGGCCGCCGCCGGGGATTCTGTTGCTCGAGTTGCACACACTCCGGGTGAGTGCCCTTCGAGTTAGACAGAGAGTCAAGGCCCTGGGGCTTTTCTGCTCTTAGCTCTCTGAAGAGTTGTGTATGCTTCATTGACACGGGATCTTCTGACCACTCCGGAAGTCCCAAACGGGGCCAGTGACTGTATTGGTGCGTAGTTTTGCTTATTGCTTCAGAGCTCCTTGGGTTTCGTTTTCGCCAGTGAACTCGTAAAATAGAGCCGCTTTGAATAATCCGCATCGGCCGACCTAGTGTACGAACTTAGTGAGTTTTATTGAAGCGGGGCATCCGGGGCTATGCTAAACAAACGAAAGCGACCTACCGGCTATCCGAACAAAACTCGAACCGTTTGGTCGCGTTACAGGTAATTTACCGATTCCCACTGCCTCGGGGCGCTGACGTCACCGCCTTGGCCCTGACGGACGACAACACGAACCTGGTCGTATCGACGGCGGACAGCCAGCTCATCGTTTACTGTGATCCAGCCGTAAGTGTCTGCGAGCCTAAACAGTATAAGGGCGGGGGATGCGATTCAGACCTCTCTCAGCCGCTCCACAGGTCTGTTCGAAATCATTTGCAAGTGTCTTTTAAAATGTTTTACTACATTCCCGAGGACTTGCTGCCGGCTATGTTAGAATGAATTGTTGGCTTTGCTGTTTGTGTTTCTTATGTATTTTTATCCTGGTTTGCAGCTGAGCCTGCGATGGCTCGACTTCATGATAAAGCGCGGGTGGGCGGAGCTTGGGGGCATAAAGTCGTTGATTCCGTGGGGAGACTGACCATAGTTAACCTGCTTGATCACTCTATTTACCATGCCATTGGTTGTTACAAAGTCACATGTTCTTCACTTTCTGTGCTTGCGGGGTCGAGTCAAGAAGGTTCTGGTGTTGGTTGAAGGTAAACAGGGGGATGTTAAGACTGTTTCGATTTCGGAAGTCGCCAGCTTCAAGCCAATGCAGTGCAAAGGAACTTTCTGATGTAATACCGCCTTTCGTGGTGACTTTGTCAAGATGGCTCTGTGGACTTTGAATTGGTCCTTCGTAACTGTCTGGTGCGCATTTCTATGTTTCTTTCGTAGTCTGTTAATCCAGATCAAAGGGATGATGTTATTGTACTCTGGTCCACTATCTGCTGTCAGGTCATGGTGGCACACTCGTTGGCCCCTTCAGTTGCAACAAAACACCAGTCAGCGACAAACGTGACAAAACGTTTGGCGGCCAGAACGTGAGCATCCGCTCCGGTTCAACACGTTGTCGCTCTCTTAAATCAGTATGCATGCGAAATGAGTCTGCTATACACAGCTTTGCCGCCCTCACGAGCTCGTGTTGTTGTGTTGTTGGACAGGGATCTGAATTTGAACCGATCATGCATAGGCTGAACCGGATAAAAGAAAGATATATATATCAGAGTGCCGGCTTGCCAACTCATCTCATAATATGGTATTGTACGACCATATGCATGTCGATCTGTGTATCATTGTCTAGGTGTATATGTCTGTGCTTACTCAATTTGTTTATGCATACATATATTGCACCAGCTAGTGATCGAAACTTGTCAATCGGACCGAGTATACATGGTACGTGTTTCCTTCCATGTCACGGCCCCTAGCTCAGCTTGCTAGGCTTAGGTACGTACGTAGGTGCCTGGCATCATGCAGGCTACATGATTTGCAGACCATCACGTTAATTAATTTATACAGGCGCGCATATATGTACATGTACGCATGGGGCATATCACTGTCATGTGAACGGTGTGCCGAGTCCGTGATGCAGAAGCTGACCCTTGCTAACCAGTGCCACAGCGCGGGTACGGTCTGTCTCAATGCCAGGATGTCTCATGCTAGCTTGGGTTCAACGGTTGTATATACCTAATGATATTGCTCAACTCAAAGAAGATGTTAACAGCAATCTGGAGCTACACTTAGTACAGCTATATACTTCAAGCATGCAACTTGGCAAGCATTGCACCCGCAGCTGAGTGCATGTATCAATCAGCTTAACTAAGTCAATACACTCGACAGTGGTCTTTCAACCATATTGGAAAATTCTCAAACACCTTTTGGTTAGATTATGCAGCGCCTCGGCCACTTGACAATCAGGATCAGCCTAGGGTGTGACTTTTGCAGCCTCAAGACAAGGCCGACGAGACCGTATATCTCTACCTCTCCTCGCACCACTTTTGTCAAATCAATTACAAACCTTTTCAGCTGTTGGGAAAGCCGGATAACCGTTGAACACATGTCGCTTATCCTTCCTAGCGTCTTGAATTCTATCTCCAAGCTTTTCAGATGTGCTAGAGAGAGATCTGGTTCCTGCTCTTCCAGAAGGTACTCGGGGACTACGTGGGAGAGTTTCAGATGTTCAAGCCGGTTAAAAGGACGGAGAAGCGACGACAATGTTGCTCTGTCTACGTGCAATTGTGGCACTGGTGGCAAACACTTTCGCACCGTCACCTCTTTGGCATCACTACAGAGGTTGAGCACCCCCATGAGTCTTTGGAATGAATGCAGTCCGTCCTCAATCTTTACCGTACATACTTTCCAAGATGACAAGACTTCGACTTCAGTTGTGCGCACTAGCTCAAGCGATAGGAGGTTCGGGGCATTGATCACTACACGATCAACAGAGATAATTGTAAGGTGCAACAGCTGTGGTGCTTGAACCTCAAGAGAGGCCGCCATGTCCGCAACGGTATCACCACTCATGTCAAACTCCAACGACGTCAAACTCCCTGACGAAATAGCTGTGTTGTCGAGGCCCTCAGCTTGTCGTATAACCAGTGCTGTCAAGCCCGAGCATGCTTTTAAGATGCTTGTGAGACAAATGCCTTCCACCCCTACGCTATCTAGAGTTAGGGACTTGAGGTTTGAAAGCAGGTGCCTGCTTGAGACGGCTCCGTGGAGAGGCACCATTGAATACTTCAATTCAAGCTCCTTCAGCTGGTGGCACATTGACAAGGATCTGAACAGATCCTGTAACTTCTGATCCTGATCGCCTGGGACTTGAGCAAATCCATCAACAATTACAAAACTTTGTATTTGAGGAGCTGCCGCCAGCAGCGCTTGCAAAAACAGCTGGGGCACTGGGCCGGCGTTTACGCAGATAGCCTTCACCGCCTGTGTTTCTTGCAGAAAAAGTACTATTTGCGCTGCCTGGTTTGCATCAATGCAGAGTAGCCGTTCAGTGCAGGGAATCAGCCTGTCAAATCGGGAACACACCGTCCGAAGTTGACAGAGCCTATGTACCTGTGCAAACCCTTGATTTGGAGGGTGGCCGTTAATTTCGGCCGCTTGTGCTAGTATGCGCTGAACAATGTCGTCCGGCAATCTCTCAAACGGTCTGCGTGGTCCTACCCCTGCTGACCGTTTTTTCCCCATAGATCCTGGGGGCATTCCTCTTGCTATTGCTGATTACCAATACAAATGAGGCCAATAATGCAGGCCACGGGGGAAGCAGCAACGGGTCAGCAACGCCGTCACTGTTGACAGCCCAACGTCGTGAAGCTCATGCCAATGGCGCCCCTTCCCTGCCGAAGCTTCCTTGGCGCCCCTTCCTTCCGCATTGTAATTTGTATGCCAAAACTCAGCCGAGTGTCACGAGTAAATCATTGGTGATGCATGATCATGATGCTTGATGCGATGGTCAGGCAGCAGCACTCTCAGAGTCATGGCAAAATGCAGATTGCTGAGTGGACCCACAGGTTGAATTTCCCCCCCTGGGATGTGATACGTGGGGCTGATTGCAACTTCCGTTACATGTCGGCCCAGCCAAAATTCCCCCCCCAAGTGAAGAGGGGGGTTGAAATTGGTGTTAGGTTGCTACCAGTGCTTCCCACACAAGTCTCCACGTGTTCTGCAGCTTCTGCTTCTGCTTTGAACTTCGTAGTTCTCCGGCCATGCACTGATGCAGAGTTGGAGAAATTCACCTGGTCCTGAGGCCGTAGAGATTTCGAAGCGCCTGAAGGTCGAGGCTGAAGAGAGCTGGTCTTCCTCACGATGACACATGCCGTGCTGCTGCCAAAGGGGGGAAGTGCTCTGCACCAAAGTGCTCAGTCACAAAGGGGTGCCCTTGTCAAGACTTGTTTTGAAGCGAGCAGATCCACAGAAGCTCTTATTGGGTATCAGCATAGACGACAGGCTTGGCCAAATCAGGTTCTGGAGTCGAGTCGCCGAGTCAAGGGAAGTTCTACGCACGTCCCTTCTAAAAGCGTGACAATGCAGTCTGCAAGATTGTTCAGAAGCAGTCAGCTCTCATCGTTCGGTATTTGCTCGTCCTGCCAGCGGGTAAGGGCAGACCATACGCGGGCGCCTGATTATAGCAGATTGGCCAGCCATAGCAGATCTCAGCATTCTGGCCCCCTAAAGAACCAGTCAAACAACCAGCCAGCACATTCACACCGGCCGCTTCACTCTTTAAGAAACTCAGACCATGGAGGGCTTATCTCGAGACATATTTTTGGAAAGTCTTTTGGTAGAGTCGGGGCCGTTTCTAGGGGCGAGAGGGTGGTGATGATGTCAGCCGGGGGGAAGTGGAACAGCGACAACCTCAGCTTTGAGCGGCTAGAGATGGAAGTGCCCACTGAACAGAGGCCGGTAAGCGGTTTCAATCATCAGTATCAAGGCTCAGCTGGGGTATCAGGAGGCTCGTGACTCAACACCCGGACAGTGACCAGCATTAGGGTTTAGGTTTGTTTGCTTTGGGGGATCTGTTCAGGGAGGAGTGCTAAGCTGTCAGGAAGTCAGACATGTAAAAGGAAAGAATAGAAGTTCAGCAGTTAAGGAATGAACTTGATGGCCAAGAAAGTGGCACGGATGAGGTAAATGTAGTGGTGCTGTTTCCTACTCGCGCTAGGAAAGAGTAGGAACCTCGTGGGCCCTGTTGCCCCCACTCTGAAACTTGGCGGTTTAGATAACAGGAGAGTCGTTGAAAAGGCGCCGGAAGTAAGTTTCATGGAGATAAAAGGGATTACAAGGTTGTTTAGCAGTTCCTTGAAGGACGGTATGTTCGATTCAATCGTTTGATGGTACGTGAAAGAATGGTCGCTGTGATACCTTGCTGCAGCCCTTTTTCGTGGTCGAGGACAATGCTTTTGAGACATTTCTGGAAAACTTTGTTAAAGACGCTCATAAAGACTTGGCCCCCGGCCATTCCAGTAAGAGCTTGAGAGCAAGACCAGAAGGCCAAGAAAAAGGTCATGGCAGCTGGCAAGCCTCTGCTGTTTGCACACTAAGTCTCTGCAAGAACACCATGTCTCTTGAGGGCAGTCTCCTTGGCGTGTCCTCACCTCGACCAATCTCTTTCACTTTACTGATCAAGCATAGTTTGGCCATCAGTTCAATACGGTACACTCCTTGCGCCCCCGCGTCTTAATCTGATTCATGTGAAGAGGCGGCCCAGTTGTGGATGCGCAGTTACATTCTTTTGGATGTGAACTTTCTTCGGTATCTGGCCAACACTTTCTAAAATGAGGCCCTCTCTTATCCAGGTCCTTGAATTAACGGCGTCGAACGAAAGATGCGCTTCAGAGTAGGCCGTAGGATTATCAGTCGAGACAAACCGTTCCAAGATCTCCTGTTGAGCACTGTCGTTAACGAGCTTTTTTCCTATTCCAGGTTAACGAATTCAAGGCGTTGAAGGACGCAACATTATACAATTGGGCTCAGCTAGATTTGAAGGACTACAGCCTGCGGTTGCTCTTGGTCTGGAGCGGCTTCTTCGTTTTCCTTGGGGCGCCGATTGCGGCGGCGAGTTTCGAACCCATGAAGGTGAGGGCAACGGCAGACGCACCGGTATTCTTTCCCTCTCTCCAATCATGAAGCAAAACAGGTATTGTAATGTTTAAGAGAGCGGAAGGTCTCTGAGAAGTCTGGTCGGAAAGGCAAGGCATAAACCGCTAGCATCAGACACTGCCAGTTCAAGGGGGTTGGGACGGTGGCCTTTATTGTTGGCTTGAGTTGGCAAATGTTCGGTGAGCAACTCTTACAATTGTTCAAGTCGAAGTGCCCGGGAAGATTCTCAAGACACGGATCATATTTTTACTCAACTACTAATGAAAAGCAAACTTTGACGAATCGGCAGCATTGCGCCCATCGTTCCAGGATTATATTACTTAATATAATAGGTAGATAGCACATATTGCAAGATTGCTTGGCCTCCAGTTGATGCGTTGTGGTTGGAAGTTTGATCGGGCTATGTTGTGCACAGTCGATTGCGATCATGAATGCTGTGGGTCTGTTTCTTTTCTGAGCGTGCACCTTTGGCGATACATTCCAGGACAACGTGCCTTTCGGGTGGATTTATACTTGGTGTTTCTCGAAGAATGCTACGATCTGACAAGTTATTCCCAATTTTGAGAAGAATCTCGGTAATATCTTGACCGATTGCGCGTGAGTGCATGGCCAAGTATTGAAAAGATTGTCCCCATCTCTCATAAGGCAGCGATTCTACTGTTACCACTCGAACCCCCTCGGTCGGTGGAGAAACTGAGGCGTGTCCTTCTCTTTTCAGGAGCCTCTAGAGTTCTTTTTGGCAGGCGGGGCGGGCGCGCTGTTCGCCTCGGCAATCCTAGTCCTTCGAATGTATTTGGTGAGCTTTCGTCAATTCCATTGGAAGTTTTCTTTTAGATTGACAAATTTTCATTTCATCCTTGGGCTCCTTTCTGAAGTGGTTTTGCTTGCCTTTGAATCGGTTCCCAACATATCTCGTCTCGTTACGGCATATGGTACTATCCTTTGAAAATCAAAAGACCTTTCTTATAGGATGACCTTCACTTCCGAACGGTACTCTAGCCGACCATCTAGACAGTTTCATTGCGACGCCTTGCCATGGTTGAATCGACGTCCGAATCGGGGCAAAAATCACTCACTAATTGCGTTTCACCCTAAAAGAATGAGAAAATTGCTCACCAATCGGAAGGGCAGAAAAGATGGACCCCTCGCGCAACCCATACGGAACAGCTTGGGCATACTCTTACTGGATCAACTGTCAACATTGACACCCTAGGACTGTTTTTCCTGAACCGTTGTTGGAGAGCTCTAGCCAGGGGGAACCCTTTGAATCCTGGCTGGGAATCTGCGTTCTTCTCCATCTCGACAAGATTTGAGCTTAATATTGACAACCGTCTTCCAATGTATGAACAGGGTTGGAGCTATGTCGGCGATCGGTTGCTGTCCGCTGTTGTCGCGTATGAGGAGTCGGGTTGGTACGACGGCCAGCTGTGGGTAAAGCCCCCGGAGGTAAGGCTTATTGCATACATCCACTTTGCGCTCTACATACGTTCCGCAAATCTGAAATGAAGGCAACCATTTGTCTCACTTGCCGCTAAGTTTGTGAACACTGGCTCGATTTTGACGTTGCGATCCGAACGCGCAAGAGATATCTGCTGCAAAGCTCTGTCCTAAGGTCAGGACAGCCGACAGCACTAAGTGTACGTAATCTGGCCCGTCTGCAGCAAGTTACCTGCAAAGTCGGGCTTCCTAGCCTCGATTTCCCCTCAAGGTTCTAGCTTGTCAAAAGATTCAGCGCAGCCAAGAGCAGACTCTCTGCGATAAACTTTTCGTTATCCATGGGAGTCAATTATTGTCCAAATGTTCGGACTCAAAAATGTCCAATTAATCATTCGGTCTCGCTTCTATTCAAATCTTGGTTCGCAAGGCTTGATCAAAATTTCGTCATCCCTGCAGATTTTGGCCCGCGACCGGTTGCTGGGTTCTTACCAAGTCAAGCCCATCTTGAACCGGTTGAAGCAGACGCTATTGGGCGCTGGGGGGGCGCTTATGGCGTCTGCAGTGTCTCTCGCGCTGCTTCTGCAAGCGGGGGAGCCCACAGACTTCATGGCGCGGAACAGAGAAATCGCGGCCGCATTGGCTGCTAAGGGGCTTCCTAGGTGGGTTGAAGTTTTTGCAGCCTTAGACCGGGTCGCGCGTCAAGAATAAACTCGTTCATGGAGTAACCACAAGCTATCTGATCGAACTGTGTGAAGTGATACTTGATATTGAGAACAAACCGAATACTTCACATGCTGCGGTTTTGATAGGACGAAATGGGCTAGTCTCCGCTTTGGTACCTTCGCTCCTCTTAGTTCTCAGTCTGTTGCTTGCAGAGGGTGCAGGCTGTGCGCTCTGGTACCCCGTGCAAGCCCTAAGCCTGTCATATCGTGACGTCACCTTTGACGTTCTTTCTTTGCATGTGAGCTCCGCTTTTAGTGCAAAAAGATGCCCCACGACACTGCTCTTCTGTTCGACTTAGGCGTCGCTACCTGCACACCGATCCTTTTCGACCAAAACCTTCTAATAGCACGTCTTTCCTGTCATGCAGCATCGATGACGTCACGAATCCTCCGGATCTAGTTGCGTCAGACGACGACTTGGCAGCGGCGGCGGCGGCGGCCGCTGACGGGCGACCGGCATATTGCCGGGATCGCTATTATCGGGCATTGGCTGGGGGCCAGTACTGCAAGTGGGAGGATTTGCAACGGTAGCGCCAAGAGAGGAACGAAGGCTTGCATATTTGTTTCTCGTGACCAATGTTGTCAAAATTTTCATGTTGGGTTGAAGACTGCCATTGTGTGCCACTACCATACGGTGATAACCAGCAATGCAATGTACCTCGGGGTATCCAGATCTGTTGCACGTTTCGAAGTTGACGGTTGAATGTATGTGATTTGACATGTTGCATCTTTAGTAGGCAAGTTCATCAGCATTGATTAGTTGGGTGAAATGCAACCTCGGATCGATATGCGTTTGTACTTATCAAAGTTGTTTTCATTGAATTGGGCGCTAGCCTCAAGGCTTCAAGTCGCTGGCATCATGCATCATGCATGTCATGCCACATGGCAATTATGCTAGCTTCAATTGAAGCTTACTGCCTTACTGGATGCCGGGCTCATGCAGCCCGGCATCCAGTAACAAGTGAAGGCTCATCAGTAAGGCCTTGATGATCCGGATCATCAGGCCGGATGATCAGCTGATGATCATCATTGATTGCTGATCGAGCGGCTCAGCATGCATGGACTCTGCACTGAGCGCCACTCAGCTAGGGCTCAGCGCGGCTGAGATATAGCTATAGCTAGATTGGTTATATACGGTGCACTAGTGACTCCATGGTAGCCTGGCCCATGCGCAGGCGCATTCCGACAGCATGCCTCGCATGCATGCCATGCATCATTGTGGCCGCCAGCCTGCATGATCGGATAGGTCGCACATAGCCGATGCATGCGCTGGCACTGCATGCCAATATAAAATTGAGTCTAGCTTGCATACGGCAGTCAACCACACATGTGCACGCCTACATTCGAGGTCGCTAGCTAGAGCTGCCCGATGCTGTGCCTGCCATGCAAGCGATCCAACTATAGAAAGTTGCGCGGCCATCCTGGACTGCAAACTTATACGGTATATGCAACATGTTTTGGATGCGAGTATTCGATGTTCGTTCAATATTTTGCACTGTCTTCGAGAGTCTAAAGGTCGTCTTCAACACCGCTAAGTCTGTCTCGTAACGAACACTGCTTGTACTGGAGTCTTATGGTGCCCGGCCTTTCACGCCCGCTAGGGTTACTATTCCACAAAACTCTTAGCAACCGTGAGCAAAGTAGTGTATCCGGTGTATCCAGTAACCAACGCCAGAGAGAGCACCCACCAAGAGAGAGCACCCACGGTCCACCATGCCAGTAAGACACAATCTTCGGAGTCACTACGATCCTAAACATATTCAGGGGTTGACCTGTTGATTTCCTGAAAGCTATCAAAAGACATGAGCTGACATGCATGAACAAATATCTGCTTCTATGCTGCTCAATGTGCCCGCCTTTACGCATCTAGCACTCGTCCTTTGTACACGTTGTTGCAAAGCCTCAATCGCAACAGGACAACGCTGCTGCTACGACCCTCAACCGAGCAGTTCTTAGGAGGTCTGAGTCTTCTTCAGCTCCTCATACAGCGCGTCGATATACGTCTGCAGAAAAAGAGCTTCTCAAATCAGCGCCGGTAGAAGAGCAAGATTCCAACCCGTTGCTTGCGAAGTTACGTTCAAAAGTAAGGTCCGGCCGGCAAACACACATCGTGCAACAATCAGCCAGCATTCAAAAATGCAAAGAAAAGTCTCACGGAGTACTATTTGAGCAAGTTTTGCGAAAAGTCCAATGAATTAGTAGTGTCACGTGAATCGTGACCGTAATTTGGAAGGTCACGAACAACCCAGCTTTGAGCTGAAACTTTGAGAGAAGATAACGAGAAAGAACGAGTTTCCTACCTTGTAGTGCTTCAACAGCTGGGGACGCTTCTTCTTGAAGCTGGGGGTGATGAGATCCTTGTCCACTGAGAACTCCTCGCCCTCCAAGTGCACTCCCTTCACGATCTCAAAGCCCTTCAGCTGCACACGTCAGATGTGCCGCGTCAGCAAAGCATTTTGACGGGCTGAACTCTTAGTCGAAGATTCCTTGCAGAGTGCTTCAGACGTCGGTTTTGGAGCGTCAACAAAGCAACAGGATCAGGCGAACTTTTAGCGAGCAGAGCGGGGAAGGGATCAAAGTATTCGGTTGGCCATTTGATTAATCTTGTGCATTCTGAAGTGCAATTCCACCGGATGCCTGCGAAGTCTGCACGGTGAGAACGATGCGAACAAGCAGAACTTGAAATTGACGATAAGTTGCGTCAATTTTTCCTCGAGTGTGCAATCCTGCTCGACGCCTGGAAATGATATAGGCTCAGCCGCCAGCAAACATTGTGGTAATATTATAAGCAGAGCTTTTCGACGCGCAAGGGGCATTGGGTTGCCGTGTTATCCCAGAGCCCATGCGAGCTGCAAAAGCGGGGAACCGTTCTGATGGAATGTAACTCCTTCTGGCCATGCAATCTCTTGACTTCAAAACTCAACCCGCCCGCAAGTCACGAAGTAGCATTGTGGAAGTATTAGCCGCCTGACTGCTGACTGCTGACGTTGGTTCGCACTGCCGAAATGACTCAATGAGACACCCGGCTTGCGGGATTTGCCGGCGACTTCCGAGTATCCCGCATACCAGTTTCCAGCCATGTCTCACTTCGTTCAACCCCTATGCCTCAGATGAACGTGACAGCGGCGGATCCGACAAGATCGACGTGGAAGCGCGAGATTTGGAATCATGCGGAAAAACAAGCTCTGCGACTTGCCCAGCTTTCGTGAATTATAGAGTTAGCGCACGTCTTGAGTTTGTAAGCGACAACAGATAGGGAAGTGGGAAATCAATAAGCTTACCTTGGCTGCCTTGCCGGTCTTCGTAAGCTCTCCCAGGACGTACTTCGTCGCCTTGGGGTCCTTCACGATCGTTGCGAAGTCGCCGTCGACGCCATTGGCCTTGGCCCACGTGATCAGGTTCACCTCGTTGGGCACCACCACGGCAATCAGGTACGGCTCGAAGCTGTTGCCGTAAACCCAGATCTGCACAAAACGGGTCAACGAGGGTCAGGATTGATGACAAATACCCTAAAACCCTAAAACCCAAAAACCTTACCACTTTCCAAGACTCTTTGCTGACGGCTGAAACCATGTAAGAGGTGACGGAAGGCTTGGACGCGGACACATTGCTTTTGAGTTACCGAGCGGTGCAAAGGCGGTGAAGGGTGACGTTGAGGAACAAACAAACTCGATCATGTATGGAGCCCGTCATGCGATGGTTAATGCAATTCGACGTGATACAATGTGTCTGCATTGTCACCATATGATTGCTTGATCTGAGACTCGCAAAAAACAAAGCACGCTTATGTTCGGTTCTTCATTACAGATCAGGATTCCAACGTCGTCTGCGGTGCTACCTCTCCTTACCTGGTTGATAAGGGTGTTCTGTCCGTACACGTTCTCCAGATTCTCCACAGCGACGTACTCTCCCTGCGACAGCTTGAAGATGTTCTTCTTCCGGTCGATCAGCTTCAGCGCGCCATTCGGCTGCCACTCCCCAATGTCACCTGAAGGGATTTAAGGTCGAATCAGACAAATGCCATTATCCTGAACACTTTGGCGAACAGACAAGGAAACGTTGTTTCCACTTCCGATTCCTGATTGAAGGCTGACGAAGCAGTTTGTGGATACAGAAGGTGGGAGAGAGCTCGCCAGTTGCCACTTTCTAAAGTCATCTTCGGAACTCAGGGCACGCGAAGTTTCCTTGGGCTTAACCAGCGAGAGAACGGATCGAAGCATTCAGTGTCTCGACATGTCTCTTCATGTCGCAATATGTGTGGAGCTGGAGCAGGCTCCTAGGTCAAAAAGTCACAGAAGAGGGGGACTTGAAATTGCGGCACGTGCAACAGGAAGTGAAACAACGGCACGTCTGCAGGAAAAGATTGACCAGGACCCGGAAGGAAAAGAAAGCGAAAGAGCACAGACCCATATGCAGAGGTCTTAGACCGAGGGCAACCGTAAGACACACAGAAGCGAAAAGGTGGACACGACAAGACAATAAGTAGGAAAGAACAAGCAAAACGTGGAAGCATTGCAGCGCTCCTTACCCGTGTGGAACCACCCGTCAACGACCACCTCGCTGTACAGCTCCGGCTGCTTGTAGTACCCGCTGAACAGCGCCGGCCCGCGGAAGCAGACCTCGCCCCGCGCGGGCGTGCCGTTCGGGTCGTAGTTCATCTCCGGGACGGCGGCCAGCCGGACCTCCTGCTGCGGCTGGGGGGGCCCGACGGTGCTGGCCATGGACGCAACGTTGGGGATGGCGATGCACCCGCCCGCGCAGTTCTCGGTCAGGCCTGCACGTCGTGGAGAAAGTTTAGAGCTCGAGTATCGGGAGTGTTTGACTAAAGACTCTGCTTTCGAGAGTCTGGGTGTCGGGGTTGGTGGAGCTTTGGATCTATACTCGTCCGTTGAGAAACGTCAGAGATCCAATGTCGGCAATCTTGGGTCGAACGGCTCTGTTTCTGAGGATCTGGGCATTGAGGTTGGTGGAGTTCTGGATCTTTACCAACCTCACAGAAATGTAAACCCAAGAAGGCAAGAAAAAGGATGCCACGGACCGCAGCCTTGGACAGGCCTGCCGGTGGAGCTTCGCGGCTTATGCTGGATCGACATTGTAGAAATCTACTTTATCAGAGAAGATTTTGGGCACGAGATCTTCATGTGGAAGGATCGGAACTGGGCGCATTGGCGCACAGCTTCCTCTACCTAACAGTTCTTTGCTGTGCCGCTTCCTCTGTAGTTGCAGGTCTGAACGTTGGCAGGGGATGTGTATCGAGCGTCCTCAGGAAGAGCGTATTCAGAGGAACAGGATATTCCGTTTAGACCAGTCCTGATGAACCAGAGCGACAAAGATGGGCATCTCAACTTGGAATTCACAATCCAATCTTATAGAGCGTGGAACAAAGCAACGTGGCTGCGAAGTGAATTGGCCCCCCGTTGTGAGAAGACAGCTTACCATATCCCTGAACCACTGGCGCGCACATTGTGACCTTGAGGAAGTCCTCGACGTGGGGGGCAAGAGGGGCAGCCCCTGACAGGATGAGCCGCACGTTGCCACCGAGGCGCTGCTTGACCTGTCGTCGAAAAAGGTTTGGACGTGGTCAGATGAGGTGGGTCTACCGGACTTTGGAGTTCCAAGCTTTTTTTGCGCACAGAAAGTTTCTGATTTCGAATCCCTGTGCCTTTCGAGTGGTTTCTGCCAGACGTTCCTTGCTCTTTGAAGACGGCACTGCCGGCACGGCCTTGGTCACACTAAACGTTCATTTGAGAAACTTTACCAGCTCGCTTTACCGGTTCAGATGCTGGGAAGAAAGAGTCTCTTTGAATCACATTTGTAATCTTCTTAACACAGACTATCAGCCTTCAATATTGTAAAGGAGGCTCAAAAGGTGTCTCCGAACGAGGCTAAAACTGCAGAGGAGCCTCAAGAAAGAGGAGAGGTCAGAGGAACGAAACTTCTATGCCCAGCCTGTTTGACGTCTATGAGCTGGGAGATGTCCCACAAAAACAGTCGGAAACAGGGATTTGTCAAAGACGTTGATGAAGTTGGTTACGAGCTTCGAACGAAGAAGAACGGGTGAGCGAGGAACAGCGAGCAAGAATCGTACCCGGAATAGAAAGGGTGCTGCAATGATGGCAGCCGAAAGCCAGGCAGTCCTGAAAACCCACTCTGTCTGTCGCCTGCAGTTCGTCAACGCTCCAGACAGGATCAAGCATTGGTGTTTAAAAGGTGCTAGCATCGAAAGCGTTACCTTGCCGAAGACGAGGGCGTCCATGATCGGAGCGGCCTGATCAAAGCGCTTCCCTGCCTGCAGACTCTTGAGCTTTCTGCACAAAGCAGATCGCAAGTGGTTAGACTTGCAGGACCAACCATTCCATAGATTGGAGCTAGTAGCTGATTGCCAAGCACGCACGCCACATGCAAATGGGGCGTTTTCTCAACAGAACCCTGGACCAGGACTCCCACAAAGTACATACAGGTCTCCTCAGGCAAGAAACCGATAATCTTCGAGGCTTCAAAAGATTAACCAGAGATTAGCATTGAGGGCACGTTATGCGGGGGGTCCGAAACTTAGATTCGGCCAGGGCAAGTTCCAGAACATTACAGATAACAAACGATTGTTGTTTTAGAAAGCCCGCGACCCTCGCTCTGCTTTGTAGGCTGCTTGGCACGACGCGTTTTCTGTAGGTGAATCGGGGCCACTCATATTAAAAACGCAAGAGGGTATGCAAGCAGAAAGGTACCTTGAAGATCATAACAGAACTCTTACCTGTCGAAACCAAAGTTGAAGAGCCACTTCTTCAAGCCCCCGCTCTCGTTCACCTTCGCTTTGATGCCAGAGTAGATCCTGCAGCAAACAGTCTGTTTAGAAACATTCTACGGCCAACCAGCTCATACCTTCTCATTCTATGGCATGGACAAGCACGATGGCTGCACTTATGAATGAGTCGTCGTGAAGAAACCGCACTGGCACAACCGTCTTAGTACCACAGGAAAATCTCACCGTTGACAGCAGAGAACCAGTTGTGCTGCAGCACGAGTCACGCACTCCCAAGCGGGGGAAATAACCCCAATCACAGAACAATCTGCGGATGTTTGGCGCACCTGTCGAAGATGCGAGGCGCGCCAGCGAACAGCGTAGGTTTGAGCTCGCCGATGTCATCCACGAGGAGCTTGACGTCACCCTGCCAGTAGCCAATCGAGGCTCCCAGGTAGATGAACATCTCCTCGAGGACCCGGTCCATGATGTGAGCGAGTGGGAGGTAAGACAAGAACTTGTCGTGCTCTGTCAACTGGACCAAAAAAACCAGTGCATGTGTTACAATTCGGCATCAACGAACCGTCTGATCGCCACACAAGGAAGCTCAAGCGAAAGCAGGGAAGAAGCCGGCCAGATGTTGTTTGGAAGAAGAGACCTACGACCGAGACATTTCAAGGGGATGAGAAGCAAGCATGACGACTGATTTCTGGAGCTGATCATCCAACAGGAACATCCTCTGTGTGACGCAAGGAAGGGTGGGTGCGAAGATAGTAACGGTCAGCGATTGAGAGGCGGCTCCGCAAAGGTCGTCAGGTGAGCAATCTACGAGAAGGAAGCGTCTGCCCTTTGCAACTTGTGTTTAAATCCTCGTACACAACATCCTTCTGCAATTACTGCTGACCCTGTTTGCTCTTTCGAATGAAGTGCTGTCCCTTGGTACCAGAAGCAAAAGTTCCCTGAGGACACCGGATAGCAAGACCTTTAACCAGTCCGTGCTGCGAGACGGCTTTGCATGCTGTGGAGCAGAAGACGGAAAGTACTTACTTCGTAGTTGGCATCCTTCAAGTAGAGTGCGCCAGCGGCAATGGAGCTCAAGATAGCCGAGTGAGTAATCTCAACACCCTGGGACCAACACGAAGCAATCATCAGGTCGCTTGCCAAAAGACTTGTCAGACGACATTGGAATCGATTCTAATGGCAGGCAACTCCGGTAAGGCAAAAAAGCCCCTTGAACAAAACTAGGATGCGGCACCCACTCTGCACTGATGCCAGGATCAAGTGCCAAGGCCAATCCCTTTACTGGTCCTGCTCTCTTTCTGTACTGGCTACACGCTGATATGAGCGGCGAAGGGTCAGTAAAAGCCCTTAAGTATCTGCTCCTAAATGCCGCAAAACTCATGTAAAACCCGCTTGCCATTTTCCCTTGCTCAACCGCTCCCTCGACCCCAGTCTGCCATATCGCTAACCCCCTCCTTAACCCCTTCTCAGCGCCCTTCTGCCCCTCGCTAACCCAGTTCTTGACATGGTCTTTGCTAAAACGTACCTTGGGGTCTCCCGTCGTGCCACTGGTGTACATAATGGTGCACAGGTTACTGCCCTGGGGCGGCACCGGCTTCGCAGGGTTTGCTGCTCCCTACAAGGAGCACCCAATATGTTGGTGAGCTTAGAACCGGGTTGTCTGACAGTGAGAGGGGGTGGTCAAGAGCAAGAGGAGCGGTGGCGGTGTGCTTGCTCTGCTTTTGCAAACACAGAATGCCAGAAGTGACAGAAGCTATGCTAAGAATGACAATGCAAAGAAAAGCACAGAAAGCCGGCTCAATCAGTGCTTGTACGTGACGAGCAATTATGCAGATGTAGGGCAGTTGAGAAGGTCTATGCAAAGCGACCCACATCCCAGCAAGAGTATTTGCAAGGTCTGACCAGAGGTTCCTATGTTTGAATCATACCAGCTCTCTGAACTCAGCCTGGCTGTACGCAGTCATGCCAAAGCTCGCAGCCTTCTCCTTGAACTCCAACGACAAGTCGCCAAAGCTCACAACAGCTGCATCAGACAAGGTCAAAGGGACTATGTTAGAAACTGCCTGCGAAAAAAGTACGAACCAGCCCTGAGAACCATTTCAGAGTGTCGGAAGGACTTCTTTGGCAGAGACAAGTCACTCGAACCCGGTGTTAAGGCAGTCATAATCACTGGAACATGATACTGATACGGAGGAGGGGCTTGAGCAGAACGCCTCTGGTGAGCATGTGCTGAGTCAGGATTCAGAAAACGACTTCTCATGTACAGCGCTCATGTCGGGATGCTTACTCTTTACTGTCTTCGCGTTTGGCAGGGCCTCAAACAACTGCAAAGACATGGCAGAGGTGAGGATCAAGGAAAGAGATCATGTTCAGTAAGAACGCTAGACTCTGTAACTGAGAGGTCCAACAATCCGTACTTTTGACGACCATGCAGTGTTTAGAGGTTTGTCCAGGCAACTTGAGTCATACTTCCGAAAAGAGCATCAGAACTCTCTGCTAAACTCTTGTGCCACTTTTTAAAGTACCACCAATCTGGACCCTTGGTGGTACAAATTGGTGGAACTTGTACCAATTCCACAAGCATTGAAACCACCAATCCGCACACAAGCGAAAGGCACAATTAAGGGGAAATCAATCTCACATAAATTCAGCCCGTCTTACCTTTGCTGCCTTTTCCGCTTGGAAGAATACGATGGCAACTTCGGCGTGGTTCAGGATGTACTCAACGGCGTTCTCACCTGCGACAAAACTATTCTTGTTCTGAGCTCTGTCCAAAGCTTGAAAAAGATTTGCAAGTAGAAGCATTTGAGCTGAAACAAATCCTGACAGGCGGCCTCATGCTTCAAAGCTGAACAGAAGTCCTGAGAGCGACACAATGCTGAAGCCTTCACTGTGCAAAGCTGCCCTGTACTGCAAATTTTCAGCAAATGAAAAGCCAGTGCTCTGGCGAGTGACAACCTGTGCGGTTTTCACAGCTTCCAGACTTCAATGCACTTAAAGAGGTCAGTGTCGTAATAACCTCCTACAACTGAAAACTCACCCAGCGTGTCATACAAGGGAACACAGAACACGCTCTGCGAGTTGTATGCTTGCATGGCCAGCATCCATTCCACTGAATTGATGCCATAGATACCACCTTTCATGCCCTGCACAAAGGTTACAAAGTAGAGTTGAAACATCGACCTTCCCAACTTGGTCAATTTTGTCGCCTGCCTCGACTCCCTCCACAACTGCTCAGTAGCAGGTTCCAATCCCAAGTTGTTCACAATTTCATAATTGCTTACACTTTGCAAAGGCTGTTCAACTATGCAAGTGGCTGCCTTCAGCGAACACCGGGGTCTTCTTCACTTTCCTGAGGGTATGAAGAGCAATGAGGTTTATTTGGTCATAAAGAACAGCACCAGAAAGATATCTCCCTCTTTAAACAAATGCACGAAATAAGGTTTCTGATTTCAGGAGATGCAACAGAGTGGTACTGGAAAGGTTGGACACTTACAGGCTTGAGTCCAATATGGTTCAAGGCAGAGCCAATCTTGTCCACTTCCTTTCCGGCGTCCGCGTACGACATCCACTTGAAAGGGCCAGCCTGCACAAAACCCTAAGACTGATCTTCAAATGCTTCAATGCATGATGACGCCAGAGTTGTGATGACATAACCAGAGTGGCGTCAGGACAAGTCAAAGGCATCGCAAGAAAGATAGGGTCTCCTGCACGAAACACTTCACCGTGCAACACTGCAAGAAACCTTTGATGCTGAGCATATTTTAGAAATCACATGCGCCAAAAAGCTTTTCTGCGATGGGAGCCAGGTGTTGATGAGCACACCTTGCCATCGACCTTCCCTCTCCAGCCAAAAGCCTTGTTCAAAGGATACTTTTCCACCGACCTCCTGCAATGCAGACAAGAGCATCTCAGACCACACGTCAAGCTGCGACCTCGGCATGGCAAAACCTTGAAGAAGACAGTGCCAACGGCAAATGCATATGCAAAAAGACACAGCTTGTCTTTTGGAGCATTTGTTCAATCGCGATTACTTACGTGAAATTCTCGTAAAGGTTTGTCACCCCAGGGATTGTCGGAAACCCATCCTTTGAGCCAGAATACCGATATGTGGGACCGTATGAGTAGGGATTGTTGCCAGTCGCCGGCTGAGCAGGCGCGACCTCTACAATGTACTTAGAATCCATCTGTGCGCGTTCAACCAGCTTTCCTGAAAGATTGGTCAAACGCCTTGGTGGTCCTTGCTCTTGAAGGAAAATGCTCAAAGAAGGAAAGCCTGATGCATTGGCTGCAATGTCTCTACGGCTTCTCAAAAACGCCACCACGAGCCTGACTCAGCAGCCTGTTGACATCAAAACGTCTCCTCACATGGGCGCCTGTCTACCGTACCTAGATCTGAGCTGTGCAGGATGAACTCCGCAGGAAGCAAGATTTGAACTCCTGAATCAGGATTCAGCCTTCATTGCTCGATTCAAGAAGGCTTTCAAATAGGTAGGTACTGAAACAGAGCGAAATTGGCGCAGATTGCTCTTACTTTGGGCTGATTTTCTGCGACGGGTACCCCAGGCCCCACGGTCACAGGCTACGGTCACATGCAAACTACAAACTTTGACCATGTATAACTTTCTGAGCTTTTGTCTGCTAATATTGTGCTAGCAGTCAAAATCCATCTTCTTTCTGTCAGCTTTTCAATGCTATAATCGGACTTTACCAAATCGAAGGGGCTGCAGCCTGCGGGTGCATACAAGCAGATGTATCGAAAGGTAGCCCTGGTCACACTTTCTGCTCCCTGGGACTGAACTTTGAAGTTGGCGGGTGGATTTGCACCGGTCAGCAGGGTTTCCCACAGCCGGCAGCTACACTTGGACCTGGCCGGCCGAGAAGAGACCCCGGCCGGTGCCGAAGGCACCCTGCCGGCTGGTCAGCCGGCAGAAAATGCAGGCGCTTAGTGGGCTCAGCCGGCCGGTAAACCAAATGCTGGCTACCGAGCCGGCAGAACCGGGGGGGCGCCGGCAGCTGGCCGGCCGGGACAAAAGTCCGTGGGAAACCCTGCCGGTCAGTACTTATTTCTGACCCCGACCCGAATCATGGGCTCTTTAGGGGTCCCATGGGGCCCTGCCAAACGCCTCTCCTAGTCAAAACAACCAACTGAGCAATGGCTATGGGTCGGTGAAGTCTGCTGAGCCGTTTCACTAATACATGCAATCGGGCGGCCTTCATAAGGTGACCCTCCGACGGCCAAATGAACCCCAGATTTGCATCACTTTTGACCAAAGGTACCCCCGAGGTGACGACCTTCTCAGATTTTCATCGAAGTGCCCGGTTGGACTTTAGCAGCTTTGGTTGTGCCCAAAAACGGGTTATTTTTGCAGGGCAGTTTTTTACCATTGTCAGCTTGATTGTGCCCTCGTGGTTGCCAGATTGACTTCGACGTCGATGTTAGGCTCTAAACACCTTCTCCATGACCCAAGCTTTCCATCGAACCTTGGGTCGGGGGGCCAATCGCAACCGCTGAGGTATTATAGCGCCCGCCAGATTACCCTCTTTCCAGATTTGTTTGAGGGCAAAACTCGATAACGTCAACATCCAGACGTCGTATGGCAATCTAACCCACTTCAACGACCTAAAATTGGTTGAAACCCCCCTTCTGGGTCCTGCCAACCTATACGGAGGCCTGCGAAGCTCGTATGATGGGCCTCAGGTGGTCCAGCTGGCTCTGATTAGGGTTGCAGCGATGCCTTACCAGCCAGATTAGGGTTCTGAAATAGGACAAAACGAGGGCATCTTACGGTGCTCTTGAAGCCGTCGATGCGTACTTTGATTGGTATTTGACCGTAGATGACCTGCCTAGCCGCCCCGACTCCTCATACGACCTGGAGAGTGCACTCGTGATATTCGCCCAGGGAGCCGCGTTGGGGTACCCGTCGCAAAAAATCAGCCTTTGGTTGGTAACGCACATTGCGCAAGTGACGTCCGTACCAAAACCGTCAGTCATGAAAGTCAATCTCGGCTCTTTGACCTGCTTAATGAAAAGTTTCGCGACAGAACGAACGGTAAAAACGGTGCATTTTCGTTACGTTGTCATCAATGCAGCTTCAAATAATCACCGGGTCAGCTTCTCTCACGGTTACGAACAGGCTGTCATGCTGACGGCAACTTTAGGCAACTTGCAAGGCTGCCACACGACTGTCAGCAATTGTCGAGCGTCGAATATGTCCAATCTCAACATCGCACGGCTTGACGTTTGACGAGAAGATTCTGTACAAGTCAGCGCCCACCTGGACCTTTCTCCACCTTTCCTGACGTCAGCGCGTACGCATATGGCTAGCTCACGCCACAATTTCCAGTCATGGCAAATGGGTCATGGCATTGCATTCATGAAGCAAATGATTTGCAAATGAAGCTGCAGCCACTCCGCTATCACTATTAGTAAAATGGTGGTCAAAAGCTAAAAGGCGAGGAATGTCTTGAGGACCAAGGAAAGACGGTAGAGAGAGCAACGGTGAAAGAGGGAGACAGTTGGGGTGGTGGCAAGCCCTTCTTTATTAAAGCTACTTGGCTTACCACCACTGTGTGGCATTCAGGCAGGTGATGGCAGGAGCGTATGGGGAAGCGGAGGTCGTCCCCGTCTCGCCTTCAGGAGAGTATCCCGATGTCGAAGCTGTTGGGAGTCTGGCGAAGGTAAGTAGGTTCGTCACACCGACATGTCGCATGAGGGAATGATGCATGATCGCCTTCGAATGAAGCAGCGGACTGGTCAGACGGGATTCGTTCTTGAAAAGTGATGAGTGAGCTGCCTCTCTGGATCTGGCAGTGCTGCCGTGATCCAGCTGCATGCATGTCAAATGTTGTATCAGCTGACTTTGGTTGCGGTTGTCAATAAAGTTCCTAGCCACTACTGCAGTTCTCCACCGTCAAAATCCCAGGCAATGGCAAATCAGGGACAGAAGTTGCAACTATGCTGGCGCGATTATTTGTATCAGCTAGAATTTTGTCAAGATTCTCTGGTTCAGGTCCTTCCTAACAAGGCAAAGTGAGCTTTTGCAGGCAGCCATAGAGATGCGAGCTGAGCGGGAAGTCCTGGATAAGAAGCACATTGAAGATGGTTAGTTTTCAGTGTGACAACTGATAAGCGGCCGTCGTCAGCTGGCATCCTGCGGTTGCTGACTGATTGTAGAAATGGTCGTTGTCATGCTGCCTCAATCTCTTGCAATCAGCTCACAAGTCCTCAATCTCCTGCATTCAGGCCACGAAATCTGGTTATGCTTTCAAACGATGCTGCGTCCAGCTCACTGACTCACAGGGATTGAACGGTTCACATGCTTAAGGACTCAGGTTGCGTCCCAATGTGTAACATGCCGCCATCGAGAAGCAACACCAGATCTTACGATGCCAATCACTCAGGACCTTAGTTTTGGACTGAAGCTGCTGATGATATAAGATCGACGACATGCATTCATAAAGCTTTGCCGATGCGCATAATCAAGACTATAGGATATTATGCTGCAGGTTCGCTGGACAAGATGAAGGCTGCAGTGGGGGAAGCAGTCCTTAGAAATCCGTATGTGGATGAGCAGTGGTAAGTGATCAGGGGCATCATGTGAGTGCTTGTCCTTTTTTCGATCTGGTCCTTCATCATCTTTAGTTTGTCCACGGCTCGTTCCAAGGGGTTATATCTCGAGCAAAGCTTGAACAGTCTTCGAAACGGAATCTCAACGAGGGAGAATGTCTACAGCTGTAGAGATTTAGGGCGGCAGATCCTGCATCAAATCCCTGCAGTGACAATCGTTCCTCCAATTGTACCACCCCTGTCCATGGACGAAGATATCTGATGCGAGTGCGCCGCTAATCCTTTCCAGCAACAATCTATATCCTGACAAGTTAGGTAATATTTGCATAGCCCTTTCGGTTTCAACATTCAATCCCATGTTTTCCTTCCGCAGTCTGCTGAGGTTCCTGCGGGCAGATCTTGGAGACGTCAAGAAAGCGTCTAAGCGGCTCACGGCTTGTTTGGAATGGAGGGTGAGCTCTTCATTGTCCAGTTGTGTTTTCTAAGTCGTCTTCACTTCACTGACGCCTTTGTTTAATGAAAAGATCATTCAAAGTTAAGGTTGCACGGTACTACCAACCTGGCAGAAGAACAAAATTCCCAGTCTACTTCAGCATTACAGGTGGCTTGAAGAAGTTCTTAGAAAACATGAGTTCACATTTAACTTCGATTCTGCTTTCAAAAAAGCTGCTTGCAAGAATGAGTGTATACAACAGCCTGCAAATACTTATAAAAAGCTCACTACCTTCTGTCCCTTCCGTCCCTTGTTCACATTTGCCTGTCAACTCAGCGTCTAGCTAGGGAGGATCCGATATGTCACTGCACATCTTCTCTTGACACTTTACTCTGGTACTTTGGCAGGAGAAACGGAAGCCAGAAATTGCAGTGTGTCCTTCTTGTGCTGCAGACCCTTTAGCACACTACGTTGTAAGTCCTTCTTCCCAGAAATCTCTTCACATGTAGTTAGATGCACCTTCAGTTAGTCCTTTGGAGAGGCCATATATGCCTGCCTTTTTTGCTAACATAGGTCACTCAGTGTCAACTCCTAGCCAGACCCAGATGTCGTGAATTACTGGCAAATCAACACTTCTCTCCAAGAAAGCTTGCTGCCACTTAGGATTGAACGATACAGCAACAGCTTTGCATAGGAAGCCATAGGGTGGAATTTGCCATTTCTAACCAGGCGGTTAGCTCAGTAGCTAGTGCATATTCCTCATGCTCCGTAAGCAAGCCTGAACCAGACGGATAAGCCAATGACTAGACGTGTCATCATCGTTTCAGTCGTGAAGAAACTGATGACGAGGTAAGTATGCAACTTGCGAAACCTCGTTTTCCGTCCGTGCAGCACTTCGTGGGCTTCGACAAATTTGGGAGGCCAGCACTGTACTCGTGCTTTGGACTTGGGGTAGGTCAACTTTCTTATCACAAGCTTCGGTCGTGATGATGTCATCAGCCCTCCATTTCTTCTTAGAGTCTCGTATTTACAGACTCCAACATCTTGATCCTCCCTGCAATGCCAAAATATTAGGTTGGTCAGTGCGATTGTTTGGCTGCCCTCTGTACCGTGGTTAGTGTAATTGTTGAATCTGTATGTCGGGCCAATAAACGTTCCTCTGCAAAAACACCCCTGGACCTTAACAGTTCCGCGGTTGGATAAATGTGATGATTGCCATGTTCTGCGTACATCTGGACTTCACTTGCAGACACCGTACCTAATCGATGATTTTGTGCCGTCCAAAATCTGAAGTGATGTCTAGCACGCACTCCAGTCCGCGTCGATGCGCCCCGTTTTTGAAACTACAAACGGTTGCGAAACAGTTGCTCTATAAGTCCGTTGCTCACGTCTGTCATTAACAACGTATGAACATCAGTGGAAGTATTCGTGGCCGGTCATTCTCGTCTTTTGACGCCAAACTTCCCAGGTCGCCGTGACACGTTCGTTGCTCACTTCTGTCAATAACAACGTACGTACATCAATGGAAGTATTCGTGGCCCGTCATTCTCGTCTTTTGACGCCAAACTTCGTCGGTGTCTCTTGCAGAAGGAGCACATTGTCGAACACAACATCCAACATCTCGTTGTGGTATTGGAGGAAGTCATTGCCAAAATGCCTCCTGGTGTTGAAAAGTGAGCTGGCTTTTCCTTCATCTCCCGCGATTGCCTTTAGAAAGAATGGCTCGCTTCTAACCGGATGTGAGATTCTGCTTGAACGTGTCTTTTGGCTTTCCAGCTGTGCTTGACAAGGGACACCGCTTGCTGGACGGCGTTGTTGTCAGCACGGCCTTGTCACTTAGTTGATGACGTGGCATGTCATACCAGAACTCCTTTGGCATCGGCCTTGTCTGCCTCTGCTAAAATTGGTTTGGCAGTCTTCAACCAGCTGTAAATGCAAAGGGATCACATCTGACGGCTTGCTTTTGAAACGTTATCCGTTTGTTAATATCGATTCCTTCACTTACAAGTTCGCTTTCATTCATGTGTTCCCTTACGAAAGGGCTCTCGTTCTGTCCCTCTCGCCTAAGTCCGGCTTTCTGCGGGTTGCACGAAATTGAACACCGTGTTCTGGAATCCGGAAGGTGCTGATTCCGCTGGTCCATTCTCTTTGTGACGAGGCAAGCAAGATCCTCGGTCCGTGTCTGTTTGATTGAGACAGCCCCTCCACAATTACATCCCATCGGTACCTTCTTACTAGAGCTCGAGGCAGTTTTGAAATACTGCGCTGTCTTCCGTGCAGCTACGTTTGGGTAACGGACTTTCACGGTTTCGGCATGGTGGACTGCAACCCGAAGCTCCCGCTAGCATCGAACGAGGTCTTTGGCAAGTGAGTACGCTCATGCGGCGACGAGTCTCCTTCTGAACAGACCGCGAGACTGTGACCCTCCTTTTGGTCATTTCTTGACTCTCTTCTTACGTCCTACGTCCATTGGACTGGCGCTTGGGTTTTTTTGACAAATTGAAGCCCGAAATTCTAGAGCGGGTTGATACTTGCTCTTCTACAAAGAATTTGTGAACGCCTTGTTCGAATGTCCTGCCGACAGCTACGAAGATAGCTTCAACATCAGCCAGTGGTAAGTGCAAGTTGCAAGCCAGTCTCCCGAGAGGATCAGACCACGTCCACTGACCGCCAGCTTTGAAAAAGTCCTCATAGATTCTCGCTGCCGATTTACTATTTCTTTGTTCTGTGCAGACATTACCCGGAACGAGTGGGCACGTACATATTCGTCGAAGTGAGCATCTCCCTTAAAATTTGCTCTGATTGTCGCAGAGTTCCAGGCACAGCCCTTAGAAATTATAGTTGGCAGTCTTGTGAAACCTTCTTTGGAGGGGGTTCCCGTTCGTAGCCTTCCTAGCACGCGTCTATCGGGTGCTAGCTGTCTCCTGGCGGAAAGCGTACAACGAGTAAGGTGCAGGCAACGTTTGAAGGTAGAGGTACTGCTCTGTAGGGATTGGCATCCCGCCTTGTCACGCAATTTGGACGCATTTGTTCTCGCCAAGAGTCATTTTCTGGCCCCCTGGCGATCGGTTCTGCGCTTCTTTAAACGGCGGCCGCTTTAGTGCGTCGTTGAGACTCTCCAGAGAAACCCACATGAGGCGGTCGCATCGAAGCGCGTCATATTGTGCAATTTCGCAGGCCTTGAATCTCGGGTACGCTCTAGAATCGGCTTCGGCCGCGGTATTCGTCGCCCTAGTCCTTCATCACTGGATATAAAGTTGCACGGATTCGGCCGAACGACCGTTTCTCCTCATGCATGCCGGGGCGCCGCTGCAGGCCGCCATAACAATCCGTGAGATTCTCGAAGCAGATCTCCAGACAACATGACGTCATGATACGCGTGGGCCTTGTCTAAGCTCTATCTCGTGCAACTCTGCAGGCCCCAAAGATCTTCAGCGGGCTCTGGAAGCAGATTCGGGTCTTTGTCGACAAGCGGACGTACCGGAAAGCCCAATTTGTCGAAGGCCCGAAGAAGGAGAAGGGCGCGAAGCTGCGCGCGCGGCTGGCCGAGATCTTCGACGAGGAGCTCGTGGACTGGCTCATGGTCGAGGTAAGTGGACTTTCGTGTCGAACTGCTGCTACGTGCGCACCGTATGTCATTGATGGTTGGCAAAGCAGGGTTTGTTTCAACTAACGAGACTTCGGAGGGGCTCATTGGCTTGCTGTTTGGGTTCACTAGAATGCGGTGTATCCTGGACAAAGCGGGTGCCTTGAGGTGGCCAACTACCTTTGAAAAAACTCAAAGACCTGCGCATCGTTAAAGTGGGCGTTCTGTTCCGCGGAACGCCGGACGTCCAAGGTTAGCGGCAGGGGGTCTCACGCAAATTTGAGTGAGAATCGCGAACGTCAAGTACCGGGTTTCGTGCCGGTAACCAGCGCAGCGACGGCCGAAGTCCTGGCTCAGTTTCAACTTTATCGAATCAGTCGCCGTGACATGACGTCAGTGCTGACATTTTGAAACGCTCACTTTAACGCGAGCCCCTTGGCCACCACGGTAAGCTCTTGGAGGGGGCCAAAATCGATTGGCAGAAATCGTCATCACGACCCTCGGCAGTGCGCTCAGACCCTTCGCAGATGTTGAATGAGAATGGTGCGCTCGTTGTCGGACGCTTCAGATTGCTGCCGGTCAGAATCTGATTTGGGACTAGGTATTCCACTGTTCGGCTGCCCAAGTGCGCCGTGAAGCGTGGGTTGCGCACGGCTCGTTTCTTGGTAGTACATTGCAAGGCGACTTTAAGAAGCGTTTGTGCTCCTTAGAGAACTTGATTGCAGCCAAAATCAGATCCCGAAGTTGAACGTTCGCAATCAAGCGTCGGGAATTGGGAGCATCAGGCCCGGAGAAAGAAATGCTAAAACCGGGCTTTAGTTTTCGGTTTGCTGCCGCCGTTCTGAGTGGAACGACTATGCGTTGCCTGCTGTTGGTAAAGCTCCGTGCGCTTTGCGACGTCGCTGACCTTGTCTGCTGTGCATTGCAGATGGTAGAAAACCGGGATAAAAAGAAGGCGAAGGAGAAGCATAATCCGGAGCTTTACTCGTACACTGCTGAAAGCTTAGAACGCGCCTTAGCGAGCAATGTCCACGATCCGAGGGGCCCAAGGTCACACTTGCAGCGGTTGCTCGAGAGTGCACAGGGGAAGGGCTTAACAAGGACGTAAACGAATGTAGATAGTCAGTTATGAGATAAACGATGCGAAGTCGGCTCTGCATTTTGCTTCCGGTTCTTAATCAGGTTCGAGGAGCCATGCATGCAATCTCAAGTGTCATGTCCAAGTGGAGAGCGCGCGCACGAATGGAGCCCGCTGCGCACGCGCGCGCGCTCAGGGCTAGTTCTTCTGCTGTTTGCTTGCAGTCCTTCACAATTGATTGGCTGCATATGTATGTACTTGCAGTGGACTTTCGCAAATGACGCATCATAGCAAACCGAGCAATCCACAGCGCAGTGCGTGGTCCAACGCATGGGATAATCATTGTTCCCCGCGGCGCATGACCCAATATTTGTGCGGAATGCAGGCTGAGGCAGACTCGGACTCGGAGCTATACTAAGCTACCCAAGCAATGGATTGCATCTGATTAAACCGAGTCACTGCATGCTTTATCGCTAATTAGTCAATTAGACGCTTGGCTGTACATCATTGACCTGCCAGTGTAGGCAGTTGGCAAGTGCAGCGCAACGCCACTCAGTCAGATGTCTGCCCGCTGCCACTGGAGATGTCGCAGGTCTGGAGACAACTCGGACAGAAGAACGTTTGAGATGTAATCATGTTGAATTTTGTGGAGCTTCGTTGGAACTTCATGAACGTTGATGAATTATGGATCGGACGGTACCAAACCCGTATGATGTTCGTCTGGACATTGGACTCTGGAGTCTGGACAGTGGAAGTGTATCCGCAATCTGCCTGCCACGTGGAAGTCGCCTGGTGCGCGCACAGTGTGCGCTGCACTCTTGCACTGGCAGAGGGAACCCCCAACTTTGCCCCCATGTGCAGTGTGCACAGCTTCTGTCGACACATTCTGGCCATATCCGAGCAAGATCAGCTTGATGCAGTCCTTCCAGCCAGCTGGCAGATGTCAGCTCATATTCCCTCTCTTCGTGGCTAAAGTTTCCCAAATTTCAGAAGCAAAGCAGGAATCAGGATAGACGAGCAGTCCGCGAATCCTAGCACTACCGAAGACATTCCCCTTCCTCAAGAGTGGGCGGAGCTTCAAGCTGCATCAATCCACCATTTGAACCATTGAAGCACCCGACGCGCTCCTTGACGTATCAGACGGCGGTCTTTAATTTTAAAACGGCCGAGTTTGTGCTTTTTGACTGCACACAATTTCTAGCTTACCAGTCAACCTTAACCCATTGCCATTCTCACTCCACCTTCGCAACTTTCAGTGAGCTGACCTCCCTTTCTGTGCCTCTGACTTTATCAGGCCTGATCGCCACTGCTCATCTTTTGCTTCTACCTCCATACAATTTCCGCCACATCTTTTAATGGCGCAACCTTCCCACTCCGAGATCCCAATCGCTAGCGCCGCCCCCCCTCCGGCGGCATACGGTGAGAACTACAAGCAGGAGAAGCAGTATACGGAATATGCAACGCCTCCGTATGGCCAACAGTACCCCCCCCAAGCGGTGCCGATTGCGCAAGGGCAGCCAGCATATTATGCACCTCAAGGGCAGGGTTATTATCCCGGTCAATCAATGCCTGGTGGAGGCGCATACCCCCCGCAACAGCCGAGCGCTTTCCATGTGGTTCAGGTAAAGTGACGATGCTCGTTACATGCAAAACCCTCATCAGATGCTTCAAAACCGCAAATTAGAGGTACCCCCATCCCCTTGAACGGAAACGGGCTGACAAAAAGTCTTCTATGAAGGTTTTCAGAAGGCGTTACATGTGAGCGCAATTGCATCGCCCTGCTTCGCTGTGAGTGCATGCACCAGAAGTGAATGGGTACACAGGGTTGGGCAGTCCCCTTCAGCCGCTGAAAAGTAGTTAGAATACAGGGGGTGTATCCACGCCCATAATGTCAACATTGCTCTCCTGATTGTACTTTGAAGTCTATTCCTTTAAGCTGGCAGTGCTGCTTCAATTGTTGTCCACTTTAGGTTATCTTTAACAGTAGCTATAGTACACTTAAATTATGAAAGAAACGAAGCTAACATAAAAGAGGCTAATGGCAAACCTCTTCCCGCTCCGTAGCTGTGCAAATCTAAACCCCCTTATCAACCCCAACCTTTCCCAGTATTGTAACATGAGTATATTATGAGTGAGCTCGAGGCAACTCAAGTTACTCAGGAGAGGGGTCATTTTGTCCATTGACTTATGTCGAGAAAGGGCGATCGGTACAAAGTGGTAAATGTCATAACTTGCTGCGTCTACAGCGCAACAAATCTTTAGCAACGAAGGAGCCTTCATTTTTGACACATCTGCTTGTAAGTTTGACCCGCTTTCAGTACGTACATTGCACTCCTTATGTCCACATAACCAGAAGCCGAGCTGACTTCCAGCAAGCCCGCCACTCCCTTGAAACCAATTATCTCGAGAAGAGGCTGCATTTCATGGGCGCTCAAGAGGGATCCCCGATGCACTCAAAAGCCCCCCTGTTACTTGCAAGGAAACTGTTTTTTATGTGCTCTAAAAGCCGTCGTTCCAGAGTTGACCATTTAACATTCCCAAGCCCGACTCTCGTCTGCAGGTAGTCCTGATAAACCGTTTGAGAGCGACGAATTGAGGAAATGCAAATGTCGATTTTAAAGTTCAGAGGCCTTTTGGCAGGGTAGCAAGCTTTTCCTTGCTCTGCCGGTGGAAGCAGTTCTGCTTGACTGTCTTCATATCACGGATGATCTCTTGTGAAGAAAAGAGAGTAGTGCAGCTCGCACCAACCTTTTTCATCTGATTCTTTTCAAGTCTGAACAGGGTGGATCAAGACCTGTGATCTTCACGCAGGCAGGGAAACCGGGCCCGTTTTCTCCTCCACAAACCTGACAGGTCCCCCAGAACTTCCGACAAGCCATCCAGTAACTAGAACGGGAACTTTCTCTGAACCCACGCTGTTGCTCCTTGCAGGTGCCGCCGCACCAGCCGTCTCGCAACCAGCACTGCTGCGCAACCCCTGACTGGATCTTCTTCATTCTTGGATGGATATTTGGTATTTTCTGGCCTATCGGGGCCCTGCTTCCGCTTTGCCGCACACCCAAGTTTGCAAACCCCACAGTCAAGGCGGGCTGGGTTGCCAATTGCATCGGGACGGTTCTCCTCATCGCTGCGATCATAGTTATCATCGTCGCAAGGCCCAAGTCGGATGATCCTTATTACAGGTACTGACCACGGTTAAGAGGAACCCGCTGTTTACCTAGTCCGGTTAAGCGGCGATTGATGGTGGAAAGTGGTCAGAGACGTAGTCCGGATGCTTCATTGTTCTGAAGTAATGACGAGGAGACGCAAAGCTTTGCTGCTATTCGGGAGAGTAGTGGTCAGAGTGTTGAGAGAGTGTCCGGGGGCCAATCAGTGCTTGAAGCTGTCGGGTGCTGCCTTTGATAAGCTTTTATTCCAGCGTGGCGATTGCCTGTTGGCGCTTCCGTCAGTCGCTCGATCAGACCGGCGACTTGTATATTGGATTGATTAGATCGTACTTCACAGCCAGGTAGTCCACGTAGCTAGCGACGTCAACTGCATGGACGTAATGTCCAGCCAAGAATCGTTTCCTTACGATCCGGCCTAGGTTTACAAAACCCATGTAAGGAATAGTCGCTTGTATAGGTGTCGTTGGAGAAGAGTCGGCGAAGATGCAATCGACGCGCATCTTAAGCATGCCAATAGATTGTTGGATAGCACATCTTCTAAACCACGTATCGATTGCTGGAGCTCACTTGTAAGCTGTCGGAAGCGCCGCCATCAGGCGTTTACAATGAACGCAATCCTGCAAACAAACCATTGAGCAGTGCATTGTCCAACGCATGGCATGATCATTGTTCCCGCGCGGCGCATGACCCAATATCTGGGCGCATTGCAGGCTGCATGAGGCAGCTTTAGTAGTTTAAAATTGCGTTCTGAAAGGAAGTGCGTTAGTCAGTTAGACGCATGGCATACATCATTGATCTGTAACTTGTATTAAGTATTCAATACTAATACAAGTTCGATCGAGGCAAAATGATTTTGCCTCGATCGCGAACTTGGCCGACTGGACTCTGGAGACTCTAGCTCTAAGTTGACTCTGGAGTGTGAACAGCGCCGTCAACGAACTTTTCGGTATGTCTCCTATAGGAGCTTCAAGGACGTCGATAAGATGGATCGAAGTCATCGGACGGTTCACAAACCTGTATAAACAGTACAACATCGACGTTTCTCCGTACAGTGAAAACAAACTCGCGGAAGGCTTGCCACGTGGAAGTCGCCCGGTGCGCGCACGATATGCGCTGCACTCATGCAGCTAGTAGTAGAGGGAACCCCATCATGCGCACAGCTTCTGTCGACACCATCGGCCGTATCCGGATCCCTGGGCCGAGGCTTAAAAGTTAAGATTCAACCAGCTTCCAGCCAGCTGCAGCAGATGTTACCTAGCTCATAATTTCTTCTCTTCACAGAATTTCTCAAGTCGAATCTTGAACATAAGAATCAGAATTGACCGGTCTTTAGCGCTACCAAAGACGTAGGCTTTCGACCTCCTGAGGAGTGGGGCGGAGCAACAAGCTGCATCATCCACCATTCAAAGAAGGCACGCGCTGCGCTCCACTTGCAGCATCAGAAGGCGGTCCTCCAAAGGCGGCCCAATTCACGCTCATCAGGTGTGTACTGAGCTCCTTTACCCATTGCCATCCGGCCCACTCCACCTTCGCACCTTCTAGTGAGCTGACCTCCCTTTCTACACAGCTGTGCCCCTGACTGTAACACGGCCAGCACACGCTGCGCATCTTCTGCTTTTACCTCTTAGGTACATTATTCGCGCAACAACTTTCGGTTTTCCAAATTAATGGCGCAACCCCCCCACTCCGAGATCCCTGTCGCGAGCGCCGCCCCGCCCCCGGCTGCATTCGGTGAGATCAACAAGCAGGAGAAGCAGGATACGCAGCACACAACTCCGCTGTTTGGCCAAAAGTACACCCCCGAGGGGGTGCCAATTGACCAGGAGAAGCAGAATAAGCAATACACAACTCCGCCAACGTTTGGCCAAAAGTACACCCCCGAGGGGGTGCCGATTGCCCAGGAGAAGCAGCATACGCAATACACAACTCCGCCGACGTTTGGCAAACAGTACACCCCCGAGGGGGTGCCGATTGCACAAGGGCAGCCGGCATATTATGCACGTCAGGGGATCCCTGGTGTTCGCGCTTTCCATGTGGTGAAGGTGAGCTGACGATGCGCACCACATGTTGAAACCTCATGAGACGCATCAAAAACTGCAGGTATTTCCATCTCTTTTGATAAGAATGCACTTACAAGAAGTCGAGATGGAGCTACTTGGGAGGCATTATGCAAGCGCGAGTGCATCGCTGTCTATGCAGCTTTGAGAACTCTTACTTTACTATGAGTGGATGCACAAGAAGTGGGTTATTCACAAGATTGGCCACTCCCCTTCAGCTTCTGAAAGTACTCTGATACACTGGATTCTTTTCACGCCCGGTATGTTGACATTGCTGTCCTGATTTAACTTCAAACCAACGTCACATGAGTGGCAAGCGAAGGGCTGCTTCACCTTTCTCTGCTTCTGCTAAGGTTATATGAATATACAGAATCCCTATAGTAAGCTCAATTTAAAATCACAACAAAGCCAACACTAGAAACTTAAACCCAAACCTCTTTCCATTCCGTACGCGTGCCCACTCTAGAACCCTACTAAAACCACCCTCCCGGTTTCATAACTTGAGCTGATTGTGAGCGATCTGGAGACAACTGAAATCACTTAGCCGGAGGGCTCCAAGCATTATATGATAGGGGGTCATTTGTCTATAAGACTCATGTCGAGAAAGGGCAATCAGTCTGGAAATACAGAAGATTGGTGTGTCTACATGGTGACAGATTGGAAAGGATGGGATGAAGGTTTTTGAATCATTCTTTATTGCGCGGCTCTTCAGCGCATATTTGCACTCCTTCTTGTCCACAATCCCAAAAGCTGACCTGATATTGGCAAACCCGCACCCCCTAATATAACCAGCTGCGTGGAGAAGAGGCTGATATCATGTATCCTCGAGAGGGATCCCCCTGGTTACTTGTTGGTAATCAAACCGATTGTTGTCTCAGGTGCTCGTTAACAGACAGGGTTGACTCTTTACCAATGTCAGGCCCGATTCTTGTCCTCAAGCACTGAGAGAGGATCCTAAGAATGACGGGTCAAAGGATATCCGGAGGTCGAATTCAAAGACCAGAGCCCCTTGACAGGAGAACATGCCGTTCCTCGTTCATCCATAAGACGCGCATCTGCTTGACTGCAGTCTGTATCACGTTCATTTTTAACAAAAGGAGAAAGCAGGGCAACTGAAATCGTTTTAGTGAACCCCATTTTACTCAGTCCCGTTTCAATCAGTCTCCTAGACTGAAAAGGGCCGATCAAACCCTGCGATGATTCTCTCATGTAGACAACATTCTGCCCGGTTCTTTCCCACAGTTGCGCTCAAAGCCACAAGCCTTCCAGTACTTCGACATACCTAACAAAAAGTAAAACAGGAATGCAGTACAGAAACAAGAGCGGGAAACTTTTTTGAACCCACGTTGTTGCTCTTTGCAGCAACCGCACCGGCAGTCTCGCAACCAGGACTGCTGCGCAACCCCTGACTGGATCCTCTTCGGCCTTGGCTGGATTTTTGGGATCTTCTGGCCTATCGGGGCGCTGCTTCCGCTGTGCCGCACACCCAAGTTTGCAAACCCGACCGTCAAGGGGGGGTGGTTTGCCAATTGCGTTGGGACGGTTATCTTCATCGTTGTGGTTATAGTCATCGTGACCGCACGACGCAAGTCGGATGATTCCTATCACAGGAACTGATCACGGTTAGGGGAACCCGCTGTTATTCTAGTCCGGTTAGTACTGCATGAGTGCTGGACGATGGTCAGTGACGTAGTCCGCGGATGCTTTACCGTCCTGAAGTTCTTATGAGGAGACGCAAAACTTTTCTGTCTATTCGAGATAGTATTGGTTAGACTAGAGTTGAGAGAGTGTCCGACTGGGGGCCAGTCAGTGCTTGAAGCTGCGGGTGCTGCCTTTCGATAAGTGTTTGACTTCAGCGGCGATTCTCCGTTGGCGCTTCTGTTAGTTGCTCGATCAGACCCGCAACTTGTAACGGGTTCGATCATTTAGAAACGAATCAGATCATATATAGCCAGGTGATTCACGTAGTGACAACTGGACGTAAGTTTCAGCCGAGATTCGTCTCCTTATTTGGGCCTTTACGGGAACATGTGAGGACTAGTCGCTTGTATAGGCATTGGAGAATTAGATTGAGAAAATGCAAGACGCTCTTTGAGCATGCCAGTAGATTGTTAAGGATAGCAGACTATCGAACCCATGTTTATTGTTGAGGCTTGTACACAGTCAATCGAGACCCGGTTGTAAGTACGCTTCTCTGTATAGGCAGGGAAGATTGAGTCTATCAATGATCTGGAAAAAGGAAACCTTTCAGACGATCTTGACCTTAATTACGATCTTGTGTGAAGTTTCAGAGCGCATGTGTCCTTAAATAGGGGACTTTTAAGTCGGAAGTGTTCTTAAAGTCGTTTGAAGACCGTGATCAACGATCGGGGTTTTCATTCTTTGTGCTTATTGAGCTGTACGGTTGGAAGCCGCCATCAGGCATTTACAATGAACGCAATCCTGCTACGATTACATCGTACGTACTGTACAAGCTAGAGGGTTTTGAAGCTAGTCCTATCAATCACAGGATCGCGCGCCCTGAGTCTTCACATGCACACGGTCAGGGTCATTGGTAACGTGCATCACTGATCGGCCTCGGTTCTAGCGGCCTCCTTTCAATGCTCTCGCACAAGCTTGTGAATTGGTTGTATTCGATCCGGCAAGCAGGCCAGTCCTGTCCGTCGCGATCGCGTTGCACTATCATATTTGAAAACAGTCCGAGTCATATTATTGTGTAGACCTGCTCTACAGAGTTATACATAGGCGCTCGAAAGGCCGGGGTCCCCGCGCGGTGACTCAATCCAAATCAGGCATTTGCATGAATGGATTTGCGACATGCATGATAAGATAATAGCTCGCTGGTTATGTTTATTGCATGTGTACGAGCTTGAAAGCTTAATCGAATCTCAGTGCAATTATGCCATGCATCTAGCTCGATCAGTCTTGCTTGGCACTTCGAGCGCCTGCAGAGACGGTCCCTACAGCTAAGTCTTGAACGTCCAATCGCTTATACAACGCGGTCGATTCGGATCTCGTGCAGAATGAGACGTGCCATTGTGCTCGGATCTATTCACGGCAGCGTGGCTAGTACTACCTTCCATGAAATAAGGCGGCTGCCGTGCCAGCAGGGACGTTATACAACTCGCGTCATCGGATTGATCGATGATTTATGTACGTGTGTACGAACTGCTTCATAAGAGTGCGATGATCAGACATGCAGATGTTGCAATGAACAGCGACGGTAGTCCCGGCCGGCCGGCCGACTCCTCGACTGAACATCAATTAATAGGTGGGATGCTCAACGTCATGCTCAGCTAGATTATGTCTAGATGCATTTTCAAAGGGCCTAGGCAGATTGATGCGGCCGCGGGCCGGGCACTGAACCTCAACCTCAACCAGACATGAGCCATAACCACAGCAGTATAGCTATTAAGCGCTTACTCTGGAGTGTTCTCAAGTCAGCTCGAGCAGTACGTCGCAAAAGCATTCGAGCCGACGTTTCTCTTTGCCCCGCGTCACTGTACCCAATAACAAGGCTCCGATCTTGCGAGTTACACGACAGATTCCGGCCCGCCGTTCCGGAGTTTCCAACCGAACAACCAAGAATGGCACTGACCTTACCGCGTCCAGTTATTGGAAGCAGTTATGACATCAAGGGTAACAGTTCCTCTGCTCTACTCCAGCTCTCTCATATAATTTGACGTGCATTCTGCTGACGCACCAGTACTAAGCGTACAAAAACAGCAGGACTACGACGATATAAACAACTATCATGACGCAATTGGCGACCCAACCCGCCTTGACGGCGTTATTCGCAAACTTGGGGGTGCGACACAGCGGTAGAAACGCCCCGATGACCCAGAAGACCGAAAGCACCCAGCCGACGCCGAAGAAGATCCAATCGGGGGTCACGCAGCAGCCCTCTTCCCGGGGGGGGGTTTGTGGGGGTACCTGCAGAAACAAAAGGTCGTTATCAACAGATCTTCGCACTCGCTGTTTGATTATTGAAGCGCAGCGTCTGTCTGAAGGGGCGTGACTCAGTTACCTGCAGAAAGAGGGGCAAGGAACTTTGGGGGGGCGCGTCGTCAATCGGTCGATCCTTTGTACCACGAGAAAGGGGCTGGCGCAAGCGCCCAGGCTTCTGGGCACCTTGTCCCTGCCAAGCTGACGGGCTGGGTCCTTCCAGTTTACTTCGTCACGAATACAAATGATCGTGCAGATCTCGATATTAAGCGGAGAGCAAATGGAGGAGTTAACCGAGAACGGAGTCGGGGTATGTGGGGTGGTGCCTCGAAGAGCGGGGACGTTCCGAAACTTCTTGTCGCTCTAGTTCGTCTCTTCATATAGACGAGAAACCGGACGTGGTCCAGCTCTGGCTTGTGAAGCGTCCTAAGGGAGTGTTTGCCGAAAGCAGGACCGCACGTGAGAGCTCGTCGCGCCCTGGTGCGATTGAAGGAGAGCGGGGCAAAAGCAAGGCGGAGTCATCGGATGGAGTAACCGTTTTGGTTTCCTGAGCTGAGTTCCTTCAGAAAAGCAGGGGCGTTCTTACCGTACTCCAAGTACGGTAACCGATGCTTTGGGTTTTGGCAGAAGCCTGTCCTGCTAGAGTTTTTCCAAAGCGCGAATCACTTTTCCCAAATATAGCGAATAGAAGCTTGCCAACTTAGTTGTTCGAAGCTTCAGACGACTCTGTACTTCAGGCGCCCAGTGGAACCATTTCCTTCAATAAGTTATGCCACTGTTCTGCAAAGGCTCTGATCGAGAGTAATAGTATTTTGTTCAAAGTACTCTCCTCCAAAGTCCTTCCGTGTCTTGGCAGACGTTCTTGAAGGGGCGAAAAGTTCCGACGCACTTCGACGATCTGGAGCGTCCTCGAACAATTCATGACGTGAGTTTTACATTCAATCCCTTGAAATCGCACCAAAGTTCAAGCGACCGCTTACCAATTGCTTTCAGGCAGTTGCGAGCCTTTTTAATCAGGCTCTTCACTCACGTGCCGCATTTTTGTTGCCTTCTGGTTACTTCCCACGTTCCCGCTTTCAATTGAGTGCGATCACCCGAAACGTACTGGAACTTTCGTGTCTGATAAAAAGATGAACTTGAACCGAGGAGCTTCATGACGAAAGACAGATCAGATATTTCAAACTCCCCAGTTCGAATCAACGAAAGCTTTTACTTCAGCATGGTGTCCTAAGCTCTCTCCGTTCTTGGAACAGCGGTACTCGTTGCAGTGCTTTCCCAATGAATCGAAGCTTCGATCGTTTGCCACGGGTTATCAGACCACATAACGAACCGGAAACTTTAGCCTATCGTTCGTTTTATGTCTTGCCCATGTGCTGGCAACGATTTAATCATCAACGTCCTGGACTCTCTCTGAAAGTTGGAATAAGTGTTCGAAGCATATCTCGTGACAGTTTATGTCTGATCCTGGTTTGGTTCACGGTTATCATCGAAATACCCTTGAAAATCTTCATAAGTCCTGGAGGCAGCTTGCGCTTCTTAGTTGGGAAGACCCAGCAGCCTTCTGGTTTTAGTGCAGTGTACGGAAACAAAGGGGGCGTGAGGTATTATCCCGTCCTCGATCGCGGGCCAGCCCCGCGCGACAGCTCCCTATGTTTTTGATGCTTTGTGGCACACTTATGAGCTCGAAGAGGCAAAAAGCAAGCTCACCAGCCCTTGTTCTTAGCTATCTGAGCTGCCCCTCGAGGTACTTGTTGCCTATAAGCGTCTGCTCACCTGTACCACATAAAACGCGCCTGGCTGCTGAGGGGGGTAGCTCCCAGCGACCGGCTGCGCCGAGGGATAATATCCTTGCGTCTGTGGGGAAAAGTAATATGTGGGCTGCCCTGGAATCGCCTGAGGAGCATATGCCGGTTGCTTATAAGGCGATGACGTGGCGTCTGCGTTCTCATACTGCTTCTGTGCATATTCGTTCTGAGGACTTGGCGAAGCGGGCGCCGGCGCAGGGGCGTCAGCCTGCGGGGTGGTGTCGGGAATCTGCATTGTGAAGCCCCCTCTGCCAGTCTCAGAGATCGATTAAGCAGCTCGTATCGTGGCCCAAACAGTGGCCAATGAGCGACTAGAGGGGCGACTAAAGGAAGGACAAAGGGTTACACTGAAACACACTACGGATAAATTTGACAGGTGTGGACATAAGTAGCTTTCCGTTCTGAAAGTCATTGGCGTCCTTCTTAACTGGACAGAAGAACCAAGTCATACAGCTGAAAGGAGGTCATACGGATCTGGAGTTGCATATATAAGCGGAAGTCGAGGGGGGAGCACTTATTCTATGAGCTGGTCTAGCTCTGACATTGCCTATGACTTAGTACCGCGCAGCAGCCAGGATCCGAAGACGACTGGCTCTGATCACTTGATGCCAAGCAGCATAATATCACGTTTTACAGAGCCCAAATTGCGGTCTGAAAGCAGCCGCAGCAGGAATGCCTCCCATGAGCATGCGGCGCTCACTGATTGAATCAAACCTTGATCAGCAAGCCGAGCTTTTGAGATCTGAAGCAAACGGAGGAGGTAGGTACTATCAGAAGTCATTGAAGGGCTACTAGGTACACAGAAGCAGCTGATTGAGAAAGGACTCCGAGACCTTCAAGTCTGATAATGTGTCAGGTCTCTCACTCTGAGTCTCAGGCTCTGCCAATGATACTAACAATGAGAAGTGCAAGGGCATGAGTTTCGGCATCTACCGTACTTTAGCCGCCTGTAACTGTCGTCTCGACCCAATCTTGAACGTCGATCACAAGGATTGTCATCTATAACCGTCCGATTGAATGCGCGCGGAGTTGAAGTCATGCCGCCTGGCCGGCCGGCGCGGCGATAGGTATCAACTGCTGGAGTTGACTACCGTACTACCGGTACTAGAGTCAATTACCGTACTAGGGCTGCGTGCTGTGACTCACAGCCTATCTCCAGTCCCTTTCAAGTTTCACCCTTTACATCTGCTCTGTACAAAGCGCCGCACTATTAATTTGAGCAGTGGCCAGTATCTGGTACACGTCATGAAGTACTTAGGTGCCGGTGAAGGCAAGCCTGAACCAGCTTATATAAGTACCGTGACGTCGTGGGATTCCTGCCGAAGCTAGAATGCATTGCGCAAGCGCACAGCTGGCAGCATAATGAAAGAGCTGCAGCTGCAAGGTGAAGTTTGTTCGCCAGGCTGAGACCAGCAATTAGGGAGCACTTCGGAAGCACAACAGCCGCTACATGTACAGACAAGGCAACCTAATTTCTACTGTGATTTCACCAGATTGCCACTTTTGACACGGGACACTGCTCTTCTACACTGGAGCTCACGACGTAAGCGCTGCAATCGAACTTTGCTGCCCGGCTATATATGCTGTCCTTACCGTCCTCTTCTAGCACAGCGGTGATTTGGTTTCCTCTTCGTGGCACAGAACTTGCGCCAACAGAGGGGCTGTGCCAGTGGCTCCAATATCTTCATGTTTCAAATCGAACTGATCAAGCTATATGGAGGCTCAAACCTTTATCACACGCAGCAAAAAAGGTATCCAACGGTAGCAAGCTGCAGCTGTCGAGCTGATAGATACCGAACGTTTGAGCCAAATGCGAAGAGGGATTCTAGCAAATTAGGTTGATGCGGACTCAAAGCTCAGTTTCACGATGCCGCATCCAAGCACCGTGATCCCTCTACCGGTTAGCGGGCCCAGCCCATCTACTGCCTTAGAACCTGGACAGAAGCAATACGAGGCCAACGCCATGTCTCCACATGCGGCGGACCTGTCCCCAGGGCAGGCTTTCAGTGCATCAGCAGCTCATGCGCCATTTGGTGGAAACGCGTCCCCGCAGCAGCCTGTCGCGTACTATGTCCAGGTAAGTAACTCAGCTTTCAGCAGGAGTGACATGTGTCTAGACCAGCTTTTGATTCGGCCCCCTTCATTCATTTAGGTTCTATTAGTGCAACCCAACTCTAAGCTTTACTTTTGCTGGTCTAGTTGAGCTCTGTAGAAGGTAAGGGCGGCCCACTATCTGAAATTTCGATGCAGGTAGGTCAGGTGAGTGTACCCTTGATGGAGTACTTGGCAAGGATCTTTGTGGGTATATGCTCCCCTAGATGATCGTATATGGCAAAGTGGTCGCGCTTGCTTAAGCGCGACCTGAAGAGGCTATTCTGGAATGATAGAGAAAGCGTGCTTACTAAGAGATGCACCAGCTAGAAGAAGCACCGATGATCAGAATTACTGATGCCGAGATTCAGCTTTCACCTTCCGCTGAACGCTCGCCTGCCTTGTAAAAGCGCCCTATTCTGAGCAGTAACGAGGTGAGGTTCGCGATGCGCGGTGGGCCCGTTCACTGAAGTGCCTGCGTTTAAAAACAGGTTTGCGAGCTGGGTTTCCAGGCTGTTTGCAGAAGGCACGGTCTGGGCTGTCGTCAGAAGGAGGGTAAAGGTCGAGTTTTTAAATACGCGGGGTGAGCTTGCGGGCAGAACCTCTAGGGGTCCTTCCAGGGGTCCCCATAATGCTACGGTTGTTTACCATGGTATTAGTAAGCGGGCACTGGACAGAATACAGAAACATGCTCCCCCAAAATCACAAGGAGACGTTTGTCCAAGAAGACGGCCATGCAAACTCCACACGAGTAACCCCGCGATTGGTCTCGAGGACAAACTTCCCTTAATAGGAATCCTTCAGCGGAGGCTTTTGCTGTAAAAGAAGCCTGATCATTCAGAGGGCATCAAGGCGCAGATCTGGCAGAAAGGAACGAACCCACGACTGGCGGCCGGGGCGCTTAATTGACGGTCGAGAAACGGATCCTAAAAAGCAGCAAAGTCTGTTGTGATTCCGAGCTCAGATGGCGACGAGACTCTCTCGACATCTCGAAACGTGTCCTCGTCAACAAAATTAGAGCCCTAATAGCTTGTCGCCTTATCTGAGGACGTCAAACTTTCACCTTTAAAGCCAGGCGACTTTGGGCCGGACAAACATTGTTTCTAGCTAAGAGCGAGCGAAAAACCACCCAACTTTTACCACGCTTCCAAGAATAGTGCCAATCCAACGTTGAAGAGCGACACATTCGGCAAGTCCGTAATCAGCAAGAAAACCCCGATACGGCGCATTGGATCTTGAAGAAACTGCCGCTGCAGGAACCACCAAGCCTATGTTCGTTCACAGCTGCTGTGATGGACGTAGGTCCACGAGACAGGGGAAATCGTGGATCTTGCCTTTAGAAACTGATTGCCCAGCTAATTCGATTTCGTGGCTCTCGCCTTAAACCCCATTTTTCGAGCTTGGATTTCGTGGGTCTTGCTTGAACTCCAATCTCCGAGCTCGGAACTGACTCCTCAGAACGCCCTCACGAGCGTGCGATTTATAAAATCGTCCTTCTCAAGGGCCGAACCGCGTTGGCGCTTGCGTTTAGCCCTCTTACTCAACCCACAAGGTCTGCTTCTATCAAGCGCTTTCCAGTCAGGTAGGCATGGTTAAGCAGAAGATTCTCTGCAGGTTAAGAAAGAGAATTCTCCGCAGGTACCCCCCCCTGGGCGTCCCCGGAAGGACGGGTGGTGTGCGACCCCCGACTGGGCCCTCTTCTTCATGGGCTGGTTTACCTGCGGGGTTGGCTGGATCGTGGGGGCGTTTCTCCCGCTCTGCCGAACCCCCCGATTCGAGAACGGAATGATTATGGGTGCATGGATCGCCAACTGCGCTTGCGCTTGTGTAGTGACGACTTATTTCTCGTTGATAGCCGTCTTTTTCACGGGCATCGCTCTCTATGGCATATGAGCAGAAAACTCTCATAGGTTTTGAGTTGTAAAAGGGTAAGAGGAGAAAGCTGCAATTCATCGCGGATAATTACTTCGGATTAAGTAGTCAAATCAGCAGCTGCATTTGAGCTTAAGTTTGAGTCCACAAAGAGAGCTATGCATCTGAGATAGTCTTATCGATATTCGACGGTTGTTCTGGACTTGTAAGCAGAGCAGGTTAGTCGCTCAACTGTAGGAACGGTGCTCAGCCCGCTGAACACATATTGAGAACGTCCGAGAAAAGTGTCTGTTTGACAAACCCGTGACCGTCCAAGTTTGTACAATCTTATGAGTCTAGGAACACCCTCGGACTTCGCAGTTTCCGCAGGCAGGTAAAGATGCCATCAGGCACGTAAACGACCCTGGAAATGAGTGTAATTTCGTCTTAAAGTAAGTCCAAAACGGCAGCGCTTCTCTGTGTCGTGTTATGTGTCGTGTTATCAGAGACGTTTTTGAGGGACTCTTCTTCGGTTTCACCAGTCCAGTCAAAAAGGTATCGCCTCATTCCATAGATTCCTCGAGATGAATCAAGGCACTCCTAAAATGTGGGATATGCCAGGTGGGTTCCAAGCTTCGACACTTTGAAGACTCGAAATCGAACCAGAAGAGTCTTCTGTTACACAATCATTGCACACAAATACAACCGGGTTCGATGGATTGCTTGCGTTCGTACAACACGACGTTCCAAAAGTATCGATCTGTTTCATGAAAGACTGACGAGAAGAAGTTAGCGACTAGAATTACTCGGCAGTCTTGATGCATAGACAACATTAACCGCAAAGTATTGTTGAACCCTTCAAATGTCGAGCGACGCAATGAAGTGGGCGCTGCTCGCTTTACAGCGCGGCAAGATGGTCGGGAGAGTCTCCCGACCATCTTGCCAGTTTTACTCACTAAATTAGTCGGAAAGAAGTTGAAAGTTGAAAATAGTGCTACATTAGTCGACACTAAAACTGGCAAAATGGTCGGGAGAAGAGGCTGTAGCCAAACGCTTGAAAGTCCCAGAAATCAAAGACCTTTTTCCCCAAGTGTACAGAATCTTTACGCACATCTACGTCATTAGCACTGAGGTTCTGGACGCCGCCGTTATCATGTAATGATGGTGCCTGCAACTTTCGAAATTTAAAAGTTGCCTTAGCCACCAGCTGGCCTGAGGGGAGGCCGACTTAATTCGGTGTTGAAGCCTGCACTTCAGTGACTTCAGAGCTGCATGGATTTCCTTGCAGGAGCATCATCGTTGGAGCTTCGCAGTTCAGCTCCGCACGTGTATAAATAGATGAATATCGACAATGATTTTCGCCCTTTCTTCCCGTACCAATTGTATTGTGACGTCGGCCGGTACATGCACACGGAGTCTTGTCGGAGTATATATAGTGCGAGGTACGTTCTGACAAGAAATGAAAGACTAGGCCCTTCAGGGAAGATTGTGCGGTATGCTTCTGGAGGGGCTTCCTCATGATTCATGAATCTTCCGGAGGAGTCCGTCATGTCGACCGATACCACTCCGCTAGATGATCGACCGTCCTCCTGAGATTTTCGCTTCGAGAATATGGACCTGGCTCCATATTCTCAATCATAGAGTCGATGCACATCCAGCTGTTTTGAGTCCAAATGGTTCAAACTTCCGGGCAGTAGAGTATCAAGTGCAGACCTCCGAAGGAGCGCGCCTTTGCACCCAGACAAGTTTCGAAAGCAGAAAGCAGTTAATCCTGGAACTGCTCGATCGATCCGCGAATCGAGGGCTGTAGCTGTAGTCCATGAAGCTACAGCTCTGATCGAGCTCAATATCAGCATGTGCCAGTCGTTAGAACTCGTGGTTTACTACGGGTTTAGAGAGCTGGAGAATCTGGTCCATGCAGGGCAGCGCAGCCGGCCGGGACCTCAAAAGCCCTAGTACTCAGGACGTCACTATAGCATCATGGTCTTGACGGCGCATGTGATCATACTAGGCGCATCACTGCAAAGATCATGATGAGTACATGCATCTAATGGCCAATCCAGTGAGAAGCTGATGAACGCGTCACAACGAGGTCTTGCCAGCCACATACGTTACAAGCCTGCTAGACTGCCATAAACTAATATTGGCAATTGAGTAGCTGTATTTGGTCTCCAAAACGCGCACAGCGTTTCAGAATCAGTATCCTAATATTGATATTCGGAGGGAAGGCATAGATGCAGCTTTTTTGAGCTGAAAGTTCAACCCCTGGAGTCCGTACATCGTGCAAATCCTGATGAAAACTCTCCTGGCTAGGTGCAACCAATAATCGTTGTGCATATGTCCGAAATTCAGAAGCAGCTTGGATCAGATCTGGCATTCGATATCAGTGTGCGTGCGTTGCCACAGTGCATCATCATCGGCAGAGATCTGTTCCGTTGACTTCAGGCTTAACTTATAATCCCATCGGTTGACGCAATAGAATCAGCCGTTGACTAGCTGCCAATATAATGGTTGTAACTTTTGCCCAGTCCTCACATGAGTGCTTCGGTCTTGCGCCCGAGTCTGCAGACGCGTGACTGAGGTTCGGAGTCAGCGAACTTTCAATCCGCTCGCGCGAATGTCCACACATGATCATCCGACCGTCCATGAAACCATCGAGGGTGAGTCGCGTACCGGAGCGCGCGCAGAGACTGCACCAGATCCTAGGTGCCGTCACCTACTCTAGGCGTGAAGCGGCAGTGCACTCCCGGGCCCCACGTACCGTACGCTCTTGTAACAATGTATCGGAAGGAGCATGGCAGCAGGATGGCAGCTCACTTCTGCGGTGGTCAGATTACCCACACAATGTACCCTCTAGAATTGTACCTGGCTTGTGTACTCCTCAGTCTGCCCTTACTGCAAGCTGAACTTCTACATCCCGGGCAGTTCCTTCTGCAGCATGCACTGATGTACTACTGTAGTACGCAGCCCCCTTTGAACCTTTGACCCGGAAATCATTCAAGCTCAAATCTGTGGTCAAGATTCTGCTGGACAAAAACATTCCGAGCATCTGGGAAGAGTGCGGCTATTTGACACAGTCACTGCATGTTTTTAAAGCTTGTGAGACCAAATTAAGTAAACTGTGTGTCAAGACCAAAGCTCGTATTTTCATACGTGAAATCATGCAGCCGCTTCTATACTTGCATCAAGTGACCGTTGATGATTTGCTTTCTTGGGTGGCATTGATGGTCTGCTCATCAAAGAGCACTGGTGTCAATGTAAGCGACAGCCTCACATAGCGACTTGAATCAGGAAGCAACGAAAAAGTCAAGCTGGTTTCAGAATTGCAAGCAAAAGATTCCTTCAAAAGGGGAAAATCTTGGCAGAACGTCATTGCGAGAGTCAGCATTGCGCATATCACTTTGTTAGAGCAGAAAGAGAAGAGGAGCATACAGCAGATCCTAAGACACACGCAGATCCAATAAAGGCACGCTCTAACGCGGCGACCCAACCGTTGGACAATGCTGGCGTCTGCTTAAGACTCTGCTTTTAGCATCACGTTTCTTCTTCAGCAGAGTTCAATCCAGGCGTCTGTGCTTTCCTGCACAACAACCTTCTCTGCACAGTTCGCCATCTTCTGTTAAGATCTGTTTTCACGCAGGCTTTCTGGGACAGGAGGCTCTGAGGCTTTTCTCCACAGATCGCCCGGTGCGGGCGGCGCCTCACTCTAGTTCTGCTCATGGCGATCCTGATGGCTGAGGAACCGGAGGCGCAGTCTGCGGTGCCTCCGGAGGCCAATGGCTGTGTCAAGCCTGACGTCACTAAGGGTGTCAGCGGGAGCAAGGTGGTCTCATTTGGCATGGCTGCCCCCGTGGAGTCTCTGATGGAGAAGAACCTTAAGAAGGGCAAGGCACTGTCCCTGGCTGAGAAGGAAGCCAAGAGCTTCGCCAGCCTGAATGAAGTGCTCTATGATCTGTCTCTGCCGCCGCTGATTGACAACACGGCGAGGCCGAAGAGTGTTCCCAAGGATACTGTGACGGTGGTTATGCTGACCGAGCCGGAGAACCGGGTTTCGGTGTGCATGGAGGGGGCCAAGCAAAGCAGGTGAGGGGTCAAGTGCAAGTAATCCCAAGCTTGGATCGATTCTGTCAAATTGTGACTTTTTCGTTTCATTTAGGTACCAAGAGGATTGAGACCGATAAACCATGCTGATTGATATGGGCCACAGAAGGGTATATGAAGAGCGCCTTTTGTGTATCAACAGATTGGCGAAGGCTTGCAAAGCAGGCCCCTGAATAAATCTAGAAGATGGACATTCTCATTCTTGGAGCGGTGGATCCGCTGGGTTTGCAATTGGAGGGCCTTGTTCTTTAGATAATAATTGCAAATGTTTGATCATTTTCCAAGGCAACTGGACTAGGAGGTGTCTGTGCACAGGTGTGAAGAGATGGAACGAAACTGGCAGGCATTGTCCCCCTTGCTGCAGTGCAAGGAATTTGTCTCAGGACGCACGAGCCTCTGATTAGACTGCAGCTACTTACCTAGGATCTTGTTTTCTGGGGATAATACTTACCATCAAGGAGCAATTTTGACCTACATAAAAGCTAGCCCTGATACTCTCCTGTGAAAGGGTGTCTGGTGCTTGCACCTGGCCCTTCGAGGACCGCTTTGGAAGCAGCTTTACCCACACAAACAGCAATGAGCACCTGCAGTGGAGTATAACGGCTTTCAAACCTCTCACGAGAGGTTTGCCGGCTCCTGCTGCTCTACTGCGAAGTGTAGAAGCGGTTCACAATACGAAGTGAAGGAACGGCTTAGTATGGACAGGTGTCATCATATGCAAAACAGATATTCACCTTGAGCAACTCTCTCCATAGCTTCTACGTGCCTTTCCGGAAGCGCAGTCTCTGCGTAGCTGCAAGCCCACTTATCTAAATCCCCTTTCTTAGCTGACGTCATCCCTTTCTCCCCCACAGGGGCAACGTCCTGATGGTGATCAACCCCGCCTGGCTGGAGAAGCGCCCCATCGTGACGTCAGACGTTAACGTCACCCCTCCAGCTGGCGCCACACACTCGCTGTTCGTGCACAAGGCCGTGTGGTTCGATACCAACGGGCAGGCGTACCTGGACCGGTACGAACCCCCGAGGAAGGTCACGTACCTCGCCAACTTCTTCACGCTGCCTGGTGAGCTGCCGTCGGCAGAGAAACCTCAAGCAGGATATTGACAGCTGTCCAGAGACGTTGGCAAGGTTTGGAAGAGCTCAGCTGACTACTTCAACAGCTGTTCCCTGATTATTCTCACGCAAACCGTTCTGTTTCTCACACCTGTTTAGAACTCTTCTCTCTCGAATCTTAACCCACAATCTAGCCAAACCCTCTTTCAGACCCCTCTTTACCTCCTGCAGACCCCCTCTCAAAAGCTTCCTAATTTCGCCACAGAACCTTCTTCAAAGACCCAGCCAGCTGCGAATCTAGACCTTCTCAGAAAAACATCCCTTGAACTCTTCCAACAGTTTTCCTCATATCTGCCTTACAACTCTCCCCTCAAACTCCAACAAAATCCCTCATCAAATCGTCTTCAAAACTCCTGCCAATTGGTACTCAATCGATCTTCAAACCTCCCTTAAACCTCGCCCCCCAGGCTCGGAGGGCGACCGCGACGACGGCGTGCCGCTCGAGGCCGGCCTGGACTGCCCCATGAGCTCCTCGTCGGCCCTCGAAAAGATCACTAACGACAAGCTGCACACGCGCCTGCTCCTCTCGCGCGCGCGCGTGGCGCACCCCCAGTGCGTCGCCTTCACCTTCAAGTGCCCCATGGTCTACAACACCTCCGGTGAGCCGCCGCGCTTCAGAACCCGTCTTCAGAACTTCGTGAAAAACTCCCCGCAGTGTCTCTCGTGCTCAACTCTTCTTCCTGCGATTTCTTTCTCGGAGGTCTCAGTTTTGTAAACAATGCATGCAGATGCTTGGCAGATTGATGGGCAAGGGCCGAACACGAAAGCAAGGTGCTCACGACGAGCAGTCCCTTTACCAAATGAGGTCTGTCGGATGAAGGCAAGTAGGGAAGTGAAATTCCCCCCAATCGAAGTCACCTGACTTCGTTCCTGCGCCCTTCTTCCCCAGCAACTATCGAGAAGAAGGTCAGCTGGAGCGTCTTTCTTTGTCCCCCCTTTTCCTCACCTTGCCAGAACGCCCTCCGCTTACCCATACGCTATCCCCTCGCCACAGGCTGCACCGGCACATACGCCGTCCACTCCCTGTCCGACCGCGCCGGCTACGAGGACCTCTTCCGGCGTGAGGCGGAGCGGTTATGCGCGCGGTTAGCGCGTGACCAGGTGGTGGTTAAGCCGAGCGGGCCCATGTGGATGGGCAGCAACGGGGTGTCGTTTTGGAGCCGGAAAGACGTCGACGGAATCGTGGGCGCCGCGACGGCGCTGCTCCAGCGGCTGTGGGACGGCGACGCGATTTTGCTGGAGGAGTTCCTGCCGACGCTCGGCCCGCACGACATCAAGCACGGCAGCGACGTGAGCTTCCAGACCTTGACATACTTCAGAGATGGGTTCAGTGTTCCCTATCCATATGTCGATGTAGTGATCTCTTGATCGTTGCGGTTGAAAGATTCAGGTTTTTAGGGGCTGAGTGCCGGCTTGCTGAAATTGGGGCCGCATCAAATCACGTTTGAGAGCGTTACGCCAACATCGTCGAAGCGTGGACAGGATTGGAGCCACCCAGGAAATTTCTTTCCCCCCTCTTCTTATCTTGGATCGATCGGAAATGAATCATATGACTTCTGACCCCTTCCCTTCTGATATGCGCAGGTGATGTCACCCACACACGCGGCGCTGGAGGTCGGGGCGGTCGCCGGGAACCCGTTCGCGGAGAACATTGTGCCGCGCTTCGACGACTCGGACCTCTCGGAGGGCGACGACGAGGCGGAGCAGGAAGAGGCGCTCAAGAACTGGAAGGTCGCCCCGCAGGCCATTGCCGGTGAGGATTTCGAGCGCTGCGGTTTGTGTTGTTTCGAAAGACTGCGAGATTGCCTTCACGCCTTGCAGAGAAAAATTTGCGAAGCTAGCGGAAATGTGTTGATTCTTTGATTCTCCTCAGAGTCGAGTACGTCCTTGGCTAAGCAGCTGGTTCTCGTACTACCCTTCGGCTTTAACAACCAAACCGCGGTTATGTGACCCAACATGTGGTTCGTTTCACGAGCATAAAAGTAAGCCAAGAAGCGGGGCTCCTGAGACCCCCGGAACTATGAACGTAATCCGAATCCTAACCAAGGGACACTGGTAGCCGACAAACTTCTGCTTAAGACCAACCCACCACAAACCCTCGTTTCCAATCATTAAGCAGGCCAGAATTTCTGGGTTTCCGTCTGCGCGTCATGGTGGCACGTGCCCCCTGGGGCGAGCCTTTGGTAACCATCTTTTTGACACTAACTCGCTCTAAAGTAACCCGCCACAAACCCTTTCTTCCCAGGCATCAAGCAGGCCAAGAAGCTGGGTTTCCGGCTGCGCGTCATGGTGGCTCGTGCCCCCTGGGGCGAGCCGGTGGTGACGAAGATGGTGGCGGGCATCGGACGGCTGAGCGCGCCCATCAACGGCTCAAACACGATCCCGATCAGCTTCGACGCCGTGCTGGAGCAGTGGGGGATCGTGACGGTGGAAGGGAAGCGGAAGGTCACGGATACGATATCGAACGAGGCGGGCCGGGTTATGAAGGTGGGTTCGGTCGATCCTGCAATTTGCAGGTAGTTAAGCCGTACACATTGAAGCTGTGAATGCTGCTTGGACGAATGTTTAGCGTTGTCAAGATGAACTAGGTGATTTCAAGTTTAGGGGCCCACTCTTGTGCAAGGGAAAGCAGCCAAAGTCGTAGCGTAATCGCACTGAAAGAGTTGACAGATCTGGTCGGATAGTCGGTAAGGATTGGGAAGAGCTGGGCACGCTTTCTAAGCGGTAACAACAATTTGTGTGAAACCGAATGACTCTTCAAAAGTGCTGTACAGTTCTTTCTTTGCTTCTCAAAGAGTGAAACAAGCCGCACTGCAGAGAAACAAAGTTCAGGAGCATTCCTACCGCGCCGATTGACTTTCACTTTTGTTTTCAACCGGATCAATATTCGATATGCGCAGGCAATCATGGACTACGAGGCTGGGATGCCGATCGAGGAGCGCGGCGGCGCCAACTGCCAGACGGACCTCATCGGAATCGACTTCATCGTTACGCCTACCGGAACCGGAATCATGCCGTACGTCATTGAGGTGAGGAGTGACTTCAGCTTTTAGATTCTTTCCTGTTGGAAGACCTTCATTGGCCTTCATAAGTCAGCGTAAGCTTGATGAAGCGGATTCTCATAACGAAGCGGCTTTGATTGGCTCGTCCTTGCCATGATGCTTTTAGAACACGCAAAGTCTTTGGAGAAGCGCACCTCACAAGAATCACTTTCGTGAAGAGACAAGGTTTGAAGACTTGGGCTTCGAGTCCTCGGGCTTCAATCTGTACAAGCTCAGCCAAAACCGACCGCTCAACCCCTATGCCTGTGACGTCAGATTTTTTAGCCCCAAGCCCCAAGCTCGAAATGCTAAAACGCGCGCCCGCCCTCCCCGCAGGTGAACGACCACGACTGCAGCCTGCAGGCGCAGCAGCTGGAGTGCCTGCTGCCGGAGACGCGCTTCGAGAGCGTGCGCTGGTGGGTCGCCACCATGATCTCCCGGTCCGAGACGTACCTGCTGGGCGGCCGGCGCATTTTAGTGGTCGGGGCAGGTGAGCCGCGGCGACCAGATCGGATTGTGAAAAATGGTATTTCGACGGTTGTCGGGAAGGTCGTTCGGGAATAAGCTAGGAAGTATGGCCCGACTGTACGGGCAGCGCAAAGGTGAGGCCGTCAGCGTCGCGAGAGAGGAGGTATCAAGTTTTGCCAGCTTTCAGATATTTGAACAGGCAACCTGCTTAGGTGATTAACACTCGTGTTCGGTCGACACATGATTCTGTCGAGGCTATTGTCAAAGAATGCGTGCATCACTGTAGCATTGCGGGTGCGAAAAATCTCAACGTAGAGCATACGTCTCACTCTTTTCTTTCACCGGGCTGAAACACGCTGCAAGAATGGCACGAGTAGTGGAGTGATCTAAAATTGGTCGTCGCGCGCTCGCAAGTTTTGCAACTCGCTTCAAATTTCAATCTCTTGTTTCAGGGGGGTGGAGCAAGCGATGGGTGTGGGGGGGGTCCCGCAAGCTGGGCGTGCAGTGGTACTGGTGAAACATTTGACAAGCACTCTGCGCGCGCGCTCAAAAGCTCTGAAGAAACTGCAAGTCTCAAATGTATCCACGTTTTCTTTTCAGGGGGGTGGAGCAAGCGGTGGGTTTGGGAGGGGTCCCGCAAGCTGGGCGTGCAGGTGGTGCTGGTGGAGGAGTTCGACACGCACTTCGCGCGCGACCTTGCTGACGTCTTCATCGCCTTCCCGGGGCTCAGCGACCACACGCGCGACGAGGAGCACGCGCGCAGAATCGTGGGCGCGCTCAAGGTGAGCGCGTTTGGGGTCAGAAAATAGGATTATGAGAGGAATTTCAAGGGTTTTGGGAGCGTCTTTTTGGATTCGCGTCTTGACGGGGCTGAGCAACCACACGCGCGACGAGGAGCACGCGCGCCGAGAATCGTGGGCGCGCTCAAGGTGAGACGCGGACGCGCGCGCGGCGTCGCACTCTGGTAGTTATGCAAAGGTTTTCGATGCGCTTTTGCAGGCGCGAGCAGTATCGCGGCCGCGCTCATGGTGATGCGCGCGCAAAGTTTTGGGTCAGGTTTAAGGTTAAGTTACGTTTTTGATAAGGTTACGAAAGGCTTGTGGGTGCGCTTTTGACCACACGCGGGACGAGGAGCACCCGCGCAGGATCGTGGGCGCGCTCAACGTGAGGCGCGCTACAAAAGTCCAGGGAGTTTGCGTTTAGATGATAGGATTCTGACAAGTTGATGGTCGGGCGAGACTGGCTGCAGTTACGGCCTTCGACGGCTTTGAACAGTTCGGGGAAAGGGCTAAAGATTTTCTCGACTTCTGCGGCAACGTGTCGGCGAGCTTCAGGAAGACAGAGAAGGGTTTATCAAAGTAGGCTGGAGAATTGTGGAGGATACGTTTCAATGGACGCAGATGTAAGGTTTTACTAGCCCAATTCTGTCATATACTGCCTTTCTGTCAGTCTAACCTGCTTTCAGCCACCTTTCAGCCTGAACGTCTGCACAGAAGTATGGCGACGTCAGCCTTTGTGAACCGCCTAACGTTCGCTGAATGAATCTCGTTCCGTTCCTTCCTCGCAGGAGCGGCAAATCACCGTCGAGGGGTGCCTGACCTTCTGGGAGGACTGCGGCCCGCTGGCGAGCCTGGTGACCAATCTCTTGGGGACACGTGGCAACAGCTTCTTGGCGCAGAGCCTGGCCAAGTCCAAGTTCCGGACGCAGGACACGCTCATGAAGGACAACCGGGAGTACCAGCACAAGCCCACCACGTCGTTCTTCGCGTCGAAAGTGAGCGCCTCAGAGTCGCTGTATGGATCTTCGACACGCAAGCCAGTGTTGGTCTCTTCCTGTCTCAACTTTCCAGTATCCTATTTCAGAAGCAGTGTTGTTGCGTGTTGAAGGCAATCATGGGCGAGATACTCGAAAGGTACAAGTCGACCGATGACACTAAAACTAAATCTCGAAACTAAATCTCGAGCGCGCATGGAATCCATCCTCACTCACTCATCAGCATCTGGAGGAAGTTCAAATCTCAAACAACCCATGAGGGAATCTTATGCTTTCATATAATTCACGGCTTTTAATCTGGGACGCTCAACTCCTCTTTGCAGGCGTACAGATTACAATCCGAGGCAGATCTAGAGCGCGCGTGGGAGGACCTGGGGGGCATGCCGGCTGTGCTGAAGCTCGAGTACGGCTCTTCTGCGTGCGGCGTCGTTTTGGTGGCCACGAAAGAGGACGCGCTCGCAAAGTTCCGGCAGATCCGGTCGGAGCTCAGCAGCGAAGGGGATCACGGCGGCGTCGGGCTGGGCTTCGGGTAAGGATCAATAGACCTGAAGTTTGATTTCGTTCGCGTCTCTCCTCTTTACTCTGCGCAATCAACCTCAACTGTCTCGTTCGATTCCCTTTGTGTTTGCTTTTACTGAAACTTGGAGCTCAGCAGAAGGTAAACAAGGCGGCGTCGGGCTGGGCCTCGGGTAAGAGCAAATGTCTCTGCCTTTTTTCCAATTTTGCCTGATTTTTGGGTCGTTTTTGAAGTTCCTTCCTTTCATCTCTTGTTCTTTCTTTGCTTCTCCGAGCTCAGCAGCGAAGGGGACCACGGCGGCTTCGGGCTGGGCTTCGGGTGAGAAGCTGAATCCACCTGTTTCCTGCTATTTTATGTTCCCCCTCTTCCGTTCTTTCTAGCTTCTATTGTCTCGAATCTACTTCGGCTGTTTTGTGCAACTCTTAGAGAAGGGTTTACATGATTCACGGCGGCGTCGAGCTAGCATTGTCTCGAAGTGTTATGTATTTGTAGGAAGATCGCGAGGAACTCGCAACGTAGATTGGCTGCCGTTCAGATCTACCTTGGCTCGACTGATTCCCTGAAACCTCCAAGATGCTAAATAAAAGAATTCGCTCAATTCTTGTCCCCTTCTTCATTTCTTTGTCGCCACCGCAGAAGTCCGAACAAAGTCGCGCTCAATCCTTCCGACCTTGGTTGCACGATCCTTTACCCCCGTTGGTCTCCCTTAAACGGCACTGAACCCGCTGAATTTCTTCCTAAACCCCTCGCTAACCCTCATTCCGCAGGTCGTCTCTCGTGTTGATGGAGTTCATCGAGGGCAGCGAGCATGACGTGGACATCGTCATGTATGACGGCCAGACTGTGGCCGCTTTCGTCACCGACAATGGGCCCACCCGCATGCCCTACTTCAGTGAAACCGCTGCCGCCATGCCCAGCCGGCTGCATCGGTAAGCGGATTTTGTAAGCAACGTTTCAGGGGTTGAATAAACCCGATGCCAGGGCTTAGAGTTTGACCCGTTGCAAAGCGTAACTACTTTTAAATGCGCCCACCGGTAGCTTGGGCACGTCTCAAGCTTACCAAGGAGATAGTGGATGATGGTTCCAATCCCAGCACCCTCATGAGCTCTTCTTGCACCCAATCAATTTAAGATTAGTGCGAGCGTCTGGCTCTCAGATATCGAGGTCAAAGAAAAGAGTCTTTCTTCTTGCTCATGTCGCCATGAAATTTTTGCTCAAAGTTCTGGAGATCTTGCAAGTGTGACTATACAATGCTCCGAGTTCCGGAGATTTCCTTGTCGGTAATCTCCTTTTATTCCTTTGCTTATTTCGCAGTGATTAGTCGAGACTTCCTTACCCTAGTTCTCGCTTCTCGCTCCAGGGACAAGCAGATGGTAATGGTTGCCGCGGCCGCGCAGTGCTGCGCGTGTCTGGGTCTGCAGAACGGCGTCTTCAACGTCGAGTTCAAAATGACGGGCATGGGGCCCAAGCTCATCGAGATCAACGGCCGCCAGGGGGGCTTCTATATCCAGGTAAAGCAACCCCCCCCCTGAGCTAAAAAAGGTGCAGAACCCAATACACCGCACTCTGCCCTGAGAAGACCGTTTGGGTCAGCGGGCGCCTTGAAGCCGGGGGGCTTGGATTGGTTACAAGTTCAAAGCGCAAAGTCAAGTTTTGTTGGTTTTGGCTCGAGATCCCCGACAGTCCATCATCTTCGCGTATTGCAATTAGGTGTATCCCGAAGATTGACCTGTCTTCTACGCCTTTGTAATGAGGTTACTCTGCCCATTCGACCTAACCCCTCCTATCCCATCTTCTCTTCTCTTTCAGGACTGGATTGAGCGGGTTTGGGGCGTTAACCTGCTGAAAGCGAACATTCTCGTCGCACTCGGCGTGCGGCCGTCCGTCTTCCCGGCGCCCAAACCGCGGACCCACATTGTCGGCCGGATGATCTACAGCTCCGTGTGCTCGGTAAGTTCCCCCGGGCCCTTTACTCGCCCTTTCACAGACTGCTTCTTGTGCCCGCTTTATTGATGTGCAGGGTACACTGTGTGCTTGTTTGGGAATCACGCGGGGAAAAATCACGCTCACTATTGTGCCCCAACGTCGGAAAGTACCGTTTGGCGGAGCCTCATTGATGAACGAGATGAGTCGCCTCGAGCTTTGCACTTCCACCTTACATATCATACAACCGGCTTCGGAGAACTTTTTCCCTGCTTTATTGAGCAATCTGCAATAGGAGACTTTGAAGGTTGTGGTGAGCTCTGTTCCAATCGTAAGTATCTCCACTAGCATCGTCTGTGACTTGGCCAAATGAACAGCCCCCGCGACTCGTTTTCGATACGACATCTCTTCCCCGCAGAACGCCCTCAAGACGACGTGCACCGTCGAACGCCTGCACGAGCTGCACAACCAGGGCGTCATCGTTCTGAACCAGTTCGAGCCGACGGTTCCGGAGGTCGAAGAGTTCGAAGAACCATTCGCGAGCGTGGGAATAAAGAGCGCGAGCAAGGCGGGCGCAAAGCAGCAGCTTCAGGCGCTCTGGAGCATTTTGGGTTTGGAGGATAAGGACCCCAAACCCTGCGGCTGGTATCTGAAAAACCTGTAAACCCTGGGCGCGGAACGGCGGCCGCGACGGCGGCCGCGTGTACGAGAGGCGGAAGAATTCAAAGAATTGAAATGGGGTTCGCGTGAAGAAAAAGAAGCGGGTTAAAGGAAGTACTTGGAAAGTTTCGAAGTTTTTGAGAAGCCCAAAACAAATAACTGATCAGGAGAGGCACGCGTAGGCTTAAGATGAAATGCAGAGAGGTAGGACTGCGACTATGGAGACGGAACTAGAGACGCGTTGTACAGCTAGCAGAATCGAAATGATGAGCGCACTTCTGTACAGCACAGTTGAGAGGGATCACCGTAGACAGATCCGCATCAGCCGCTACCGTTCTTTATTTTGGTGGGATCGCAGCCCAGGCGTGGGCTTCTAGCGCGCTCTTGAAAGATGAGCAGACGTCAGAATAGACAATCTCGTCACTATATGCGCTTAGTTGGCATAAGAGAAGCTGCCTTGAACAGACTCAATTTTTTTGACCTCACTCAAGCAGAACAGTCATTCGACTTTGTTTCTTTCGGAAATCTAAACGTCCACATCGCTGGAATCATGGACATGTAACTCAGAATGTGTGACAAATTTACGGTCTTCCAAGATGACGTTTGCCATTGGTTCACGTCACTCAGCTCGTCCCACTTATCGATAAGAAGTGTTGAATGACCATTTCGCCCTCGAATTCGATGAAATGAGCGCACAAGAATTTCTGCGTGCAGTGATTCTGCAAGCACCGTCTATCAAAGTTGACGATTCAGGTTAAATCTAAGCCATTCAAATCCAAATTCGAATCCTCACGAAGTTCGTCGTCTCCAAGGTTATCATGGTGAGCTGTCTTTTTGAACTGATCTCAGACCTGAAGTTGAAGCAAGGTAGACATGATAAAGCCCCTCGGTTCTAACGACACCAACATTGTTGACCAGTCGAATCCCAAACAGATTTCATCGTCTATTGTGACTCTGTGTTTACAACTCTCCGTGATGTCCGGTCCGATCGAAGGAATTGGTCTTGTTGAGACCGTTTCTCTTTGAGGATTGTTGTGAGCTCCGAATTCCGGAGCACGTTCACCGGAGCCTCGCGAGTCGAAGTTAGCGGACATCTTAATGAGGCATACCCCAGGAGCTCCATGATCATGTAGCAGCTATGAAAATGTTATTCAAGTCAATCAGCTCACTGTTTCAGCTTCGTGAATGTAATACTCAATCGACTAGTTAAAGCTTCTGGATATCAACCAATCAACCGGCTTCAGTGCGACATTGAAGCCCCATTTGACCGGACTCCTTGGACTCATCCAAGTCAGTAGCCAAGATCTCGACACTGAATCGCACATGAGTTACAGTATACTTTGTTTTCTCTCAGGTTTTGAGTTGGAAGATAGTCTAAAGTTTCGCGATCGGTCCCTCTATCATGGCAGCGGAGCAAATAAGAGCTCTTCTGTCCATGAAAGAGAGCCTTGTTGCAAAGCAGGCAGCCACCCAGTGCGCGTGCATGGGATTTTTGCTGCTGAGACGGTCTACAAATTTTGGCGCAGTTGAATGTACGTACCTACGCACGAAGGCCAAATACTCGTTCAGTCTCTTTGGCAAGCAGAATTACAGAGTACATTCGATTGTTACAAATTCTGCTCTTAGACTGGTACAAAGCATTCTCGTGCGTACATCTTCACCGTTCATCAAAGTGTTCTTTGCATTCCTGCACCATTTGAAGTTCGAGCTTGCATTTTGGGTGATATCAACATAACGTTTGTGACTATCAGTAGCTAACAACTTACCTTGGGTCACCCAACGTGGATCGAGAGACTCTCGAGGTCTGTCTTGGTCAGCGTTGGACTCTGTCGCCGCACGGAGCGCCCCACGTTGTCTTTGACGAACGTGCGTAACCAGTAAATCTGTCGCAGCGGAATGTCAAGAACGAAGATCTGGGTGCATGGACTGGTAAATGAGGTGGCCGACTTTTCGTTTTTCAGTTACTCAGGTACAGGAAGAGAATTCAGTCTTCTGCGGATCAACTGTGATCCTTTGGCACGTGCTTGGCTTGAACGTCCGCATATCCAGTTGTGACGAGTGGCAGAAGAGCATGCTGCAGCAGATCAGTCCCCACTTTATCTGCTCTCGTTAGTAGATGCTGACGTCATCTGACATGTGTCTCCAAACAGAGATTTGATTGGTTCACGGAAACGACAAGAAAGCTTTGTCAGCAAAAGTAGAACCGAAACAAGGCTTAGGGGCTATTCGCATGCCACCGCTATCGCTACATTATCGCTACATTCTGGCGGAAAACCGAGAAAATTACCATCGCATGCACCCTTTTCCGCTTAAACCAAAACTTTCGCACGCACGGAATCCCGCTACATTGTAGCGATTCCGCTAAATTGTATAACCGGCCATATACATTCTACAGATTGTAGCGGGTTCCGCTAAAAGCCGCCGTGGCACATCGAACGGCCACGATTCAATAAAGTTTGTACCCCTCCCTCGCCTGCCAGCCTCCCAGGCTCTCCGAGTCTGTTTCCAGCGGGGCTGGTCCACCCGGTGTCCGGGACCGGCCGGCCGGCCGTGCACGTGGAGCTCCGGAATCCCGGAGGTTTGCGGTAATGTCCAATTCGCGGAAAGGCATGCGGCCGCTGTTCCGTTACCCGGGCTCGGATGAAGAGTTCCGGGTTCCGCTAAAGCCCCGTTAAAATTTTAGCGGAACGGTGGCATGCGAATAGCCCCTTACAAACTCTAGAAGGGTTTTCCTAATCAACCCCTCGGGAAATGTGAAGCAGGCGCATGCTCCAAAGCAATTGATGACTCCCGCATGAATGTGCGGGCCTGGGGTGAAGTTAGGCGAAGCGCAATCCGAGGAGGGGCCAGAAAAACGACAAAACTTCAATCGAGGTGTTGTGTGGTTCTCTTCTCTTCCGCGAGTTATTCGTTCGTCAAGTCTTCACGTAATTATAGATCTTAGCTGGCACGGACTTTGTAGTAAGATTCACGAGAGAAGCCCACATGCACTCTTAGGGCGCACGCCAAAAAAGCTGACTGGAGACGTGACCACCCGTGCGGAGAAGATATGCCGCTCGTCTCTCGCGTGCGGCTTGGGCCTGCGCTCCAGATTCCTTAAACTTGCAAGAAGCTGCCTCCTCAAAGACGTTGGATCCAAGCAAACCAAGGATCTTCTTCCTGCGCGGTTTGCAACAGGCTCATGAAAAGGTCATGCTTAGGGCGCCCTTCGTGTACGAGCGCGAGGAGAGAGGAAGCAAGGAGCAACCTGGAGCTTTGCCTGGGGGGGGGTTGCAACATCGAATTTTGTCAAAGGCACGGAGAAGAGTTGAAGTGGGAGGCGCACATTTGCTTCCGATCCTTTTTAAGCTTTTCAGTGCTTCGATTGACATCCTTCCCTACTACGGAAAGAGAGAATCTATTTGAGAAGCTCTGAGCATCTTTTCAAGGGTTTGTTTGGCACGGGAGCATCTTGCCATGGGAGTTCTTGCCCAGCAGTGCTTCAACCCTAACTGCCGAAGGAGGTCCCCTGGGGATGGACCGTGAGCAGAGTCTGCCAATTGAACCTCTCATTTCTTGGGACCAAATCATAGTCATGATGATCTCCTTGAAGCAAGGTTTTGATTTGGAGGGAGGACTTTCAGTGTTTTCAAGTCGTTGCATTGTGGCATCCTTAGTTGCGATCCTGAGCTGTTTGTCATTCAAATGAGCTTTCTTCCTTCATCCTTCTTGGAGGAAGTTCAGTTCTGTCTGCAATTATTTGGATGCTGGATACAAATGTTACTGTGACGTGCCCTCTACTTCAGAGCTTCGTGGGGCTTACTTTTGCTTCCTTGCTGTGCTCCATCATCTATAAAGTTCTTTGCTTCAATGTCAATACAAGCATCTCAACCTTGCAAATTCATCTGATTCAAGTCTGATAATTCCCGGCTCTTCCAATCTAAAAGTTTGAAAAATATATGCATCTTGGAAATAAAATCAATCCAGGGGTAGTAATCTTTTTTCAAAAAGATTGGGGTTGTCTGGTGTCTCTCTTCATTTAATCAATTTTCGAATTGAGAATTTACTTGGAACAACCTTACACCAGACTCCGCATTTAGTAACGCCAAAGACATATCGATTCTCTTGTCGTAAATTTCAGGTACCGAATGGAAGTAACTGTAGCACTCTCCCGACTTATTCTTCCATTGGTGCACTGTTTGCTGAAACGATCGCACAACCGCAGCCCTAACTTCTAAAAGTTCAATGTATCTTTCTGACTATCTTCAAGTCACAGCGCCAGGATTTGTACCCATGCATTGTTTTTAGACATCCTCCTGGATTCGTGCAGAAATATACCCCCTATCTCTGCAGCACTTGCCGATGGCACGTTCGAAACTACGGCTCTGAGGAAGAGCCGCAGAATGTGACTCTCTGCAATGCGTGCAAGATCAACTTTGACCAGGTGAGACGCCTTGCATCCAGAACCTATCGCAGGTCTTCAAAGTGATACTGGAAACCAGAGCTGTCCTGAGGCCAGCAGCGTTATCCAGGGGGGAACTCTATAACATCTCGATTTCAATGCAGAAGCATTTCTCGTTCTCTGCAACTTTGAGGAACTGGGATGGCATTGAGCGAGCGAGCTTGAAGGCAGGATTTTGGCTGCTGACGGATGAGGAGCTTCGTATCAACATGAAAGAAGCTTCGAACGCAGAAGCCCCTGACAAGACTGTCTTTCTCTCGACCGTTTCACTTTTTTCAACACGAATCTTTTCAATCCTTTGCGAACCGCCGCCATCCACTAATTCCTTGAACTGCAGAGGAAGTACTGCCCTTACTGCGTCCAGATCTACCGGGACAAGGACCCGGACAACTTTGACGGCAAAGAGGTGAGCAACATTCCGACAATGTAAGTCTCAGATAGATGTCTCTGATGAAGGAGAAACTGAAGCACTTCGGTCGGCATGCTGCAACCAATTGGAGTGGACTAGTGTCTACGATCGCAGCCAGGTACAGAGCACCACCTGGTTTCAAGGATTAAGCCACCTTGCATTCTTTATTCTCAATTATTCTCGATAATGTGAACAGATACGAGATTATGATGCTGACTGTTCCTTTGCTCTTCAAAACAGTGGCGCGGCTGCGACACGCGCAGCTGCCGACGGTGGGTCCACGTTGAGTGCGAGGAGACGGCCGCCGGGGGACCGCTAAACCCTCGCGAGGTTTACATCTGCCCCACGTGTCAGCAGGTGAGGAGAGGCGCGCGGCAGCATCCCGACGAGTCCAAGTCTTTCCTACTTCTCAACCGGAAGGGCTCAGTTCTCGCAAGAATCAATCTGCGGTTGCAAACTTCTGGAGTGCAGAAATCTAGTTCAGATCACGTGCTTCAATGTGAGGAGACAGCCACCTGCCTCTTGGAGCAGTCATGTTCTGGGTCACCAGATCCTCAAATGTACGACCTGTTTGAAAGCAAACTCTTGTTGATAAACCTGAAGATGTTCAACCTGCGCTCCAAATTGTAGCGCACGTTTGGTACGAACATCCTTGGGCGCCTCCTCGTTGTCGCGAATCTGTGACCTCTTTCTTTATCAGACGTTTCCTCTTACTCATATCTTTCTTCTCAGTATTATCTTAGCCCTACCTATTGTATCTTCTTCTTGTTTCTATTTCGACTCCGTCAAACTTATAGCGCACTCTACGCAGAACAAGTGCGCGACGCGCAAGCGCGACAAGCGCCCTGCGCGCAGCTCGATCAGCCCGCGCTCTTCGCTGCACTTTCCGGCGGCGTTCAGCAGCGACGAAGGAGGGAGCCGAGCGACCGGCGCCCAACGCGCGGACTCCGAAGAGGTGACGTCTCCTTCGAAGCTGACAGAAGGGCATGAAAATGAGAAACTCAGTTCTCATCTGAGAGCGCACCTGAAGCTTGTTTCAGAATCGTATCGCCTACCAGATCTGGGACGGCGCTTTTGGTGACAAGGCCTCGACCGGACGGTCGATCTTCTCTGCCAAAGGAACAAGGATACTTAGTAGCGAGTCGTGGCACGCTTCTGTGCATCGTAGAATGAGACTTTGACGGGACAAGTATGACCACTTAAAGGAAACGTTTGCTGCGCCATGCACTTGATTGTCGCGGAGCTTTCAAGTCAGTGACGGCGATTGCTTCATTTTGCAGTTCAACGAGTACAGCAAGAGGTCTCCCGGCGTCGACCTTTCCAAGCTCGAGGTGAAGAGATTCCTTCAATTTTCTCTCGATGCCGCCTATCTCGACGGCTCAGCCGCGAGCCACCAGAAGTCTGTGAGCCCTTGTTATGGATACTCCGCGTGTGGCGGGGTCGCTCTATCCTGTTGCACCGCGGACTTGGAGATTTGATGCAGCAAAATTCTTATTTTCCCAGGCGGACCGCAGACTTCTGTGATTGGCGTGGGATCACTAAGTAATCGTGTCTCCATATTTAGAGTTCCAATCACCCCCGTTTGGCTCGAACCCCATCCAAAACTCTGTCCTCACGCGATAAAGCTGCCGTAGGTTTCTGCACTGCGCCTGTTTTGAGTCCTTGGTCAAGCAACCATAAAAAATAGCCTTTCGTAATCCTTTCCAGGCGTCCTCTCTGAAGCGCTACAAGCGCACGTTCCGGCTGGTGGAGCCCCCGGCCGGGAAGGACAGCGAGCGGCTCATCCCGGTCGTCGAGGAACACTTCGCGGCTCAGGTGAAGCTTCCTTCTTCTTGCGGCTCGTTTTCAAATATTTGACGAACAGAATTGGGATTAAGGATGCGTGCGGCACGGTTTTAGTCTAAAAAGGTGCTAAACGACTCTCAGATTCGCTCAGAAGATCGGTGACAAGTGAGGAGAAGAGTGCGTTCGTATCATGCAGACAACGACTTTGTGCATAAAGTGACATTCACGCGCAGGGCGTTATGAGGATGCCCATTCACGCGCAGGGCGTTATGAGGATGCCCATTCCTGAGGAACTGGTGATGCCGACCACGATACTCCTTCAGACTGGATTTTCGCATCGTGCAGGAAAGTGGACAGACAGGCTCCCTTGCGAAGCAACCGTGAAAAGTCGTTGAGCAAAGTCGATTTAATCGTTTGTTTGATGAGCGTCTGATTGGTAGTAGAATGGAGATCGGACGTTTTGTTCCCCTTGGTCATTCTTGGTGACACTGCCGATTATTCAATCCAGGTTGTTCAAGAAGCCGAGACCCTTCTCTCGTTTGCACATTCGGTGAAGCTCAGGGCAGCCTGCCGAACACCCGCTGACGACGAATAGGGCCATAAGCCGGCGCCTCACACGCGCGGTTCTGTACCATAGGAAAACGTGAATGAAACTCGCTCATTAGAGCATGTTTTGCTAGGGGGCTGATACTTGTGTGGAACATAACATAGCTTATCCTGTACAACATGTGTCTGTAACGGACTGTAGAGTACGAGTTGAGACTTGCCGGCGTCAGAACGTGGAGCTAAAGAGTGGCGGTTTGGGCGGTCAATCAGACGGACCAGATCGGCAGGAAAAGCGTTCTGGCGTGCAGAATAACGGTCACAAAAAAGATGCGCAACTACAACACGACCACTTAGTGACCCTGGCCTTGAGCCGACAACTTTGTATTGCATAAGAGGCGTGCCGCTCACACGGAGGGTGTAGCTTGTCGCCAAGAAGTCAATGTCAGACTGAAAGCTGATTTAGCACAATATTCTTTTGTTCTTCGTAGATAGGCTGGAGGGTCAGAGCTGTAGATCTGGAAACCGTTAGTACTTGTGTGTGCTCTTTTAACAGCGGGTCATGCAAAACGTTTTATATAGCTGCAACAGAGCATTGGCATAATGTACTAAAGAGGATAATTAGGGAGCATGTCGCGAGAATCGAGAACTAGTGAGAATCCACAGGATTTGATGGATCAAACCCGTACGTATTGTTACTAGTTTGTTGCTAACGAGCTTGCTATATTGGTCGAAGAAACAAAATTGCAAGTTGCCGCTTAAACCTCAGATATGATGATGATGGATCCAGGTCCACATTGACGACTCTGAATGTGTGGACCATTGAAGAATTATAACCAAGCTTTAAGTTTGACTCCTCGGATGACGCCTGGCGCCCCGGGGAAAGAGGGACGGTGCTTCCCAATGCTTGATGACGAAACATGGATGCAGGCTTCGGTAATGTCATCACGCTAGTGCCGCAGTGCGGCCCGATCAAACTTTTGATTTGCAATCTCCGCCATGTGGAGCATGGCATGCGATCATACTGTGAAGCCTGTAAGTTACACGTATACTCAACATTTGCCCAAATTTGGCGTCTCAAATAATACGTATATTCACTCGTGCTGCAAGCCGGCCCGCGCGGCCCGGCCTGCGTTACAAGTTAGCTCTAGAGCTACACGCTTCAGGGGCGCGCGGCCTGCGACGATGCCTCCGACACCGTCTGAATTGTAGGGGTGCACCCATGTGCACCCTTCAAGTTCTGCCATTTAGGCTTGCAATGATGATCATGTCTAGAACGATTGGATTGGTCAATTGTGAGAAAACATCGTCGTAAGATGGCGGATCGATCCAATATTGACGTACGATCGGACTCCGGGATCCGTCAACAGTGCCACACAGCGATTGCACATGGCGGCAGGCGCAGCAAGCTATGCCCGTGCCGCGCGCACTGATGGGCAGCCTGCACAAGGGCGGTACGGTCACGTTTTCCATGTAATTGCATGTCGATCTGATTCGTTCTGCATCATGTTGGCCGGCGGGCCCGCGGCCGGCGCTGTCGCGTTGCAAAGCCACGATCATTCACGTGCATGCATCACTGACAGTGAGCCAATGAGTCAGACGATGCGAACATTGGACCAATTGGTGGGTTCAAGAATTCGGACTCTTCATGCAACATTGAACTTATCGACACAACCATGTTAACCGGCCTGACATTGTACGGTACAGTCACTACTCAGGACGGAGCTGAAAAGGTACTAGCTGAGGCATATGTTGATCAGGGGTACTTCAGGCTCGGCGCAACTTGCAGTGCATCATGTCGGCCGGGAAGAAGGTCGGCAGGAGGCATGTCGGACCACTCCTAGATTGGGGTCTTCCGAAACACTTCGAGCTCCCAAACGAAAGAGAGGCAATTAGCTTAAGCGTCATTTGCCCTTTCTAATCAGCGCTCATGGTTCACCCGTCCTTAATCCTGACTATTGTTCCAACCCAATGGTCACCCACTCCATTCCCTGACAGTCCTCGTTCCTCCTATTCAAATCAGCGGCCGCACAGCTCCGCCCCGTCCGGTCAGTCCAACACTTACGCCCGATCCAGTCCTTAATACTGCAATGCACATGCAAATGCATGCTCTTCTGAGTCGACGGTCGTTCCTCAACCCCTTAAAAGCTATCAAAGCAACGGCTGCCCGTTCGCACCCCTTGCCCGCTTACCCGTTTCCGGGCTTCGTAAGCCAGTCTCGGCCGTCTCTGCCCCTTTCAAAGCAACGGCAATGCACGTCCTCATCCTTCGTTGCTTAACCTTCTAATCCTTATGGCCCGACTTCCCCCCTTCGTCAATCCAAAGGGACCACGGCCGCCGCCGGCAACCGCTCGACCGTCGCAATGTACGCCCCGTCCTCCTCAGGTCCTTCCCCCAATTGTGCCGTCAGATCGATCGTCACCTTCTCCCTCGGGCCTGTCGGTCTTTTCCGCTTCTCGGTGAAAATACCCTCCCGCTCCGCTGCTCGTTTCTTCAAGCTCGACAAACTGAGGGGCGCCCGTCCTTCTCGGCAGGCAGCCGCCAGCGCCCCCCGGGTGCGGTTGACCACCGGGCCGGAAGCAAGAGCGGCGTAGTCATCATATTCTGCATCACCCCGGGAGGTTTGACACTCCCGGTCAGCTCCACTGGAGGGGTGATTACCGTTTTCAAAGCGCGGTGCCAATGCAGGTATCCGGTGCCCTTCCGAAGCGGCACCGGTCGTCTGATCAGGCATTTGTACGAAGCTTAAAAGCCCCGTTCCGCTTTGGACGGGCTCAAGGGTGGTGTGAACAGGCGCCTCGTGGGCAGATCGTCCGAGGGATCCCCCTCGACCGAGTCCATTTACACCAGGCAGCCCGTCACTAGCAACATCATGATCGGCTGCAATCCCATTCTCAATCGTATCTGTTCCCATAAGTTGCCCCCCGACAAACTCTCGCCCTCTCTGGACTTCGTTCCCCGGAGCCGAAACGACCTCCAAATTGTCACCTGGCAGGGGGTCCGATAGCTCAGCCCCGTGGACCCCCCGTTGCGAGTCCAGCCTCCCCGCAAACAAGTTTCTCCGTTCAGGGGGTCCCAACGACGTGCTCGCAGCTGCCACCCCCGACAAGGATGCGCCGTTCCCAAGGTGTCTGTAATTCTGAGAGGGAGTGGTGGGAGCATACATGGGGCCTGCTTCTGGGACCGTTTTCTGGAGGCGGAACTTCGCCTGAGCCGACTCGTAGATCGCTTTATGGGAAGGGTTGTCGAGGTTCAGAATTTCGCGCAGTCTGAGGACGTCGGCCGTCTCAAACCTGGGAGGAAGAAGGAAACAACTTTTTGTCGAATCAAAGCGTGTGAGACTGGGTGCCGTCAAGAAAACGTCTTACCGCAGCCGCCGGAATGAGTCGTATAAGTCCGCAAGGGATCAGAAAAGTCTGAGATGCGTGCAAAAAGCTAGTGTTTCCACCCTCCTTTTATGCCTGCACAGTTTCAAAAGTTGATGACTGCAGCAGAAGCAGGTGCAACTGGAAAATCAGAACTTTGGGAGCTGAGAAATGGTCAAAAAAGCAGTTTTTAAGACACCAGCAAGGTTGACTTCTGTCTAGTCTAGCCTTCTAACTCGAGCACAAACAACCACCTTTTCTATCCTACTTGCAGATAGTTCGAGACGCCCAAGCAGAACCAGCTGTACGCACCAATCTGCCAGGTCGTGTTTCAGTCTACGGAATACGTGGACTGCCTTTGTCTATAATCTTCTTATGTCTGTAGGACTTTAAACCGTCTTTGTCTATAGAATACTTAGACTGTCAACCTGCTTCTCTCAGCTCACAAAGTTACCAGCTTGCATGAAGATTACAATAGCCAAGAGAGTCCAGCGGATCTGAAAGAATCGAACTAGAGTGAAACCAGGGACAGCAGAGAGAGCGATGAATCCCACCTACAAAAGAGGTCCACTGTCTCGTACTTCCTCCGGACCGCAGCCTTTTGAGTGGCAGATGCCTTCGGCCCCTTGCTGCGCGTCAACTCTCCCTCCCCCGCCCGCAAGCTCGGCTTCATAAAGTGCTTCACATCTTCCGCTTCCAACACCAATCCCTCCCCC